CCGAAATGCTGACCGACATGCAGCGACACGTGGCATCGTGTCCCACCTGCCAACTCATGAAATCATCACGGAAGCGGCCGGCAGGACAGTTGCAGCCGATACCACCCCCAGAGCGTGCTTGGCAGCAGGTGACGATGGACTGTCAAACTTATATGCTATAGTCTATTTAGGCTGTAGTGGGGTAGTTCTTATAGGGTACAACACTTTTAGGTTTGCTACTTGTACCCACCTGCTTGCTAATTCAGTCATTCATTTGCTCACATTCTAACATAGTATTCTGAGTAGGTTCCCTAGTGGGAACGTTTTTTTTAGGGCCCACCACATTTGTTTTTCCTGCCCTGCCTGAAGCGCGCATCGCGCTTTGCCCGACGCGCGCCTTGCGCCCTGCCCTAGTCACGGACCCTGCTGGACGCGACCCCTACTGCCTGTCGCGGCCCCTACTGCCGTCGCGGCCCCTACTGCCGCGCGGCCTCTACTGCTGTCGCGGCCCTCGCCCGTCGCAGCCCCTGCCTCGCGGCCTTGCTGTCGCCGCCTGTCGCGGCCCCTACTGCCACTGCAACCCCTGCTGCCGTCACGGCCCCTGCTGCCGTCGCGGCCCCTGCTACTGTTGCGGCCCCAAGCTGTCGCGGCCCCTGCTGTCGTGGCCCCAAGCCGTCGCGGCCCCTGCCGTCGCCGCCCCTGCTATTGCGGCCCCTGCTACCGCGGCCCCAGCTGTTGCGGCCACCTGCTATCACGGCCCCTGCTGTCGCGGCCTGCTACTGTCGCCGCCCCTGCTGTCGTGGCCCCCTTCTGTCGCGGCCACCTGCTATCGCGGCCCCTACTGTCGCCGCCCCTACTGGCATGGCCTTTGCTGACGCGGCCCCTGCTGTCGTGGCCCCCTGCTGTCGCGGCCCCTGCTGTCGCCGCCCCTATTGGCGCGGCCCCCTTCTGTCGCGGCCCCTCCTGACGCGGCCCCTGCTGTCGCGCCCCCGGCTGTCGCGGCCCCTGCTCTCACGGCCCGGCCCTGCACCCGCCCCTGGTAAGCACCCACGCCACCCTGCTGCGCCACGCCGCCAGTTGCCGAGCCGCGCCGCCCAGCCGAGCCGCGCCGCCCAGCCGAGCCACGCCGCCCACTGAGCTGCGCTGCTCTGCCGAGCCGCGCCGCCCTACCGAGCCGCGCCGCCCTACTGAGCCGCACTGCCCTGCCTGCACTGCTGCCACTGCTGCCTCTGCTGCTACTGCTGCTACTGTTGCCTCTGCTTCTACTGCTGCTACTGCTGCTATGGCTAGCCCTACATGCTGAGGGACGTGCAGTTGACTTTGACGTGTGGGTTGACGACCTGCAGCTATTTCTTCAGTGTGACTCTAGGGATGGGATATCCCTTTTCGATCACACGTCCTGTGTCTCTACTGCACCTGCTGCCACTGCTGACAGTACGGTTCGCTCGCAGTGGACCACTCGTGACGCTTTTGCTCGTCTTATGTTCGTAGTCACCTGCCGCCTGCTGAGCACGCGCATTTTGGACAGTACAAGACTGCTCAGTCTCTGTACGACGCTGTAGTTGCGCGCTATTCCTCCCCTGCCACTGCTGCCCTCAGCCGCCTCATGCTGCCGTACCTTTTCCCTGACCTTGCCGCCTTTGCCACAGTCGCTGACCTCACTGCTCACCTCCGCACTAGTGACGCCCGCTACCGCGCTGCCCTTCCCGCTGAGTTCTGTGCCAAGAACCCCCCCCCCATGTACATCACCCTTTACTACCTAGTCACCTGCCTCCCTGACTCCCTTTCTTCAGTCAGGGACCACTTTCTCTCCCTTTGCCCCACCGAGCTCACTGTCGACCTGCTAGAGGAGCGCCTAACTGCAGCTGAGAAGAGTCTCTTAGCTGTAGGTGCTTCTCGCGGCGACCGTCGCACCCCTTTCTTTGAGGGGTGTTCCCCTGTCCCCCTTCTCCCCTCTGTTGCTTCTGCTGCTGCTGTCGACCTCGTTGGCACTGAGGAGGTCGGAGCTGCGTCTGCCCCTAGTGGGAGACGCCGCAACAGCAAGGGCAAGGGGAGCAAGGGTGGTGGAGGGGACGGCGGGGGCAGCGGCGGAGGCGGTGGAGGAGGTGGAGGGGGTGGCGCTGGAGGTGGGGGTGGTGCCGGGAGTGGGGGCTTCAGTGGCGGCGGTGGAGGTGGTGGAGGCAGCGGCGGAGGTGGTGGAGGCAGCGGCAGCGGTGGTGGAGGCAGCGGCAGCGGTGGCGGAGGTGGCGGTGGCGGTGGTGCTGGTCGAGGTGCAGCCGCGCAGCGTGGAGGCTTTGGTGGTAGCCAGCGCCAGCAGCCGCCGCGTTCCCGTGAGACCCCGTCGGTCCAGCAGCTTCGTGAGTGGTACGCTGGGCGTGGGAGGTCTGGGGGTGCTGGTCCCAGCACTTACGTTCTTCGCACCGGCAGTCGTCGTGGGGAGATGTGCGGGCTGCCACACACTGCGCAGCGCTGCTTCGGTCGCCTGACTGACGCCTGGCGCGCCCAGTTTCCTGACGCTGTTGAGCTCCCTCGTTGGGGTGATCTGCTTAGGCAGAATGTGGCTATCTTTGATCTTGATTTCGATGCTATCTTTGCTGCCATGTATGCTTTGACTGATAGTGCTGAGGGTGACTGTTACCTGAGTGTCCCGCCCGACCCGGGCATTGAGGCTGCTGCTCTAGGTGCTAGTGCGTCTACTGCTCCAGGTACTGGTGCGTCTGCTGCTCCAGGTACTGGTGAGTCTGCTGCTCCAGGTGCTGGTGAGTCTGCTCTCTCTGGTACTGCACCTACTGAAGCCTTGCACACTTTCACACTTGACTCTGGTGCTTCGCGCTCTTTCTTTAGAGACAGCACCACGCTCACGCCGCTCAGTCGGCCTGTCGCAGTCTCCCTGGCTGACCCCTCTGGGGGCCCAGTCCTTGCGCACTCTTCCACGGTTTTCCCGTGTCCTGCGGCCCCGTCGGGCTTGCTGTCGTGCCTCCACCTCCCCTCGTTCTTTACGAACCTGGTGAGTGGAGCTGACCTCCAGGACGCGTGGGTTGACCAGTTCACCCCTTGAGGTCAGCGTGTGACCCACTGCACTTGCTCTCGGACGGGCCGCCACCTGGCCACGTTCACCCGTCGGCCTGGGTCGAGTCTCTACACACTGACTACTGCGCCCCCTCCGGTCTCTGCGTCTGGTCAGGTAGCCGCGTCTAGTCAGGTGTTTGCTGCCGCGTCCAGGTCTAGTCCTGCGTGTGCCCCCTGCTCGTGTCGTCCTCTGACGCACGAGACTCTTCTGTGGCACCACCGCCTTGGTCACCCCTCCCTGCCTCGTCTTCGAGGTATGGCCTCCCGTACCCTTGTCTCGGTCCTCCCCCGGTGCCTTCCTCCCCTTCCTCCGGGGCCTGCCCCCACCTGTGTTCCTTGTGTCGAGGGCCGGCAGCACACCGCTCCTCACTCCTCCTCATTCCATCCGACCGAGGCTCCCCTGCAGACTCTTCACATGGACGTGTGGGGCCCAGCCCGCGTCCATGGACAGGGTCACGAGCGTTACTTCCTGCTGGTAGTTGACGAGTACTCGCGTTACACCTCAGTCTTCCCCTTACGCAGCAAGGGTGACGTCACTGAGGTGTTGATCGACTGGATCCGCGGTGCTCGTCGCCAGCTCAGCGAGAGTTTCGGCTCGGACCTTCCTGTTCTGCGTCTGCACTCGGACAGAGGTGGTGAGTTTTCCTCCGACCTTCTGAGGGCCTTCTGTCATGCGGAGGGCATCCGCCGGACGTTCACGCTTCCGGCCTCCCCACAGCAAAATGGGATTGCTGAGCGCCGCATTGGCATGGTCATGGACGTCGCTCGTGCGTCCATGATCCATGCGGCTGCTCCCCATTTTCTGTGGCCGTTCGCGGTTCAGTACGCTGCGCATCAGATCAACCTTCAGCCTCGTGTCTCCTTGCCGGAGACCACACCTACTCTGAGGTGGACGGGGAAGGTTGGCGATGCGTCCGCGTTCCGTGTCTGGGGATCTCGAGCTTTTGTCCGCGATACTTCCGCGGACAAGCTGTCCTCCCGTGCCGTTCCCTGTGTCTTCCTTGGCTTCCCCCCTGACGCACCTGGGTGGCAGTTCTACCACCCCACCTCGCGTCGTGTTCTGTCCTCTCAGGACGTCACGTTTGACGAGTCGGTGTCTTACTACCGTCTCTTTCCCTACCGCGCTGCCTCTCTCCCCCCCCCGCCACTCTTCCTAGCACCAGGTACTCCTCCGGTAGACCCCCTCCCCCTCAGGGTCCTGCCCCCTCAGGTGTGTCTCAGGTAGACCCTGCTGAGCCGGTCGAGGTAGATGTCGACTCAGGTGCTGCTGTGGGTGCGGGGACTGGGGGTGCGGAGCCTGGGGGTGTGGATGTCACGAGATGAACTTAGCTAGGAACGGGTTTATCTAAGGGCCTAGGCTTAGTAGCCTAGGCCAAGCGGGTGTCGAGGGAGTTGTGCCAAGAGAGAATCGAGAATGTGTTTCTTCACTATAGGTTTGCAAGAACATATAGCAAAGAAACAAAGAGGTGCACCACCACAACAAAGAAACATAACTACACTAAAGCTAAAGCTACAGGCAGTTATAAACATATATAAATATATATCGCGACACACCCCCTTAACTGCCTGCAGCACATAGCTAGAGCAAGTCACACCCCCTGAAGGGGCAGGTGCGGTGGGAGACGGCAGAGGGGTACGTGAGGAGGAGGAGGCAAGAGGAAGAGAGGAGAGGAGATTAGATAAGAACACAGGAGGAGGTGAGTGGGGGATGAGGAGAGGAGGTGGGGGGTGGCCGCAGCGTCCCCTCTTACTAACCCCCTTTTACGAAAGGGGGGGTTGAGTGGGGGATGAGGAGAAGAGGTGGGGGGGTGGCCGCAGCGTCCCCTCTTACTAACCCCCACATCCCCACCCCCAACCAACCACCCGCCCTCAACCTCACCCCCCATTTCAGTCGCCCCCTGGAACCGCACTCCCTCCACCCCTGTCTTCCTCCATACCTCTCCCAACCCACGATGGTCCCTGTACAGTCTTTCACAGGTGGGCTGCTGGGCACAGGTGGGCTGCTGGTCACAGGTGGGGCTGCTGGTCACAGGTGGGGCTGCTGGTCACAGGTGGGGCTGCTGGTCACAGGTGGGGCTGCTGGTCACAGGTGGGGCTGCTGGTCACAGGTAGGGCTGCTGGTCACAGGTGGGGCTGCTGGTCACAGGTGGGGCTGCTGGTCACAGGTGGGGCTGCTGGTCACAGGTGGGGCTGCTGGTCATAGGTGGGGCTGCTGGTCACAGGTGGGGCTGCTGGTCACAGGTGGGGCTGCTGGTCACAGGTGGGGTTGCTGGTGCTGGTGCTGGCGGCTGGCGCTGGTGCTGGTTCCTGGTGCTGGCAGCTGGCACTGGGGCTGGTTCCTGATGCTGGCGGCTGGCGCTGGGGCTGGTTCCTGGTGCTGGCGGCTGGCGCTGGTGCTGGTTCCTGGTGCTGGCGGCTGGCACTGGGGCTGGTTCCTGGTGCTGGCGGCCGGCGCTGGGGCTGGTTCCTGGTGCTGGCGACTGGCGCTGGGGCTGGTTCCTGGTGCTGGCGGCTGGCGCTGGGGCTGGTTCCTGGTGCTGGCGGCTGGCGCTGGGGCTGGTTCCTGGTGCTGGCGGCTGGCGCTGGGGCTGGTTCCTGGTGCTGGCGGCTGGCGCTGGGGCTGGTTCCTGGTGCTGGCGGCTGGCGCTGGTGCTGGTTCCTGGTGCTGGCGGCTGGCGCTGGTGCTGTTCCGCCACCACTCCCTTCCCCTCCTCTCTCTCCTTTCCACAGCGTCCCACCGCCACTCCCTTCCCCTCCTCCCTCTCCTCCCCATGGCGACCGCCGCTGCACACGCAAACAGTCGCGACGGGGGGGGGGGGGGGGTGACGGGCAGGGGGCGGGGGGAATGCGACGGGCAGAGCGGGCGAATGAGCGGCTGGGGCGATCGCCAGTGCTCTGGCGATCGTCGCTGGCGTTCCCCCGTCACTCCTATCCCCTCTTCCCTCTCGCCCCCACAGAGTTCCGCCGCCACTCCCATCCCTTCTTCCCTCTCCCCCCCACAGCGACCGCCGGTGCGACGGGCGAGGTGCAAGGTGGCGCTGGCTGCAGTCGATGGCGCAAACGCGATCGCGGGCCGCTGGCGACTTCGCTGGCGACTTCGCTGGCGGGTCGCTGGCGGCGGGTCCGCTGGCGTTCGCCATAGCGTCCGCCGCGCCCGTCGCGCTGAGAGCCGCGACGAGGCAGGCGACGGGGGGCAGCGCGAGCAGCAGGGAAAAAAAAAAGATACGCAAGGTGCGGATTTCGCGCCACTAACTGTAGCAGTCGCGAAATGTGGTGGGCCCATAAACGAAATAGGTCCTAGGACGGACCGCTCTGATACCATGTCACGAGACGAACTTAGCTAGGAACGGGTTTAACTAAGGGCCTAGGCTTAGTAGCCTAGGCCAAGCGGGTGTCGAGGGAGTTGTGCCAAGAGAGAATCGAGAATGTGTTTCTTCACTATAGGTTTGCAAGAACATATAGCAAAGAAACAAAGAGGTGCACCACCACAACAAAGAAACATAACTACACTAAAGCTAAAGCTACAGGCAGTTATAAACATATATAAATATATATCGCGACAGTGGAGTCTTAGGGTGCTGAGCCTGAGCGTGTGGAGCCTGGGGGTGCTTTGTCTGGGGGCGCTGGTGCTGTTCCGCCACCACTCCCTTCCCCTCCTCTCTCTCCTTTCCACAGCGTCCCACCGCCACTCCCTTCCCCTCCTCCCTCTCCTCCCCATGGCGACCGCCGCTGCACACGCAAACAGTCGCGACGGGGGGGGGGGGGGGGGTGACGGGCAGGGGGCGGGGGGAATGCGACGGGCAGAGCGGGCGAATGAGCGGCTGGGGCGATCGCCAGTGCTCTGGCGATCGTCGCTGGCGTTCCCCCGTCACTCCTATCCCCTCTTCCCTCTCGCCCCCACAGAGTTCCGCCGCCACTCCCATCCCTTCTTCCCTCTCCCCCCCACAGCGACCGCCGGTGCGACGGGCGAGGTGCAAGGTGGCGCTGGCTGCAGTCGATGGCGCAAACGCGATCGCGGGCCGCTGGCGACTTCGCTGGCGACTTCGCTGGCGGGTCGCTGGCGGCGGGTCCGCTGGCGTTCGCCATAGCGTCCGCCGCGCCCGTCGCGCTGAGAGTCGCGACGAGGCAGGCGACGGGGGGCAGCGCGAGCAGCAGGGAAAAAAAAAAGATACGCAAGGTGCGGATTTCGCGCCACTAACTGTAGCAGTCGCGAAATGTGGTGGGCCCATAAACGAAATAGGTCCTAGGACGGACCGCTCTGATACCATGTCACGAGACGAACTTAGCTAGGAACGGGTTTAACTAAGGGCCTAGGCTTAGTAGCCTAGGCCAAGCGGGTGTCGAGGGAGTTGTGCCAAGAGAGAATCGAGAATGTGTTTCTTCACTATAGGTTTGCAAGAACATATAGCAAAGAAACAAAGAGGTGCACCACCACAACAAAGAAACATAACTACACTAAAGCTAAAGCTACAGGCAGTTATAAACATATATAAATATATATCGCGACAGTGGAGTCTTAGGGTGCTGAGCCTGAGCGTGTGGAGCCTGGGGGTGCTTTGTCTGGGGGTGCTGAGTCTGGAGGTGCTGAGTCTGGAGGTTCTCCGGGTGTCCCGTTCCGGCGGGAGCCCCTCTCTCCACAGCGGCTTCGTGAGTGGTACGCTCGGCGCTGTCGCGGTACTACTAGTGCTGCTGGTGCTGGAGCTACTGGAGGTGCTGCTGGTGCTGGAGCTGCTGGAGGTGCTGCTGGTGCTGGTGCTACTGGAGGTGCTGCTGGTGCTGGAGCTACTGGAGGTACTGCTGGTGCTGGTGCTGCTGGAGGTGCTGCTGGTGTTGAGCTGCTGGAGGAGCTGCTGGTGCTGGAGCTGCTGGAGGTGCTGCTGGTGCTGGTGCTAATGGAGGTGCTGCTGGTGCTGGAGCTACTGGAGGTACTGCTGGTGCTGGTGCTGCTGGAGGTGCTGCTGGTGCTGGAGCTGCTGGAGGAGCTGCTGGTGCTGGAGCTGCTGGAGCCGCTGGTCCTGGAGGTGCTCGTACTGGAGGTACTGGAGCTGCTGGGGCTGGTGGTACTACAGGCGTTGGAGCTGCAGGTACTGAGGCTGGTGGTGCTGTGGGAGTTATTACTGGAGACCCTGGAGCTGAGGGTACTGGTGCTGTCTCTGCTGTTTCTGAAGGCGCTGCGCGGCCGCGGCCCCACTACGTTCCGCTCCTTCAGCAGGTTCTTGGTCTACCGCCTTCTCCTGGTCCTACTCCTCCTTTACTGAGTCCACAGCCTGTCCAGTCACAGTCTCGGTTGCAGCCGTCCTCTCCACTTCCTGGTCCTTCTCCTTACTCTGGACCGACTAGAGGTCTTACGGAGCGTCGTGAGCCTGAGTCGCGTCCTGTGTCGCCTGTGTCTCGTGCTGCGTCGCCTGTCCGCAATGCTCACGCTGGTCGTGTTTTGCATTCGCGTCCTCCTCCTGTCCCTGGCACTCACTCTATGACTCTGCGTCCTTCCACTGCTCCACATCGTGTCCCTCTGCCCTCTCCTCCTGCGTCCTCTCTTCCTGACGGTCCGGACCCGGAGACTGACTCCCTTCGTGCTGCTAGTCCTACTGTCACGCGCTTTCTGGCCACTGCTGTCACTGACCCTTTGTTTGACTCCACTGCTGCGTCTGCTCTCGTTGCTGAGCTTGTTGACTTTGCTGCAGCCTGTCGCCTAGACTATGCCACTAGTCTTGTTGCTGAGTCTGCGTCTGCGTCTGTCTCTCCTCCGTCCGTCGGGGGTGAGTGTGCTCTTGGCACGGACGTTCTTGAGGACAGACAGGAGTTTGAGTGCTTTGCCGCTGCTGTACCTCATCTCGTGTCCATCCTGCTTGCCCCTGAGGGAGACCCGGATGCACCAGACATCCCGACCCCGCGCTCTTACGCAGAGGCGATAGAGGGTCCCTACTCCTCTCAGTGGCAGGCAGCCATGGACGCCGAGATGGCTTCCTGGAAGTCCACAAGCACCTACGTCGACGAGGTTCCCCCGCCTGGGGCGAACATCGTCAGTGGCATGTGGATCTTCAGGGTGAAGCGGTCGCCGGGTTCTCCGCTTGTCTTCAAGGCGCGTTACGTTGCACGTGGCTTCAGTCGGCGACAGGGAGTTGACTTCTTCCAGACCTTCTCCCCTACCCCGAAGATGACCACTCTTCGGGTACTGCTGCACGTTGCCGCTCAGCGTGATTACGAGCTCCACTCGCTTGACTTCAGCATAGCCTTCCTACAAGGCAGCCTGCACGAGGAGATCTGGCTGCGGCGCCTACCTGGCTTCACTGGGTCGTTTCCTGCTGGTACCCAGTGGAGCCTCCGCCGGCCAGTCTACGGTCTCCGCCAGGCACCCCGTGAGTGGCACGACACACTGAGGACGACTCTTGCTGCTCTTGGTTTTGCTCCTTCCACTGCTGACCCTTCTCTGTTTTTACGCACTGACACCACTCTGCCGCCGTTCTACGTTCTCGTGTACGTAGACGACCTTGTCTTTGCTACTGCTGACATTGAGGCACTCGCCCACGTGAAGTCTGAGCTGCAGAAGAGACACACGTGCACAGACCTGGGTGAGCTGACAAGCTATCTTGGCTTGCGGATCACCCGGGATAGAGCATAGCGCACCATTACCTTGACTCAGTCACACATGGTGCAGTAGGTCCTTCAGCGCTTCGGCTTCACGTACTCCTCGCCACAGTCCACTCCTCTGCCTACCGGTCACTCGCTCTCAGCTCCACCTTCGGACGAGTCCGTAGAGCCGAGTGGCCCGTATCCAGAGCTTGTGGGCTGCCTCATGTACCTGATGACTTGCACACGACCTGACCTCGCATACCCTCTCAGCCTTCTGGCTCGCTACGTGGCTCCCGGCAGGCACCGAAAGGTGCACTGGGATGCTGCGAAGAGGGTGTTGCGCTACTTGTGCAGTACATCGGGCATGGGGCTCGTGCTTGGAGGACGGGCTTGAGTTGTCCTCACTGGTGACGCTGACGCCTCCTGGGTTGACGACTTGGCTACGCAGCGGTCGTCACAGGGTTACACCTTCAGTCTTGGCTCCGGTTCTGTTTCTTGGCGGTCTACCCGCTCTTCTTCTGTTCTCAGCTCCAGTTGTGAGGCTGAGATCTACGCTGGGGCCATGGCTGCACAGGAGCTTCGCTGGCTCACCTACCTGCTGACCGACTTGGGAGAGGCGCCTCGTTCTCCTCCAGTTTTGTACGTCGACAACAAGGCCATGCTTGCCTTGTGTAAGGAGCACAGACTGGAGCACAGAACAAAGCAAATTGCTCTGCGCTACTTCCTTGCTCGAGAGTTGCAGCAGCGTGGCCAGCTTCGTCTTGCTTACGTGGCCTCTCAGGCCAACACTGCTGATGTTTTCACCAAGGCACTTCAGCCTTGTGATCATCAGCGTTTCTGTACTGTGTTAGGTCTTGTACCTACTGTACCTCACTTGCTTACTTCTTGACTCTGCTTGTACTGTACTCTTTATACATATACCTGCATGCTTATACTTGCTAGGTTGTGTTCACTGTATTACTTGCTCTCCTTATATAACTCTGCATGTGAACTGACCTTGTGGCCATTTGCTTGTGCTCAGACTGCGTGGTGACTTTGTGATCCACCCTGAGCTTGCTTTGCCTTTCTTGACTGGTCTTGTGACCTCTTGTTCTCCCCCACTTTGCCTATGGGGGTGTGTCAAACTTATATGCTATAGTCTGTTTAGGCTGTAGTGGGGTAGTTCTTATAGGGTACAACACTTTTAGGTTTGCTACTTGTACCTACCTGCTTGCTAATTCAGTCATTCATTCGCTCACATTCTAACATGGACTTCGTCATAGGTTTACCGGCCGGAGCAAGTGGGAACGACGCAATCCTGGTCGTGGTCGATCGGCTGACGAAAATGGCACATTTCTCAGCCTGCAAGAAATCAATCACAGCCGAATAAACAGCCTGCCTCTTCATCTCCATTGCCGTTCGACTACACGGGATACTAGCAGCGATCATCAGCGACCGCGACACGAAATTCACCAGCAACTTCTGGCGGAACTTGTTGCAGCAGTTCGGCACGCGACTACGGTTTAGTTCTTCGCACCACCCCGAAACCGACGGACAGACAGAACGGACAAACCAGATCATGGAGCAACTCATCCGAGCCACGTGCGACGATCCGACCACCTGGGAACAGCAACTGCCACTCATCGAATTCGCGTACAACAACTCGCCATCTGCCACGACCCAACAGTCACCGTTTTATCTGAACTACGGACAAAACCTTACAATACCCATGACCCCGAATCCCGACAACCCAGTACCACGAGCGCAGTAGTTCGCAGAAATCTTACAAGCAGCACGGACCAGTGCAGCCGACGCAATTAAAGAGGCCAACGTCATCGCTAAGCGCAACGCCGACCGCCACCGCAGACCTGTCACTTACCAGCCCGACAACCTAGTTTTACTCGACACCCAAAACCTCCGCCTGCCCATCACCCCGAAACTCCGCCCCTGATATTGCAGGCCATTTCGCATCAGCCACATGATCACACCCGTCACCGCCCACCTCTTCCTCCCGGCTGACTGGTACGTCAACCCGTCCTTCCACGTCAGCCTGCTTTGCCCTTACGTACCATCCACCAACCAACTGCCCCGCAACCGCCCAGCCAGCATGACACGACCGCCGACAGAACCAATCATCACGCCCGAAAAGATTCTGAGCCACCGAGTTCGTGACCCACGGGGAGCTCGAAGGATCGAATTTCTGATCCGCTGGAAAGACCGCACGCCCACTGAAGATAATTGGGTTCCCCTGGACAGAATTGAAAACCACCCCGTCCTCACTGAGTATCTGCGCAGCCGAAATTTCCGGGATGTACACGCGCTTTCGTAAGGAGGGCCTCCATAGGGGGGGGGCGGGTAATGTAAGGAAAAATCATTTTCCTTACTTCGCGTCCCTGCTCAGCGCGTACACCACTGTTTCCCACCAACAGCACGCAACAATAACCCGTTACCACTCGCGACACTCGCCTCGACACTATTCCCGCCAATGTTCACGACGCGGCCCAACCTCACGGTTCGGTTGGTAACCCGCGCTCCGGACCTCCGCCTCGACAATCCCCAACCTCGGCGCTAGGCCCGTCGCGCACCCCATTTTCCACACATTACCGTTACCACTGTAGTTTCTCTATATATTCTTCGCTCATTGTATTCTTGCTTCGATAGTGCAATCCTCGCTCGCTCACCCAATTGCACTCGTAACCATGTCCCTCACACACACACACACATACACACACACACACACACACACACACACACACACACACACACACACACACACACACACACACACACACACACACACACACACAAAACATACGGCATAAACACTGCATAAGAATGGCTAGGGATGAGATGAGCAATTAATACTATTGCTGTCTTGCCCGATTAAGATTCAAATAACACAGGGCAGTGAATCGCAAGATGAGACGCTAACTGATTGATCAACTGGGTCAGTTGTTTTGGACACAAAGGTATTGTAGTAGGTGGAAGGCAATTTTATCTGCGTATAGATGAAGTTAGTTTTACTGTAGGAAGATGCCGTGGTATTCAGATTAATCGTTCCCAACAATGAATCAGGCAGAGCCTCTGAGATTTGCGTGTGAAACAAGCGGGTTCTGATTTCCCGAGCTGAGTTGCAGCCCGCAGACCTGGATCAAGACGCGTCATGTCCACCAATGGACGGTCCATTGGCTCCTAATTCTCGCTAAAACGTATCACAATGCAGGTCATGGTGACTCGCTCGTGTATACGGACCTACCTTCTTGCTCTCTGCTGCTTCGCGATATTTCCTTGTTTCCATGCCAGCAGCTTTTCAGGCGACTTACCGAATTCGGACTTCAACGACGGAACATTACCACCCGGCTATGGAATACACGCGGAGCCACTCGGAAGTAGCGATCATTACATCAGTGATCAGTTCAGGAATCAGGGCGGGCAGCTGGTGGAACCAGCCAGCACGGAACAAGCGAACGAGTGGTTGACGAAAGAATTGGACGAGGAGGCGAAGCCGATGCAGTTGTTACGACCGTCGCCGAATCATGATCGGTTGGAAGTGGTTCAGTCCACTTTGGATGTGTTGGAGAGAATACAGCAGCCCGTGGCTTTCGTGGCGGTCGTCGGCCCTTACCACGGGTACGCGTTCGTTGTAATCCGCTCGTTGTCCAAGCTCCGTTTTTCTTCTGCTGGTTCAGCACAGCACCGAGACATCATTACTAACAAATTTCTACATCAGCCATTTCAGATGCCAATCGCCATTGCCTGGTTCTCCTTATACTTGATTCACAATTTCAATCCATCCCTCCCTGCCCCCCTCCCCTCTCCCCTCTCCCCTCTCCCCTCTCCCCCACTCCCCCTCCCTTCTCCCTGTCGTTCCCCCTCACGTCAGTGGCATTCATTCCTACCTCAATATGCCTCTCAGCTCCACCACTAGCTTCCAGAGAACTTCAGAATTCTTTCAACAACTTCTCACGATCCCCCCACCCCAACCCTTTTCTCTCCCTTCCAAACCTCTCCTTTCCCTTCCTCCCCCACCCACGGCAGGGGCAAGTCCTTCCTGCTGAACGTGCTGCTCAACTCCACGTGCGGCTTCCCTGTGTGCTGAGCAGGCGCCTTGCGGCACACCTTTCCGCCTTCGTGTGGTCAACCTGCCAATCCACTTCAATCACAGGCATTTCCCTTTTTCCTTCCTCTCTTCCCAACGGCAGGGGCAAGTCCTTCCTGCTGAACGTGCTGCTCAACTCCACGCGCGGCTTCCTAGTGGGCACGCATCCAGACCCCGAGACCCTGGGGCTCTGGGTGCGTGTGCTGCCCCCCCACCGCCTGCAGGCGCGGGACGGAGCGGTGGTGCTGCTGGTGGACTCGGAGGGGCTGTATGGGGACGGTGCTTCACGGGCGTATGATGCAAAGCTTTTTGCTGTGGCTACGCTGCTGTCCTCGCATCTAATCTACAACACCTTGCGCACACTCGGTGAGAGGGGAGGGGTGATAGGACAACCAGCACCTGGAGGGGAGGGGCTGCATGGTATGGGGGGTCCGCATGGACCATGGTGGCGTGGCACTGGCTGCAAGTACGTGACAGTCCGGTGGTGATGCACCTCTCTTCACCTATCTGCACCTCTCTGCACCTCGGTACCTCCCTGTACCTCTCCCCACCTCTCTTCTCCCCTCTCCAGGTGACGCGCAGTCAGTGGCAGCGTTGGCGGACCTAGCAAAGCAGGCACACGTGTTCAACCTGCAGAACTGGCTGCACTCGGGGGGGTGGGGACCCGCTCACTCCAATTCCGCTGGCACTGGTGATGGTGCTGCTGCTGCTGCTGCTGCTGCTGCTGCTGCTGCTGTTCCTGCTGCTTCCCCTGCAGCAGCATCGTCCCACCTGCCTGACCCACGGCTTCTGCTGCAGACACTCACCTTCCCTCCCCTCACCTGGGTGGTGCAAGGCTTTGACCTCGACTTACAGCAGCAGGAAGACTCCCCTTCACCCCACTCCACCGCATCCCACTCCGCCCCACCCCACTCCACCCCATCCCACTCTGCCTCACCGCACTCCACCTCCTCCCACGCCACCTCCGTCTCCCCCATGGTGTACCTGCAGCGCTACCTAGCGGCACATGCACGCACGGGAGACCAGTCCCTAGAAACCCTCTTTACACAGGGTATAGCGTGCCTCACTGTGCGCACGCCCACGGATATCAATAGGCTTCGGGAGGAGGTGGGCGGGGCGGGGTTGGGCGCTGCTGACGTGGAGCTCATGCCAGCGCTGCACCCGGGGTACCTTGCTGACGTGGCGGCAGTGCGGGAGCGCGTGATTGGAGGGCTGGAGGCGAAGGGACCGGCTGGGCAGAAATTCACAGGGGAGACTGTCGGTGAGTGGATGTTGGGAGGATCCTTTTAACCGTCTCCCATTGCCTTTCCCTTCCCCTTTCTGTTCTGCCTTCATTTCCCCTCTCAGTGTGCTTGCTGCCCCTTACATTTCGTGCCGTTCCAGGGCACACCTACTTTCTTTTGTCTCTTCCATGCTCCTCTCACTCAAATTTCCTCCTCGGCACCAGCATGCCTGCTCCCACTGCTCGTTGCCTTTCTGAACGGTGAATTCCCAATAATCTTCCTGCTTCCTTTTTCACTTCCATGAACTACCCAACTCGCTTTCCATGCTCCCCTCACCCCGCTCTACTCCTCTTCCCACCAGCTCGCCTGCTTCCCCTGCTGGTCCATTTCGTGAACAGTGACTTCCCACTAAACGCCGAGCGCCACATACAACAAGTCATGCTGGACCTGCTGCTGGACGGCGCGTTCGCCTCCGCCGTCCACTTCTTTCGTCTGCATGCCGATGCCGCCCTCGACCGATTCACTCGAGCCACCCGCGCTGCTGCTAGTGTTTCTGCTGAGGACATAAGTGGGAGAGGTGAAGAGGGAGATTTATTTGCTGCTTCAGGCACTGGCACTGAATGGGACGTGAGCAGTGCTGCAGAACCTGCTGCAGCTGTGGCAGGGGAAGGAGCTCACACGTTCTCTGCTGCTGCTGCTGCAGCACTGGCCTCCCAATCTCCAGCGTCTCAGCTGCTCTCAGCCACGTTCACAGCGGAGCACATGGAGCAAGTACTTTCCAAGGCAGGTCTGCCCTCTCGCTCTTTCTGGCATTCCCTCCTTCTCCTTCGCTCTTTCCCTTCTTTCTTGTCTGCTGCTCTAGCTGTGTCACCCCGCTGTGTGCTCTGCTACTCTCACCCATTGTCACTGTGCATGCCTCTCCCTCACTCCCTCACCCGCCTTGCTTTCCTCCTCAGTGTCCTCCCTTTTGCTCCTCCCATGCCCGGCATTCCCTCTTACCCCCTCTCTCCCCCCTTCCCTCCTTCCAGAGCAAGACGCGCAGCACTACTGCATGGCGCGCAGTGTGGGTGTGCCTGCAGACCGCTCCGCCATGACATGCGGAGTGAGGCTCTTCGCCAAGCTGGACCACATCAAACCACACTACAGGTCAGGGGTGTTGGGCTCCTCGTTGAGAGTTCTCAGCAAGCATGGGCGTGCGGCGTGCCTGCATATTGCTCCGCCATGATGTGTACAGTGAGCTTCTTTGCCAAGCTGGACCACATCAAGCCAAGCTACCGGTAGGTGGTGTAGCGTCTCGTCTGGGCTATCCTCTCTACCAAGCTGGACGGACCATCCGTACTACAGGTGGGTGTTGCTCCACAGGCTCCTTTCTTGTGGCACCTCACAAGTTGCCTGCTGGTTGTTCTGTCATGACATGACATGACATTCTCTCGGCAGGTTTAGCAAGGAGCACAGTGTGCTGCATGCATGCGCATGATGCTTTTTTTTCTAGGCGCCTCAACTCAGGTCCAGCAACGTGCATGTGGCGTTTGCAGCTCTGGCAAACGAATTTTTGTCTTTCCCTCTGGCCCTTTCTCCCGCACCCGTATCCCCCGTCCCACTTATCCTTATCATCCATGATCTCAGGTCCAGCAACGAGCACAACGTGCACGTGGTGCTGGTAGCACTGGCAGACTCTGAAGCCTCATTGGCATCCCCTTCCTTTACCCCCTTGGCTCTCCCCCTCGCGCTCTATTCGCAGGTCCAGCAACGAGCACAACGTGCATGTGGCGCTGGCAGCACTGGCAGACGAGTTGCAGCAGGCAGCACATGCAGCAATCGCTGCCCTTCGCCTCCCACAGCAGGAGCAGCTGTTGGAGCAGCAGTGCGAGGCAGTCCGTGTGGCAGCCGTTGACAGGTAAGGGATTGACTTCCTTGCAGCCGTTGACAGGTAAGGGATTGACTTCCTTGCAGCCGTTGACAGGTAAGGGATTGACTTCCTTGCAGCCGTTGACAGGTAAGGGATTGACTTCCTTGCAGCCGTTGACAGGTAAGGGATTGACTTCCTTGCAGCCGTTGACAGGTAAGGGATTGACTTCCTTGCAGCCGTTGACAGGTAAGGGATTGACTTCCTTGCAGCCGTTGACAGGTAAGGGATTGACTTCCTTGCAGCCGTTGACAGGTAAGGGATTGACTTCCTTGCAGCCGTTGACAGGTAAGGGATTGACTTCCTTGCAGCCGTTGACAGGTAAGGGATTGACTTCCTTGCAGCCGTTGACAGGTAAGGGATTGACTTCCTTGCAGCCGTTGACAGGTAAGGGATTGACTTCCTTGCAGCCGTTGACAGGTAAGGGATTGACTTCCTTGCAGCCGTTGACAGGTAAGGGATTGACTTCCTTGCAGCCGTTGACAGGTAAGGGATTGACTTCCTTGCAGCCGTTGACAGGTAAGGGATTGACTTCCTTGCAGCCGTTGACAGGTAAGGGATTCCCCTTCCTCAGAGGGAGCAGCTGCTGGAGCAGCTGTGTCAGGCTGTTCGCATGGCAGCTGTTGACAGGGTGAGCTGCTTACATAACTATCACCTGTCATACCACTCACAACAAGCAGAGCACACGCCTCTGTCGCCGCCCTTCCTGTCCCCCTGAGAGAGCAGCAGTGTGGCAGGCTGTTCGCATGGCAGCTATCGGCAGGTATGTGTTAGAATATAGCATAATGTATGTTTATATTTGTGCATGTGTTACACCCTAAAGTGGGTGTACACTTTGGGTCAAGGCGACCCAACCAATTTTGGTTGGGCGCCCCCAAACCCAACTCGACCGCAATTGACGGGGGGGGGCCAATAATGGTCCCCTCCAACGATTGTTGGTTACCCCAGCAATTGTTGGTCGACCCAATCTGATTGGTCCACCAATAAATGCTGAGGGTACCCCACTTCGTTCCCAAAACTTCTCATCTCCTATATGTACCGACACTCTTTCTAATCAAGACAACACTTGAGATTCTTTCATGGTATTCAGAGCCAATTGGCAAACGCCCCTCTCGACCTCTTTCTCTCAAGTTTTTTTTTCCTCCCCGCTCGTCAGGACCCTTCCGTCCTGCCCATGCAACTTGTTGCGTGGGTTTGACTTGGTTGAAGTTCAATCTTCCGTAAAGTACAACCAGTCACCACCTCCCTCCAGCTCCTACTCTATCTCTCGTAAGGCGAATTTCTCGCCTCAGCTCCTGCCGCCGCATTTACGTTCTCAGCTGCCGGCGTCTCAATCGCCGCGACCTATCCGCCGTCGCCACTACTCTCGCACCGCTTTTCTTCCTTGCGGGGCATTTCGCCGCCGCCGCCGCTGCTTCACTCGCCGCGGGGCATTTCGCCGCCGCCGCCACTGTTCCCACTCGCCGCGGGGCATTTCGCCGCCGCCGCCACTGCTCCCACTCGCCGCGGGGCATTTCGCCGCCGCCGCCACTGCTCCCACTCGCCGCGGGGCATTTCGCCTCCGCCGCCACTACTCCACTCGCCGCGGGGCATTTCGCCGCCGCCGCCACTGCTCCCACTCGCCGCGGGGCATTTCGCCGCCGCCGCCTCTGCTCCCACTCGCCGCGGGGCATTTCGCCGCCGCCGCCACTGCTCCCACTCGCCGCGGGGCATTTCGCCTCCGCCGCCACTGCTCCCACTCGCCGCGGGGCATTTCGCCTCCGCCGCCACTACTCCACTCGCCGCGGGGCATTTCGCCGCCGCCGCCACTGCTCCCACTCGCCGCGGGGCATTTCGCCGCCGCCGCCACTGCTCCCACTCGCCGCGGGGCATTTCGCCTCCGCCGCCTCTACTCACTCGCTGCGGGCAATTTGCCGCCGCCACTGCCTCTCCTCGCTGCAAGACACTTCGCCGCGGCTGCTCCTACTCTCCCTCGCCGCCAGGCACTTAGCTACTGCCTCATCTCTTCCTCCCCGCCGCTCCCTCGACCCTTCCCCCCCCCCCCATTGCTTCCGCCCACCGTTTCCTCTCCCGCTGCCTCTCTCATACTATCTCTGCTCTCCGCCTCTCCTGCCACGCTACTGCTCCCAATCCTCTCCCACGTGCTGCTACTAACCCCCCTCCTCCTCTCCCTCAGCTTCTAACCTGCCTCGCTTTCGCTCGCTACTAACATTTTTTCTCCCCTCACATCGCACTAACTTACTGCTATGGCTGCTCCTTCTCTTCCTCAGAATTTCAACACTCTCTCCATTGATCGGCTCGAGCTCGCTCCCGATCAGAGCGCTATCAACTGGTACTCCTACACAAGGAGCATGCGCCGCCTCCTCGGCGTCATCCACATCCCCAACACCTCCTCCACCCTCCTCGACCTTGTCCTCCGCCATGCTGCCGCTCTCCCGCCAATGCCCCCTATGTCCCCTGGATCGGCCCCCACTCTCCCGCCTGACCCTGGACCTGAACCTGACGAACCAGATCTGCCCGCTGCCTCCACGGATCCTGTTCGCCAAGCCGCTGATGAAGCAGCCTATGATCTCGAGCGGCGTCGGTTCCTCACGCTCCGAGCGGACCATCGTGCGGCTCGCGAGCAATACGACATGCGCCAAGCTGCCATAATAAATCACCGCACCATGGCTGACCGCTACACTCTCGCGCTCGCTGAATATACCGCTAAAGCTGCTGCTTGGAAGGAATCTGACCTTTCTGCCTCTAATATTATCCTTGGTGGTCTCCCCCCCGCTCTAATGCGAGACTTTCAGGAACAAGAGCTTCACGCACCTGCCCTTTGGGCCTCCCTTCACGCCATGTTTGAGCGCCATGACGTCAACTCCGTGGGGCTGCTCCTTGACGAATACTGGGAGACAACGCTCGCAACCTGCACTGGTGCCGTCGCCTACACCGGCCGCATGACCTCTCTCGCCAAGCGACTTAAGGCTCGCCAGTCCGAACTCCCCCAGTTCATCCAGATAGATCGCCTTCTCCGCAGTCTCAACCCGTCCTACGACATGCACGTCATTGCCTTCCGCGAAAATCAGCCGTTTGCGGATGTTGCTGCTGTTGTTCAATGGATCATTGACACCGAAACCCGCCTCCTTCGTACCAACCCGCCTTCTCTCAACACGGCTCAAGCACCCGCGCCAGAACTCAACGCCACCCAGACACGCGGTGGTGGGCGTGGTGGTGGTCGCGGTGGCGGACGTGGAGGTGGGCGTGGTGGCGGCCGTGGTGGTGGACGTGGTGGCACCTTTGGTGGACGCACTCCTTCTTGCACGGGCGGCCCTGGAGGAAGTGGACGTGGTGGTAGCGGACCTGGTCAACTCCCCCCCTGCCCCTACGTTCGCCGTCACGGCCCTCGCGCTGGGGAACCCTGCGGTCAAACCAACCACCCCATAACCACCTGCTTCGGCGTCTTGGACGATGCCTGGTTTGATCGTGGTAACCATGGTACCCCCCCCCCGCTGGTCCGCTCTTGCAAGTCGTCCCACTGTCCATGATGTTCAACATCTCCCTCTCTATCAACCCTCCCACCTTAACCTCACCACTCCCTCTCCTCAACTGCAACTCCAGCAGTTTTTGCAGCATCTTCAGTCACAGCAGTTGCAGCAGCCCCCGCAGCTGCCCCCACAGCCGCAGCCGCACCAGCAGCCACAGCAGCCGCCCTGGGGAGGTGGGGGAGGCGCAGCCGCCACAGCAGCGGCAGCAGCAGCAGCAGCAGCAGCAGCAGCAGCAGCAGCAACTGCCGCCTGGCAGCAGCAACCTCTTGGCTTCGGTTCTGCCGCCACCGCCGCCCATACCTCCCCAGCTGAGTCATACTCTAGCTTTCTTGGTCAGCTAGCTTCTCCCTTGCCTAGCACCACCTCCATGTATCCCTCTGTTCTTAATAACAGTGACTTCCAGTATTCTGCGTCTCCTTCCCCGCTCACCTTGGACTTTGTCCTCGATAGCGGGGCCACCGTCAGTGCCCTGAAGGACGCTGGCATTCTCAAAACACTATCTCTCCCCTCCACTGTTCATGGCGCTGATTCTAGCTTCTCGATCCCATGCACACACTCCTCTACTCTTCCGTGTCCCCTCTTTCCCTCCGGCACTATCACTGGCCTCCACATTCCCACTCTTCGTCACAACCTTATTTCTCTTCATGATCTCCAAAAAGCCGGCATTACCGCCATTTTTCCTGCCCACTTTTCCTATTGCGATCTCATTCATACCTCCACTGGCCGCCTTGTCTATCGCCTCCCAATCTGCCCCCGCACTCACCTTTACACACTACGTCTCCCTTTTCCGGCATCATGTCATCTCACCACCCGTCGCTCCACCTACCCTTCTCCCACCATTGCTCCTCCCCCTTCATCATCTCCCACTCCCTCTACCTCTCCCGACCTCTCCCTCTCTCACCCCGCCATTCTCCTCCATCACCGTCTTGGTCACCCCAACTTCACCACCCTCCGTGCCGCAATATCCTCTCGCCTCCTTCATGGGCTCCCCCCTGCCCTTCCTCCCCTACCCACCTCACCAGCTCCTCCTTGTCCCACTTGCATTCATGGCAAACTCAAACAAAAACCCCATCACAGCCATCCCTCATTTGCTACTGCTCCCCTAGATCTCGTCCACATGGACCTCTGGGGTCCCTCCCCCTCCCCTTCCCGCCAGGGCCACCGCTTTATGCTCGTCCTCGTAGACGACCATAGCCGCTACTCCTCTGTGTTTCTACTCCACACGAAAGCTGAAGCAGCCGCTGTCATCATCGCCTGGGCCGAACAAGCGCGCGTGCACTTCGGCCGACCCATCCGTCGCCTTCACTCTGACGGTGGCGGGGAGTTTCTCAACCATACCATTGCCTCCTACTGCAAAGCACATGGCACTCAACAGACGTCCACTCTCCCTCATTCTCCGCAACAAAACGGTGTAGCTGAAAGTCGCATCCGTGAGATCACCAAAACTGCCCGCTGTCTCCTCACCCATGCATCTACCCCTCCCTCCCTTTGGGGCTATGCTCTCACTCATGCCGCCCTTCTCACCAACCTCTACCCTCACCCCCACCATCCCAACCTCACTCCCACTGAGCTTTGGTGCAACACCAAACCTGATGCCTCCGTCCTTCGCGTCTGGGGCTGCAAATCCTTTGTTCTCATTCCTCCCGCAGACCGTTCCCGCAAAGCAGGAAAACTTGCCTCCAAAGCATTGGAGTGCGTCTACCTGGCCACAATCGTGGCTCTCCTGGGTACCTCTTCCTTCATCCTCCCTCCGGACGCCTCATTCGCAGCCGCGATGTCGTCTTCGATGAAACCATCCCCTACTACTCCTCTCCTCCTCCCTCCGACCCTCTCCCCCCACCCTCCCGCCCACTCACCTAGGCGGATGCCCTTCTTCCTCCTCTCCTCCCATCTGCTCCACTCCTCCCAACTACTCCACTCTCACCTCCACCTTCCTCGGCTGATATCTATGATCCTGCTGCCTCACCTGCCCTTTCCACCGCTCCCCCTCCTCCCTCTCCCCCTCCTCCCTCCCCTCCCACCCACCTCCCTCCAGCTTCTCCTCCTCCATCCTCGCCCGCCGCACCTCCTGCATCCTCCCCACGTCCTCGCACTTCTCTCACCTCACGCTCTCCCTTCCTCCTCCCACGCATGCACACTCGCTCCCTTGACCCCATTCTTGGTCAACCACCTCTCATTCATGAAGACTCCCATGAGGAGTTTTGTGCCATTCACACTCACGTTCCTTCCCTTAACCCTGTGTACCTTGCCCTTTTGGGCGCGGTTGTACTTGGCACTCCCTCCTCACCTCTCATCTTCACGCCTACCACATTCCAGGAGGCAATCACGTGCCCTGACGCTGACAAATGGCTGGAGGCCATTCGCAAGGAGTGCGACGCCTTCATTCGCAATGATTCCTTCGTCGATGTCAAGCCGCCTCCAGATGCCAACATTGTCGCTGGCAAGTGGGTCTTCCGGGTGAAGCAGCTTCCGGGGGAGGAGCCCGTCTACAAAGCCCGTTACTGCGCCAAGGGCTTCACACAGACCTATGCCAAGGACTTTTGGGAAACCTTCTCACCTACCGCAAAATTCGGGACCCTTCGCACGCTTCTCGACTTTGGCTCCCGCAACGGCATGGAGATCTCATCAATGGATGTCTCTAACGCTTTTCTTCAGGGGAACCTCCACGAACAAATCTTCCTCGACCGCCCAGATGGCTTCCATGAAGCCTTCCCACCAGACACTGTCTGGGAACTACGCCGTCCAGTCTACGGCCTGAAGCAGGCTCCTCGGGAATGGCATGCTAAGCTGGCATCTACACTCTGTGCTCTCGGATTTCAACCATCTCACTCTGACGCCAGTCTCTTCATTCGGACCCGTCCCAGCCGCTTCTTCGTCCTAGTCTATGTTGACGACATGGTGCTCCTCGCCGACACCTCCGCCGACATGACCGACGTTAAGGAAGAACTACAAGCTCGTCTCCAGTGCAAGGACCTTGGCGAATTACGCCACTACTTGGGCATGGAGATCACACGCGATCGAGCTGCCCGCACCATCACCTTATCTCAATCTCACTATCTTCAGCAGGTGTTGGAGCGGTTCGACATGGCTCTCGCCAACCCAGTGGCCACTCCCCTTCCATTCGGCCATGGGCTTGCTCCACCCACCTCCCCCTCCGCCTCCACTCAGCCCTATGCGGAACTGGTTGGCTCCATCATGTATGCCATGATGGGGACCCGTCCCGACCTCGCCTACCCCATCAGCGTCCTGGCGCGTTTCGTCGGTACCGGTCGTCACACCTCCGTGCATTGGAGAGCCGCCAAACGAGTCCTACGCTACCTCCGTGGCACTCAGGACCATGTTCTCACCCTTGGTGGTGCCTCTCCCCCGCTCCTCACCGGCTTCAGTGACTCGTCTTGGGCAGACTCTCAGCCGGATCGCCGCTCTTCCCAAGGATATGGCTTCACGCTCGGTAGCGGCTTGGTCAGCTGGCGCTCCACCCGCTCCTCCGCCATCGCCCTCTCATCTTGTGAAGCCGAACTCTATGCTGGTACCATGGCTGCGCAGGAAGGACGCTGGCTTTCCTTCTTGCTAGCCGAGCTTGGGGCCCCCCAGCCATGCCCCACGCTCTGGTGCGACAACGCCAGCACGATCCACCTCACCAAGAATCCAGTCTTCCACGGGCGCTCCAAACACATCGAACTACGCTACTTCTACATTCGCGATCTTGTCCAGCAAGGCCATCTTGCCGTCCGAAAAATTGCCGCCGAAGCCAACCTCGCTGACATCTTCACCAAAGCTCTTCCGAAGCTAGCCCACCGGGCCTTCCTTCGCCTTCTTGGCCTCTCCCCGGCTTCATGATTCCGGGGTTGTGCACACTTATAAACCTCTTATGCTACGGGGTTGTGTTAGAGTATAGCATAATGTATGTTTGTATTTGTGCATGTGTTACACCCTAAAGTGGGTGTACACTTTGGGTCAAGGCGACCCAACCAATTTTGGTTGGGCGCCCCCAAACCCAACTCGACCGCAATTGACGGGGGGGGGCCAATAATGGTCCCCTCCAACGATTGTTGGTTACCCCAGCAATTGTTGGTCGACCCAATCTGATTGGTCCACCAATAAATGCTGAGGGTACCCCACTTCGTTCCCAAAACTTCTCATCTCCTATATGTACCGACACTCTTTCTAATCAAGACAACACTTGAGATTCTTTCAGTATGCTGTATTTGTGTGTGTTATTCATGGCAACCATATGGCAACCATAGTTGTCATGACAGCCAGCCTGATTCTCCAGCTTCTCACAGATCCTTGCAAGCTCAACATCAGCCACACGTCCTCAGATTCACATGCAGTCTGAGCTCGGCTGATCACTCGGATAGCGATCACCTATGTGGAGAAAGACGCTGGGGCAGCCCTGCGTCCTGCGTCCGGACGCAGCAGCGTCCGGACGCAAAGACGCAGGACGCGCGTCCGGACGCAGGACGCACCCTGGAAAATTTTTCGGGCAGACCGAGATTTTTTTTTTTTCGCGATCGCGAAATTGACATTCGCGATTTCGTCGCGAATGTCAATTTCGCCGAAATTCGACACCCCCCAAGCAAATTCGACCCCCAAAACCAGCCATCTAATTCACCCCTAACCCCCTCCCCTTTTTGCAAAATTGATTTGGAAATCCAACCCCTCTCCACCACTCCACAACTAGGAAACCCAACCTTTGTGGTCCACCACCCCCACAAAGCCCATTTAGTTCATGAAACCTCTCATTTGTGCTCCCTTTTCTCACAACCCAATTCTCTTTCAAAAACCCTAGTGGTTTTAGCTCCTTTCCGCGCACCACCGTTATGGCTAGCTCCTTGTGTTCGCGACCTTGTGTTCGTTGCGCACAACTGGAACGTTGTGCACAACCACCACAAGGGTGCGGCGGGTGCGGGGCCGAGTGGGGAAGTCAGGAAGGCGGGAATAGTGGAGGGGAACATTCCCCCCCGACCCCTTCCCGAGGGGTACAAGCTTGAGGAGGATGGAGAGGTGGAGGTGGATGAGGATGACCTCACCTTCGACGAGTACAAGGAGCAGGAGGATTTGGAGAAGGAGGAGGAGAAGGGGATGGAGAGCGAGGAGGATGAGTGATGCATGTTAGTTAGTGGTAGTATGCATGCATGCTAAACAACCCTTGGACTAATTGTGATTATGGAAATTTGGGGCTCACCTTCATGTTCTATTGTTGTGGCTGAAATTTTGTTGTTGAGGAGAAATTTTGCTATGAAAGTGTGTTCCCCCCCCCCCACCCCCCTCTTACCCCCTCTTCCCTCTGCCCTATAACTTTTTTTTTGGCTGCCCGGGGGGTTTTTTTTGGCTGCCCGGACCTGCGTCTTTTGCTGCGTCTCGGGGGCCCTAAACTAGCGTCCAGCGTCTGGACGCATGCATCTGGACGCATGCGTCCAGGACGCTGGACGCGTCTTTCTCCACATAGGCGATCACTCCCCACCCGCCCTCCCAGACTCCCTTTTTATCACCGCCTTTCACCACGCGATGCGCCCCTAGGTTCACGGGCTGTCTGGACGACCACAGCAGCAGCCGCTCATTCTTCCCATGGTTCAATATTTTCTAGTCAAACGTTCCTTGATCGCTTCCCAACCCTCCCCCCTGCTTGTTTCGTAACTCCCTTCACCACGCTCCTCCTCAGGTTGTCAGGCGCTCTGGGCAACCACAGCAGCAGCAGCCCATTGGCTCCTCTGGTTCAACGCGCTCCCCATTCCGTGCCATTGAAACACACCCATTTCCCTACACTTAGCCCCCCTGTTCCCAAACCCACCCTCTTTTCACCACATTTTTCCAGGTTCACGGGCACTCTGGGCGACCACAGCAGCAGCCCCTTGGCTCCCGTGGTTCGTTCCCGCCTCGATGCTGACGTCAGCAGCCACTGCTCCGCCGCCACGTCAGCAAACGACCGGCTGATCGCCACCCTGCTGGGCAAGGGGAGGGTGGCGTACCACCGCGCATATCATGACACGTTCCGGGCGGCATTTCTGTCCTATGCTGCCACCCATGCCCATTCTCACGCACAAACGCCTGATACCAATGCTGCTGCTGCTGCTGATTCTACTGTTGCTACACGCACTGCTGCTTCTGCTTCTGCTTCTGCTTCTGCTTCTGCTTCTGCTGCTGGTGGCGCCTCTCCAGCCGACGACCCGCACCTCTTCGCCCACAACCTCTTCGCCCTCCTCCCCTCCTCCACGCCCCCTCCCCCTCCTCTCTGGCTCCTCTCCCTCCACGCCAACGCCTCCCTCCTCTCTCAAGACACCTTCTCTGCAGCAATAGCCCAGGGGGGCCTGGCGTGGGTGGTGCCTGGGCACGAGAGGTTCGACTTTTTTCTCTTTCAGGCGATGCAGTGGGGGAAGCAGCGGGAGAGGGCGGTGGGGGAGGAGAATGCGCGGAGATTGCGGGGGTATTGTGGGGAGATGAAGGGGAGGCTTGTGGGGGAGTATCGGCGGCGCGTGGGGGAGATCCAGCCATTGCCGGATAATGAAGAGGTGGTGGTGGCTAAGGTGAGTGAGACATACTTGTTAATCTTGAGACATCTCACAAAAGGAACTTCTTTTCTTTTCTTTTCTTTGTTAGAAATAGGCTGTCAACACTTTGTGTACTATATTCTATATCGAGTAGGTTATTTGTAGGTTGGGTGTAGTTTGTGATCCCAACCCTATCTGGTTGGGATTCCCTCGTAATCCAGCAAATCTGCCAACTCACCATTGGAGATTTGCCTAGGATTCCCATCCCATCCTTTCCCTAGCTTTGCTCAACCCAACCTTGTTTGTACTTAAGGCCTAGTGCCTTTCTTACTAATCAATCAGTTCAGCTCCATTTCTATCATGGTAACAGAGCTAGTAAATTCCGCTTATGCGGAATCCGATCCTTGGCGTCGTGATGGTTCTATTCATTTCTTCTATAACTCTTTCGGCGAAGCAGAGCAGCAGACCAGAATCTGGGCTTAGTATTACCGAAATTGCGTTTCGGACTTCATTTCAAAAATCGCGCCACGTATCGGAGACTTTAGCGCTGCGCTCCGCGCGAAATGGCGACTTCAACTTCCGCCCTCGTCGGAAATCTCATCGTTCTCAATCTCGCTCTCAACAGCACGAGCACCAACTTTGGGGAGTGGTGCTATGGAGTGGAGAAGCACCTCCTTAGCTCGGAGCTCAAAAGGATTTGCCTCAAGGACATCCTCCTCAACCACGGCAAAGGAAAGATGCCTCTCCCTCCCGATCCTCTTGGCGAAGGAGCAGCTGCCGCAGCCAAGACCGCATTTGAGGCTAAGACCTCCCAGTATGAGTTCGACTTTAGCTTGTGGGAGCAGGCGGATGCTGCAGTCATTAGGGTTTTCATCACCACCACTCCGGTTGAACTTGTCAAATCCTACCGCACCTTTCGCTCCGCGCATGACATCTGGAAGTACCTCCAGGACCGTTTCCATGACAAGACCGTAGTGGGAGTTGCAATCCTCATCCCCCGAATGTTCCAGATCCGCCTTGAGGAATGCCCGGGCATGGCGGACTACACTTCTGAAATTCGTAACATCCACGAGGAACTCAAGGACATCGGGATCACCTTCCCCGAACAGGCACCTGCAGCTGGGCTACTCGTAGGACTTACCCCGGCCTACAATGTTACCAGTTCCATGCTCAAGCAGCTCCCCACCAAAGAACGCTCGCCGGCACCACTTCGGCAAGCACATCCATCGTGCTTACCTCCAGCGCCACCGTGTGTCATCCACCGCGTGCTAAGGCTCGTCCTGCTCCGCCACATCCTCCGACCCCGCCATTTTGGCGTCGCTTGCGTCTGCAGGCGGTGCTGGTGGCGGCGTACTCGCGGGCGCCGCAGGTGGTACAGGCGGACTGGCCATCTGTTGTCGAAAGCCAGCCTGCATCGCCGCCATGTTCATGGCGGCGACAAGTAGTTGCGTGGAGTCGCATCGGCCCTTCTTTCTACTGAAAAGGACCTTGCAGCCCAAGCATCCGTCAATGCTCTGCGCTACGCCCCTGGTATCTCATTCCGCTCCCAGCAGGGACCGAGGCGCAACTCGTTTCCCCCATGCCCCTACATCATTAGGAAGGGTCGATGTGCAGGGCAGAAATGCGGAGGCAACCACCCTGAGGCAATTTGCTTCAAGAAGCGAGATGACGAGTGGTATGACGTCCACGGTGTCTCCACCAACAAGCGTCCTCCCAACTGGGCCCCACCGCGTCGCGTGAACCAGGTCGAGGCAGTGGAGGAACCTGCTCAGGCATTTGCTAGCGCCCCATCTGATGTTCGCCTCAATCTGTTGTTCTCCGGTGTTGGTATTATTAATGAGAAGGGGTCGCAGTACATTGGTGTTTCAAACACACAGGGGATCGAGTTCATACTAGATAGTGGTGCCGCCCACACTGTACTCAAAAACCAAACCTCATTCGTTCCCTACCAGGCTCCCACCCCACTCCTTGGAGCCGATTCTAGCTTCTCCATCCAATGCCATGGGTCCTCCACAGTTCCTGGTCCAGCTTTCCCATCCGGCATAGTCACTGGCATCTGTGCCCCAACCCTCTGCTATAACCTCCTTGCACAGCATGAAATCCAACATGCAAGAGTGATCACCATCTTTCCCAATGATGTCGTCTACTGTGACCTCGTTGACGCCAAAACCGGCATTCATCTAGCCCGCTTCACCCTCAACTTCAACAACATGTACACACTCGTTGTACCTCCCATTCAAACGTGCTCACTCACCCACCTTCCGCTCCCTTCATCAGACTCCTCCACCTGTCACTGCCGTCTCCTTTCCGACAAAACCATGCTCTTTCATCACCGCCTCGGCCACATCAACTTCCGCTCGCTTTCAGACCTTGCCACAAAACAACTCCACAGACTTCCAGCCTCACTTCCCTCTCCTACCTCCAACCTAGGGCTGCCTTGCCTTGACTGTGCACAGAGCAAGCCTCGTGAGCAGCCCCATCCCCCCACTGAGTCCATCTCAACTGCACCTCTCGGTCGTGTACACATGGACCTTTGGGGTCCAGCTCCTGTTCGTTCTCGTGGCGGACACTTCTACTTCCTTGTCATCATTGATGACTGTTCCCGCTATGTGTCTGTCCACCTTCTCGCCTCCAAGTCTGAAGCCCCAGCCGTCATCATCGAATGGGCCAAGCAGTCTCATAACCACTTCAAAACCACCATCAAGGTTCTTCACTCTGACGGTCGCGGTGAATTCCGCAACAACACTCTCAAAGTTTTCTGTTCTACTGAGGGTATCCTTCAGACCTTCACTCTCCCAGACAGTCCCCAACAGAACGGTGTTGCTGAAAATCGGAACCGCATCTTGGTGCAGATTGCTCGCTGCCTCCTCACTCACGCCTCCGCCCTTCCCTCTCTTTGGGGGTACTCCATGCTCCACGCTGCCGCCCTCCACAATCTCCATCCTCATCCTCATCACACCCACACCACCCTTACTGAGTTGTGGACGAGTCAAAAGCCGTCCGTCCACCCTCTGCGTGTATGGGGGTGCACTTCCTATATTCTCCTCAACTCCCAAGCCCGTCGTGCAGCTGGCGGCAAACTTGCTCCCAAAACGATCACGTGCGTGTATCTCGGGCACAACTCAGATTCGCCAGACTATCTCTTCCTCCATCCTTCCACCAACAAACTCTACCGCAGCCGGGACGTGTTCTTTGATGAGTCTCACCCATTCTATCCTTCCTCCAAGGCTTCCCCCTCTCCTCTGCCTCCATCTCTTACTTGGGCTGACTTTGACAGCCTTCCTCCTCCCGACACTCCATCTCCTCCTCTTCCCGCTCCCTCCACCATCTCTGACCCGCCACCACCCACTTCCCCCTCCAGCACCACGCATTCTCCTCCGCTCCTTCCCTCCCCCTCCCCTCCCCCACCGGCTCCCCCTCCTTCCTCCCCTCCCGCTCTGGCTCCTGATCCTGCTTCCGCTCCTCCTTTTGAGCCTCCTCCTCTCAAAACCTACCACCGCCGTCCTCCTGCTCCTGCTCCTGCTCCTGCTCCTGCTCCTGCTCCAGCTCCTGATCCTTCTCTTGACCCCACTCCCACTTCACCTACCGCTACTCCTCCTCCCGCTCCGCCTCCCTCCCCCATCGCTTCTCGCACCCGCTCTCATAAAGCTCCAAAGCCGCTCTCCCTTTCTGTTCGTGTCTCCCTCAATCCGCCTCCTGTCGGGGGTGATTATTCTCTCATGCCCTCCCTCCTTGAAGACAGACATGAGGAGCTGATTGATATCGACTCAGCCATACACGCGCTCTGCTTCCTCTTTCCAGATATCGCAGACTCTCCCACTCTCAATTTCTCCGACAACCCCTCCATCCCCACACATCTCACCTATGCTGAAGCAGTCTCTGGTCCTCACGCCGCCCAGTGGTTGGGGGCCATTGTCGCAGAATGTGAGGCCTTCATTCACACAGGAACTTTCACAGATGTCTCTCCTCCCTCCGGCGTCAATATTGTGAAGGGAAAATGGGTTTTTCGGGTGAAACAACTTCCAGGCGAATTTCCTGTCTTCAAAGCCCGGTACTGTGCCAAGAGATTCACCCAAAAGCATGGACTGGACTTCTTTGAGACATTCTCTCCCACCGCCAAACCTCCCACACTGCGCACCCTTCTCGATGTTGCTGCTCGAGATGACATGGAGGTTGACTGCATGGATGTGTCTTCTGCGTTTCTGCAAGGGATCCTTCGAGAGGAAATCTATATGGAGCGGCCCGAAGGATTTCCAGCTCCTTTTCCACCAGGCACTGTATGGAAGCTGAATTGGCCAGTGTATGGCCTCAAGCAAGCACCCCGGGAATGGCACAACAAGCTCAAGAGCGCCTTAGGGTCCCTCGACTTTCACCCATCCGCCTCTGACCCCAGCCTCTTCATCCGAGCAACACCGTCCCGCTTCTTCATCCTGGTTTATGTCGATTACATGATCCTTGTCACCAAGGATCAGACTGAGTTGGCCGCAGTCAAAACCGCACTTGGTGAGAAGCTGGCCATGAAGGATCTTGGGAAGCTGACGAACTATCTGGGCATGGAAATCACACGTGATCGCACGGCCCGCACCATCACCCTCTCGCAGAAGTTTTACATCAACAACGTTCTGAAGAGGTTCAAGATGCAGGAAGCAGCATCAATGCCTACCCCACTCTCTCTGCAGCACCAACTCACTGCACCCTCTGTTCCCTCACCTGAGCCCTGTGATGAGCCTTACCCCGGGCTCGTTGGATCCCTCATGTACGCGATGATGTGCACTCGACCAGACTTGGCCTACCCAGTCAGCGTACTGTCTCGCTACGTTGCACCTGGTCGCTTCACTCGCCACCATTGGTCTGCCGCCAAGCGGGTCCTTCACTATCTCAAAGGCACACATGATTATGTGCTCACACTTGGCGGCTCTTCCCCTGTTCGCCTTGAGGGGTACAGTGACTCGTCCTATGCTGATGACCAGAGTGATCGGCGCTCTTCCCAAGGGTATTGCTTTACCCTTAGCAGTGGGGTTGTCAGTTGGCGCTCCACTCGGTCGTCCTCAGTCTCACTGTCGACCTGTGAGGCAGAGCTGTATGCCGGGACCATGGCTGCACAGGAGGCTCGTTGCCTCTCCTTCCTGCTGACAGAACTGGGGTATCCTCAACCAACCCCAACGCTTTGGTGTGACAACGAGAGCACCATTCATCTCACCAAGGACCCCGTTTTCCACGGCCGCACCAAGCACATTGAAGTCTGTCACCACTTTCTTCGTGAGCTGGTGCAGCGCGAGCAGCTGAAGGCTGAACGCATTGCCTCCGACTGCAACCTTGCTGACTTGTTTACCAAGTCACTTGTTCGCCAGGACCACTACCGCCTCCTCTCGTCCATGGGTGTTGGGTCTCCCTGTGGCTGATATGTTGCAGCCTAGGGGGTGTGTTAGAAATAGGCTGTCAACACTTTGTGTACTATATTCTATATCGAGTAGGTTATTTGTAGGTTGGGTGTAGTTTGTGATCCCAACCCTATCTGGTTGAGATTCCCTCGTAATCCAGCAAATCTGCCAACTCACCATTGGAGATTTGCCTAGGATTCCCATCCCATCCTTTCCTTAGCTTTGCTCAACCCAACCTTGTTTGTACTTAAGGCCTAGTGCCTTTCTTACCAATCAATCAGTTCAGCTCCATTTCTATCATTCTTTTCTTTTCTTTTCTTTTCTTTTCTTTTCTCCTCTTCCTAGCGACACAAATTATTGTTTTTTAAATGACTATCTACTCTAATTGACATCGTTCCAAACATATCCCACCCACACACAGTAGGTTCCTTCCACCCCTCTTCATACACCCACCCTCAACTTCCCACCCATTTATCCACCCCCCTCCTCCCTCCTCCAACCCCCCTCCCCGCCATCCCTCCTTTGCTACCCTCCAGGCACGTCATCTAGCCACACTGGTTCTGGCCAATTACAGCGCGGCAGTGCAGCCATACCTGCCGTCAGCTTCGGTGGAGGAGGTTCGGGCGCAGCTGCAGGCTCGGGTGGAGGAGGCTCGGCAGCGGCTGGTGGATCGGAACACGGAGCTCATGGCAGCGCTCTGCTTTGAGCCTCTGAGGGACGCTCGGGACGAACTTAACATGCAGGTTCGGATGGAGGAGGGATTGTGGGGAGGGAAGGAGGACCGTGTGAGGAGGGTTGGAGGTGGTGAGTGGGTGGTTACAGAGGGTTTGTTTCTGTGCCGGTTAAAGCAAGGGGGTTCTACAGGTTGGTTATGGAGGAGGATTTTTTTCCTGAACCTCCAGCATGCGACACGCACACTTTCGAAATTCGACATTCCTCTCCTTTCTTTAACACTCCAGGCCTTGCCATCTGGATTGCAGCAAGGCCTGCAACCACAGCAACTTCCTCTCCCACAGCAACTTCCTCTCCCACAGCAACTTCTTCTCCAAGACCTGGGGTCCTGTGAAGTCAACTGCCTCTGTTGCTTCTCCAACACCCAATCTCGTCGCTTCTCTTCCTCTGCTGCTTCCCCTCTTTCCCACACCAGGAGTGTGACAAGACCTACCACAACATCTTCATCTCCAAATCCTGGTGGGCCCTCAAGTGCCTTAGGCCCGGCCCGAGCCTCTTCTTCGGCTTCCGAGCCTCCGCCTTTGCCGTGGCACTCAAGCACCTAGCCAAGGCCCAGCTTCGGTTCAAATCCGGAGCTCTCTCCACCACCCCTTCCTCTGTCTCTACCACCCCCTCCTCCTCCTTCCCGCCTCCTCTTTCTTCCGCTCCTCCTTCCCCTGCTGCTGCTACGGGTGACACTGCAAGGGACTCCCTCTCCCCTCCCTCTCAAGGGGAGGTAGAACTGGTGGAGGTGGAACTGAGCGAGGCAACAAAGCACCGGGTGATATCTGCGTGGCTGCAGAGGGACCTAGCCGTCCATGCCAACACAGTTCTCACCAACTGCTGCCTGCTGCTTGCCTCGCTCGCTGCCCTCCTGCTGCTGCTGCGCTCGCTGCTGCTGCGAGTGAAAGGGGTGCTAGGGAGGAAGGGCAGGAGTGGAGGGCAGAAGAGGGAAGGGGGGAGTGGGGATAAAGGGGGGAGGGTTGGGGGAGGGGGGGTTGGGAGGGTGAAGAGTGAGGGTGATGGGAGCGGGAGTGGGAGTGGGAGTGGGAGTGGTGGGGTGTGGGGGTTGGGGATGAGGTGGAGGGGGAGAGGGGGGAGTGAAGGGGATGGGGGGAGCGGAGAAGGAAGCAGTACGGCTGGGAGAGGGGGAGGAATTTGGGGGCGGAAAATTGTGAACGGGGCATGTGAAGGGGCGGACGATGGGGCACCTGAGGGGGTGAGTGGTGGGACATGGTCGCATGGGGATGGGGCAGGGGGTCGTGCAGGGAGGGCTGATGCAGCAGCAGGGGCGGTTGCAGTCAAGGCAGCTGCAGCAGGGGCGGTTGCAGTCAAGGCAGCTGCAGCAGGGGCGGTTGCAGTCAAGGCAGCTGCAGCAGGGGCGTCCACACCAGTGGCGTCCTCAGCAGTGGCAAGGGCGCTGGGTTGGCTGGCTTCAGGCAGGAAAGGGGCTGTGAGGCAGAGTGGGGGAGAGGGGAATGGGCGCGGGGGCATGGCGCATGGTGGCATGGCACATGGTATGTTACCAAGCAGGTTTGCAGCGAATGCGATCATGACACATGGCAGGAGGGTTAACGGTGGGGTGACAGATGGCATGATGGGAGGTGACTTGACAACCAATGACGGGGCGGCAAGTGGTCCAGCGACCAATGGCAGGGGGGCGGCACAGGTTGGTGGTTGGGCGGCGCAGGACGGCGCAGCTATGATTACTAAACGAAGGAGTAGCTCCAGCAGTGGTGGTACTGCTAGCGATGCTGATGGGGACGGTGATGCTGATGGTGGTTGCGATGCTGATGGTGGTGACAGTGACAGGATGGGGCAAGCAGCAAGAACGATGCTGGCAGCGTTATCAGCAGCAAGAAGAAGAGGAGGAGGAGGAGGAGCATCAGCATCGTCAGCTCTCGGAACCCTTCAAGACCGGATAAGCAGGCAACAAGAGGGGCTTGGTGTGGACCATTCAACCGATACAAACACCAGAGAGAACAACAAAAGTAGCAGCGACGGCACACCTGCCCTTCCAACAACTATCACAGGCAAAGCGGTACCTCCCCCTGCTGGCAGCTTCCCCAACAGTGCCACCAGCAGTCCAGGCAGCGTGGGTGGCAGTGGAGGGAAGGCCAGTGGCGCGTACTACCGGGCGGCTGATGGGCAGTGGCGGCGGTTCAAGCCCGTCACAAGGTCATGAACTCGTTCTCAGGTTACTGTACTACAGTAACTGTCAAAACATTGATGTATCGTACAATGTGCTCTACCGTATTAGCCGGCCCTTGATTTTTGCCAGCCAGCCTGCTGGTCATGTGTAATTTCAATTGGTCAATTCCGTAGTTACAGAGAAGAGAGATGCGTCAGAAAGTTGTTTTAAATCGTTGATTACCGGTATAACCTAGTAACATAGGGAAAAGTTTTCCCAAGCTAGGTACCACATCTAACATGATGTATCAGCGTCGTGCTTGAAACGACTTGCTCTGTACCGGGAAATTCATCTTCCGTAAGCAAGCAAGTCGCATCTGCGACAAAGTACATCCCATCACCCAGAGCGTTCTAGAACTCGTTCACCTGATAACAAGCTTTCATTCCCATGAGAACACAGCAGTTCGTAAAATTGCCCGTGACAGAATAATACGCGCGGGAAGAGAGAGAGCAAGTGCACACCGTCAGCAATCCAACGGCCGCGATGGTGAACGTGCGAGAGGTCGACTTAGGCAGCCGTACGATCCGGATCTTGGAGCTCGAGGACGCGCGCGATTTGGAGACGGGGAAATCCGTCACGGGCGCGTGGGTGTGGGACGCGTCGCTCGTCTTCGCCGCGTGGCTCGGCGCGCACGGAAAGGCGTGGCCGGACGGGTCGATTAAAGACCTAAGGGTGCTGGAGCTGGGAGCGGGTTTAGGAGTCGTCGGGCTCGCCGCGGCGGCTTTAGGAGCGCGCGTGCTCCTGACGGACCGCGATATCAGGTGTATACGCGGGATCAGGCGGAACATTGCGGAAAACGCGCTCGAGGGGAGGGCGTTTGCGGCGCAGCTGGAATGGGGGGAGGGCTTGCCGAGGCAGGTGCATCCGGGGGAGGAGTTACCTAGGAGGGCGGATTCGGGGGAGGATGCGCAAAGGCGGACATCTGGCAGTGCGGAATTGGTGGGGGTGGATCGGGAGGTCGGCGGGCGGCGGGGAGGGAACACTGGAGCGCGCGGGGATGGGGGGAGCGAAGGAGAGAGGGGTACCGGAGCAGCTGGTCTCCTATCATTACCTGCTCATGGTGTTGGTGCTTGTGGTGGTGGTTGTGCTACTACTGCTGCTGCTGTTGACACGACAGCACGAGCAGTAAGAGCATCAGGAGAGCAAGCAGGAGCAGAAGCACCGCTGGCGGAGACTTTAGGAGCATTAAGAGCGTTGAGTGTGAATGGAGGGGAAGGAGGAGTCGCCGAATCTGAGCCGTTGGATGTCGAGGATTTTGTGAAAGATCTAGATCTGATCATTGGATCGGATATCACGTACGAGGCAGATCAGATGCCCGCCCTCTGCCGCACGATCAAGCAGCTGGCGGGACCTCGCACTCGGGTAAGCCCCCTGGCGGTGTTTCTGACTTTTGAGGCGCCTCAAAAGTTGCACTAGGGTAAGCCCCCTGGTGGTGTTTCTGTGGTGTATCTGAGTAGGGCACATTGTATCGGACCAGTACAGGACTCAGTAGTGTGTTTTGATTCGACTCAAATGTCAGTATATCGGCGCAGTGTGGTACTGATATGTGTGTAGGTGGCGCATGGCGGGACATGGGATGTAAGCTAAGCACTGAAGCGGTGTATCAGAGGCACGAGTCGTATGAGCGGCACATGAGAGGGGTGAGCACCTTGGAGGGGTAGCCCAGAGTTTGTATCTCAAGGGGTGTCTCAAGCACCTCTCAAGGGGTGTCTCAAGCACCTCTGGTCAAGCGCTCTCAGCCATCCTTCCATCTTCCAATCGTGCTTTGAGACGTCTTAAAACAGGTCAAGTGCTCTCAGCCCTCTCCCTATCTTCTTCTCGTGTCAGATTTTCTTCTCACCTTCCGTTTTCCTGCCCGCTTCTCGTAGCCGCTCCTCCCTCCCCATATCCGCTCCTCCCGCTTCTCCTTTCCCCCTCCGACCTGCGCCCCCCCCCCAACCCTCCACCCCCCTCCCTCCCCCCTGTCAGATATTCATAGCAGTGGAGCTGCGCTCCTCCACGCCCGAGTGCTTTCAAGCCATGGCAGCGCAGGGCCTCACGTGGGGGGCGGTGGAGCAGGGCGAGCTGGACCCCCGCTGGTGCAGCGACGACATCAAAATCTTCCAGCTCTTCACGTGATTGGCTGTAGCTTTAACCTAATCAGCAGGGTAAAGTGCGTTCTGATTCAACTCCAAAATTGTCTCACATGGAGGGCGGTGGAGCAGGGCGACCTGGACCCCTGCTGGTGCAGCGACGGCATAAGATTCTTCTAGTTCTTCACGTGATTGGCGATTGGCTTTACTCCACGGGTCTATATTTGGGGCGCCTCAGAAGCAGAGGGCGTCACATGGAGGGCAGTGGAACAGGGCGATCTGGAACAGGGCGATCTGGAGCAGGGCGATCTGGAGCAGGGCGATCTGGAGAAGAGCGGCCTGGATCCCCAGTGGTGCTGCGACGACATCAAGATCTTCCAGTTCTTCACGTGATTGGCGGTTGGCGTGTTTCCACGGGCAGTGGAGCAGTGCCATCTGGGGAAGTGCCATATGGGGCAGGGCCATCTGGGGCAGGGCCATCTGGAGCAGGGCGACCTGGACCCCTGCTGCTGCAGCAACAACGACAAGGCCTTCCAGTTCTTCATGTGATGTTGCAGTGGCATTAACCGAATGAGCAGTGCAACGTGTACAAGGTGGCATCAATCGTCCCTGACAAGAAGAATAATACAAAAAAGAGTCGCCGCAACAAGGATGTGCCGGCAGGTGACAGCAGCAGAGTGCATGTGCGTACCGAATAGAAAACCTGGCTCAAATGACAAGCATTGCTTGAGACTCAAGTGACTCAGTTCTGGGGGTTGCACTTGCTGTGCAATCCATTCATTGGTCGTACAAATGCCTTCACAGGGAAGAATTGTAAATGGTTTTATGTAAGGATATCAATTGTAAATGCCTTGCGGTAGCTACACTCTGACTGCTGATCTTTTGTTCAGGACTTTTATGCTGAACTAACTTGGCAGGTGCACATTTTGTGCAGCTTGTATATGGTGATCTTGAAGCGAATGTAACATACCAAGCTCGGCCGATAATGGCGAACTTCGTTCTACATTGGCGAAATCAATATTGCCCCCGCGAAGATGGTTCGGCACCTGATGAACTCTTTCCCAGCCGAGAGATATGTGGTGTGGAGCACCCTCATGCATCACCAGCTTTCGTCAGGTAGCGGTACCCATTGTATCAGAAAAATCTCTGAAGCCGGCGTGCCATTGGGAGGGATTGGGTCAAAGCAAATTTCATGCCTCCCAATCGCATGCTGCCATCCGAGATGTTATTTGCCGGCGGGCAGCGCGGGCGAAAATCCGAAAGAAGTGGATGAGCTGTGCCATAAAATATCTCTGCACAATGCCAGCACACTGGGCATACTTCATGAAACATCTGGATTGACAAGCTATTGAACCCGCAGTATTGTACGGGAGGCGCCGTACAGACCCCCGCGCCGCGCTGCCGCACGCAACGCGTTATATTCATATTAGTTGATGCGCACATCAATACAGATTAGAAGAACGTGATCGCCACAAAACTCTTCCTCTGATTGTCTAAGTCCCATTACCTATCCATTACACTCGCGCAACCACAGTCGAGCGTTTAGCGATCATCCATGCCAATGGCGGTCCGAGCGGGCCTGTCGTTATTAGTCGTCGCGACGCTCACGTTCGCCGTCGCCGCAGACGTCGTGGAGTTAAGTCCCGACACTTTCGCAGACTTCGTCGGAAAGGAAAAAGCCGCGTTCGTCAAATTTTACGCCCCGTGGTAAGGAATGGATAAGTGAAGCACCCACACTTACCTACCCTTCGACTAACCAACCAGACCATTCCCTTCCGGAGACCGCGTAGCGTATCGAACGTGATTCCTACGACGTCTGAATGCTCGACGCTCCGTAGCCATGGATCTATCAAATAGCGGACCATTTTCATTTGTTAAAATAAAATCAAATATTTTCGCTGTCACCCATCCCTTCGCAAGTTGTTTCGCCAAAAGTTTTCGCGAAATACGATACATGTCTTAGAAGCGATGTAAGACTGACGCCACCCGTTTGCTGCTCGCACGGCTTACAAACGGATTGCGAACGGCAAGCGAACGGCTTCTTTTCCCCCTTTCTGACTCGCAATGCCCGTCCTCCCCCATTCACCCTGCCCCTCCCTCCTTCCCTCCTCCCCTCGCCTTCGCCCCCTCTCCCCCTCCCTCCACTTCGCTCTTCCCCGATTCCCCCCCGCTTCCCCCCCGCTTCCCCCCCGCTTCCCATCCGCTTGCCCCCCGTTTTCCCCCCGCTTCACCTCCGCCAGGTGCGGGCATTGCAAGAGGCTGGCCCCGGACTATGACAAATTCGGGGCTGCCTTTAAAGAGACCGCATCGGTGGTTGTCGGTAAGGTGATTGTAGAATCAGATTTTATCTGATGTGGCTGGGAGAGGGGCTGGCAAGGCAAGCCAGGAAAGAGCCAAGACGGAGGGAAGAAGGTGCATGGAAGGAGCGGGGAAAACACATGGAAGGTGTGCCTGGAATGTTAAAAAATGTTTATTCCATTCCCTTGCAAAGCCTTAACCCGTCTCTCCTCCTGTCCTGCTTCTCCCACTCCCCATGTCAGCTCTATTCGTCTCTATGCTCCTGCCTTCCTCTGTCGTCTCATCCTGTAGGTGGACTGTGACAAACACAAGAAGCTCTGTAGCGAGTACAAAGTGAAGGGCTACCCAACGCTCAAGTGGTTTCCGAAAGGGACCTCCAAACCTGAAGAGTACGGAGAGGGGCGAGGGGAGGGACGAGGGCCTTAGGGTTCAGAGTCGAAGGGAGGGGTTGAGGGAGGGGACTGGCGAAGGGAGGGGAGGGACGATGGGAGGGGAGGGGCGATGGAAGGGGCGAAGGGAGGGGAGGGGCGAAGGGAGGGGAGGGGCGAAGAGTGGGGTGGGTGGGGATCAGCAAGGCAAGGGGTGGGTGGGGTGAGGGGAGGGGCATGGCTTGCTTTATCCAATCTGATCGCATATCTTGATATTCACATGTGTCACGCATGGTCATCACTGTGTAACGCATGGTCATCACTGTGTCACGCATGGTCATCACTGTGTCACGCATGGTCATCACTGTGTCACGCATGGTCATCACTGTGTCACGCATGGTCATCACATGTGTCACGCATGGTCATCACTGTGTCACGCATGGTCATCACTGTGTCACGCATGGTCATCACTGTGTCACGCATGGTCATCACTGTGTCACGCATGGTCATCACTGTGTCACGCATGGTCATCACTGTGTAACGCATGGTCATCACTGTGTCACGCATGGTCATCACTGTGTCACGCATGGTCATCACTGTGTCACGCATGGTCATCACTGTGTAACGCATGGTCATCACTGTGTCACGCATGGTCATCACTGTGTAACGCATGGTCATCACTGTGTCACGCATGGTCATCACTGTGTAACGCGGGACGTTTGAATTCACTCCACACCTACAAACAAGTCATTGTTGCAGCTGTTTTTCATATGTTTTTTTCCTCTTATATTCAGTATTCTTTTCTTGACACCACACACTGCTACCTGCTGGCTGGCTGGCTGGCTGGCTGGCTGGCTGGGTGAATGGCAGCTACCCAGGGGAGCGCAGTGTGGAGGATCTGGTGGACTTTACTAACAAAAAGCTGGGTGAGTGAGTGAGCTTTGAGGCTTTTCTTTTAGAGTGCGAAGGCCTATCACATGAACCATAATCACTGGGTGGGTGGCAGCTACCCAGGGGAGCGCAGTGTGGAGGATCTGGTGGAATTTACGATAGAAAGCTTGGTGAGTGAGCTTTATGCTTTCTCTCTTGGAGCGTTACGGCCTGTCTCATGCCCATCCATCTCGTGCCCATCCATCTCATGCCCATCCGTCTCATGCCCATCCATCTCACGCCTATGCATCTCGTGCCCATCCATCCTATGCCCATCCCATGCTCATTTCATGGCCTTCAAACCTCGCCGAATACGTGTAACCTCTCGGGCACACCAACCGATGCACCTCAACACTCTCTTGCCCCTCTCTTACACCAAACCTCCACCACCTCCCTGTGTGACTTGACATGGCAGACACCAATGCCGAGCCACCAGCGTGCGGCCACCAGCGCCACCGCCATCGGACGTGGTAACCCTATCGCCCGACAACATGATGCCTTGGTGCTGAAACCCCCCCTCGCTCCCGCACCCCCCTGTGTGGCATGGCATGGCAGGCACGAGCGTGCAGCCACCAGCGCCACCGCCATCGCACGTGGTAACCTTATCGCCCAACAACTTTGATTCCGTGGTGCTGGATCCCACCAAGTTCGTGCTCGTGGAGTTCTACGCGCCCTGGTGAGAGAATGAAGGGGGTGCCTACCTGCCGTGTGGAAGATCAAGGGTTTTGAGTGCTCTCAACTCAACTCAAGGGACCACCTGCCGTGATGCCGTGGTGCTGAATCCCACCAAGTTCGTGCTCGTGGAGTTCTACGCGCCCTGGTGAGATGGTGGTGCCGTTGTCTTCCTTTTGTGTGCCGTTGTGTGCTGATGCTGCTCCTTGTATGTATGTCCACATGCGGCAACTGATACCTTGTATGTATGTCCACATGCGGCAACTGATACCTTGTATGTATGTCCACATGCGGCAACTGATACCTTGTATGTATGTCCACATGCGGCAACTGATACCTTGTATGTATGTCCACATGCGGCAACTGATACCTTGTATGTATGTCCACATGCGGCAACTGATACCTTGTATGTATGTCCACATGCGGCAACTGATACCTTGTATGTATGTCCACATGCGGCAACTGATACCTTGTGCGGCATGATGTACTGTAACTGTAGGGCTGTGAAATCAGCATTTGTGTGTAGCCTCAACTTCCCAATTTGTTGTTGCCAACTTCGTGTTTGTCTCTCCCTCTGAACCTGCATTTCCCGTCACAGGTGCTCCTTTTGCCAAGACCTCGCTCCAGTAATTTCTCGTCTCCTTCCCTTGCCCCAAATCCCACTCGCTCCTTCCAATTCCGTTCAATCTCATATGTTTCAAGTGATTAATTTTCAAAAAAGAAAGAAAGAGAGAAAAATCCCTGACGGCATAGCATCTTCTTCCTTTCTTCCTCTTCTCTCCTTCTCTCTAAGCTTTCTCATTGCTCCTACTTCATCGTTGCCCACTCTCTCCTCTCTTCCTTCCTAGCTGGCCTTTCACTTCCTCCTCTGTTTTCTCCCTCTTCTCTCTCCCCTTCTCCCACTCTTTCCACCTTGTTTTCCCTCTTCCCACCAGGCATACGAGCAGCTAGGGCGGGCATTCAGAGATGAAGAGAAAGTGGTGATCGCCAAGCTGGATGCGAGCAAGCACAGAGAGCTCAAGGAGAAGTGAGTGTCATCAGCGTGGTGATGGCGCGTGTGGTGTGGTGTGGTGTGGTGTGGTGTGGTGTGGTGTGGTGTGGTGTGGTGTGGTGTGGTGTGGTGTGGTGTGGTGTGGTGTGGTGTGGTGTGGTGTGGTGTGCTTATGTGGTGCAATGGTGTGGTTTGTGCTTGATGGTGATGTTGCGTGGGTGCTTGAAACGAGAGGTGAATCTGGCTACCCCACCGTCGAGTGGGTCTGAAGTGAGGCGCCTCAATGTGTCTGCATTCTGTTGTATATCCTCTCCTCTCTCCGTTCTATCCTCTCCTCTCTCCGTTCTATCCTCTCCTCTCTCCGTTCTATCCTCTCCTCTCTCCGTTCTATCCTCTCCTCTCTCCGTTCTATCCTCTCCTCTCTCCGTTCTATCCTCTCCTCTCTCCGTTCTATCCTCTCCTCTCTCCGTTCTATCCTCTCCTCTCTCCGTTCTATCCTCTCCTCTCTCCGTTCTATCCTCTCCTCTCTCCGTTCTATCCTCTCCTCTCTCCGTTCTATCCTCTCCTCTCTCCGTTCTATCCTCTCCTCTCTCCGTTCTATCCTCTCCTCTCTCCGTTCTATCCTCTCCTCTCTCCGTTCTATCCTCTCCTCTCTCCGTTCTATCCTCTCCTCTCTCCGTTCTATCCTCTCCTCTCTCCGTTCTATCCTCTCCTCTCTCCGTTCTATCCTCTCCTCTCTCCGTTCTATCCTCTCCTCTCTCCGTTCTATCCTCTCCTCTCTCCGTTCTATCCTCTCCTCTCTCCGTTCTATCCTCTCCTCTCTCCGTTCTATCCTCTCCTCTCTCCGTTCTATCCTCTCCTCTCTCCGTTCTATCCTCTCCTCTCTCCGTTCTATCCTCTCCTCTCTCCGTTCTATCCTCTCCTCTCTCCGTTCTATCCTCTCCTCTCTCCGTTCTATCCTCTCCTCTCTCCGTTCTATCCTCTCCTCTCTCCGTTCTATCCTCTCCTCTCTCCGTTCTATCCTCTCCTCTCTCCGTTCTATCCTCTCCTCTCTCCGTTCTATCCTCTCCTCTCTCCGTTCTATCCTCTCCTCTCTCCGTTCTATCCTCTCCTCTCTCCGTTCTATCCTCTCCTCTCTCCGTTCTATCCTCTCCTCTCTCCGTTCTATCCTCTCCTCTCTCCGTTCTATCCTCTCCTCTCTCCGTTCTATCCTCTCCTCTCTCCGTTCTATCCTCTCCTCTCTCCGTTCTATCCTCTCCTCTCTCCGTTCTATCCTCTCCTCTCTCCGTTCTATCCTCTCCTCTCTCCGTTCTATCCTCTCCTCTCTCCGTTCTATCCTCTCCTCTCTCCGTTCTATCCTCTCCTCTCTCCGTTCTATCCTCTCCTCTCTCCGTTCTATCCTCTCCTCTCTCCGTTCTATCCTCTCCTCTCTCCGTTCTTGAAATCTTTGGATGCTGTCAGTCATGTATCCACTCCTCTCTCCACCACCCACCACTGCAGGTACAGCATAACGGGTTACCCAACCATCATATGGTTCCCCCCCTCCAACAAGCACGGAGAGAGCTACGAGGGCTCGTGGGAGTTGAGGGACCTGCTGGCGTTTGTGAACAAGGAGGCGGGCACTCACAGAACAAACACTGGGATGCTCTCTGATATGGTGAGCTGGGGGTGATGCTGGTGGTGATGCTGGTGGTGATGCTGGTGGTGATGCTGGTGGTGATGCGGGTGGTGATGCTGGTGGTGATGCTGGTGGTGATGGTGGTGGTGATGCTGGTGGTGATGCTGGTGGTGATGCTGGTGGTGATGCGGGTGGTGATGCTGGTGGTGATGCTGGTGGTGATGGTGGTGGTGATGCTGGTGGTGATGCTGGTGGTGATGCTGGGGGTGATGCTGGTGGTGATGCTGGTGGTGATGCTGGGGGTGATGCTGGGGGTGATGCTGGTGGTGATGCTGGTGGTGATGGTGGTGGTGATGCTGGTGGTGATGCTGGTGGTGATGCTGGGGGTGATGCTGGTGGTGATGCTGGTGGTGATGCTGGGGGTGATGCTGGGGGTGATGCTGGTGGTGATGCTGGTGGTGATGCTGGTGGTGATGCTGGTGGTGATGCTGGGGGTGATGCTGGTGGTGATGCTGGTGGTGATGCTGGTGGTGATGCTGGTGGTGAGCTGGATGTGAACGCATGAGAGCAGCACCCAGGGAAGGGAGGGAGCTACAAAGGCGCGAGGGAGGAACTTGCTGGCGCTTGTCAACAGGGAGGCTGGCACACAGAGAACAAACACGGGAATGCCCTGAGAGTCCCTAAAACCGTGAGAGCCCCTAAAGCCCTGAGAGTTCTTAAAGCCCTGAGAGTTCTTAAAGCCCTGAGAGTCCCTAAAGCTCGAGGCCCAAGTTGTTCAACTTGTCTAAAGTTGAGCATTGGGTGGTGGGGGAGCTGAGCAGGAAATTCGATGTGTTGGGAAGTGGGGGGGGCTTTGATTTCGCCCAGCTTCTCGCCACACTCAGATATTTTTCGCTGACTCAGCAGACCCTAGGGGCTATTTTGCGTTTGGTTGAAAGAGTCCCATATTGCACACATATTAGTATTGCACAGATATTAGTATTGCACAGATATTAGTATTGCACAGATATTAGTATTGCAAGTTTCCCGCCCCACCCGTTCCACAAACCCAGTTGAAGTTCACTGGCCAATCATCTGCCTTCGTATAATTCGTAACCCTAATTCGCAAAACAAACACCTGCAAAACAACAATCGATCAAGATTACTAAAGTTGACCTGCGCGATCCGCAATGTGGGCCTCGAGCTTTTAAGGCCCTGAGGGTTCTTAAAGCCCTGAGAGCTCTTAAAGCCCTGAGAGCTCTTAAGGCCCTAAGAGACCTCTCACTGCCACTCCTTTCCCCCTTCCCACTGCTCCTGTCCAGGCGGGGCGCGTAGCAGCATTGGACTAGCTGGCTCGGGGGTTCAGCAAAGCACTGGAAGGCCTCATTCCACCACTCACCCCCCTCCCACCCATCCCCTTCACCCCCCTGTGTGCAGGCAGAGCGCATAGCAGCATTGCACAGGCTGGCTCGCGGGCTCATTGGGTCCACAGTGTGTGTGTGTGTGTATGTGTGTGTGTGTGTGTGTGTGTGTGTGTGTGTGTGTGTGTGTGTGTGTGTTGAAACCACTTCAAACTCTCACTGCCTTCAAAGCTCTCTCTCTCTCTCTCTCTCGAATGGTCCTTGCATTCCATATGGGGTGGTACAAAGGAAGATGCAAAACACAGACACACACACACACACACACACACACACACACACACACATGTATGTGTGTATGTGTGTGTGTATGTGTGTGTGTGTGTGTATTTGTGCTTACACCCCTCGCGCTACTCCTGTGCAGGCCGGGCGCATAGCAGCATTGGACGAGCTGGCCCGCGGGTTCATTGGAGCAAGCAAGGAGGGGAGAGAGGAGCGGTTGGGCAAGGCGGAGAGGGTGACAGTGAGCGAGGAGGAGAGCAAGTGAGTGGGGAGGGAGGGAGTGTGGTGTGGGGTAAAACCGATAGGTGCAGAGTGGGGAGTGGGTTCATTGGGGCGGGCAAGGAGGGGGAGAGAGGAGCGGTTGGGCAAGGCTGAGAGGGTGACAGTGAGCGAGGAGGAGAGCAAGTGAGTGCTGCTCTGTGCGGTACCAAGTAGGTGCAGCCAAAAGGGTTTAATGGAGCGGAGAGAAGTTTTAAGAGAGAGAGAGAGGAGGAGAGGAAGTGAGTGGGAAGGGAGGGCATGCCGCGTGGGATAGGTGGGTGCATTGGAGAGGGGGGCTGCGGGGGCGAGAATGACCAAGGAAGGAGGAGAGGGAAGAGAGGATGACCAAGGTAGAGAAGTTTTTAAAGAAAGGAGGAGAGCAAGTGAGTGGGACGAGAGGGGGAGGAGGAGAGTGGGGAATGAGGGATTGCAATATAGGGTAGCTACATTGAGAAGGGTTGGGCAAGGAGAGGGACGTGAGGGTGGTATCTGTGTTTAGACTTATTTCGAGTTGACTCAAAAGGAGGATAGGAAGGTGAGGGTGGGGAAAGTGGTGTGTGCATGTGCGCAGTGTCTTCACCTTTTCTCTGCTCTCCCTTGGTGTGGCAGGCAGGCGAACATGTACATTACGGCAATGAGAAAAATCATGGAGAAGGGGGAGCAGCATGTGGAGGACGAGCTGAACCGCGTGGGCAGAATGCTGCTCGGGGTGAGTCAATCAAGCCAACCAGCGTGTGGCCTCAAGTATCTGTTTTATGTGAGCTCAACTCACATGTCATGGAGAAGGGCAGGCAACATGTGGAGGACGAGCTGAACCGCGTGGGCAGAATGCTGCTCGGGGTGAGTCTTGACTTACCAACCAGCTTCTTAGTTGTTTCACTTGTGAAAAGGAATCAGAATCAATTCCAAGGGATTAGAGAGCAGCATCTGGAGGACGAGCTGAACCGTGTGGGGAGAATGCTCCTCGGGGTGAGTTGAACCGGCCAGCTCTTTGAGTCGAATGAACCATTATTGAGGTGGGAAAGTTAGCGCGTGAAGAAGGGAGAGCAGCATCTGGAGGACGAGCTAAACCGCGTGGGCAGAATGCTGCTCGGGGTGAGTCAATCAAGCCAACCAGCTTAGCCGCATGGGTGGGGAGAATTGTCAGAATCTCAACCACTAGACCATTGGGATAAAAAGGCTTGTTAAGTAGCGGGTCAATGCGCCCATAACCCCCCAGGACAACGAGTCTGTAACCCTTCCCTATGATCAATCGAGGATCACCAGTGGACTTCTTACACCCCCCTGCACTGGGATGTCCGAAGTGCACACACTGAGATTCGAACCCGAGACGTTCGCTCTGATACCATGTTAGAATCCCAATCACTAGACCATTGGGATAAAAAAGCTTGTTTCAGAAGCGGGTCAGTGCGCTCATAACCCCTCAGGTTAACAGGCCATCTCACAGTGCAAGTCTTCTGACACCTCCCCACACTGGGAGCTCTAGGACTCGGCACAGCGGCAACGACCTGCATGTGCATACACCGGGATTCGAACCCGAAACCGCTCTGATACCATGTCAAAATCTCAAACACTAGACCATTGGGATAAAAAAGCTTGTTAAGTAGCGGATCAGTGCGCCCATAACCCCCTACGACAACGAGCTTGTAACCCTTTCATAAAATCAATCGGGGATCACCAGTGGATTGGGAGGTTATGGACGCACTGACCCGCTATTTAACAAACCATTTTATCTCAATGGTCTAGTGGTTGGGATTTTGACATGGTATCAGAGCGAATGTTTCGGGTTCGAATCCCAGTGTGTGCACTTTGGGCATCCCAGTGCGGAGGGGTGTCAGATGTCCACTGGTGATCCCCGATTGATCATAGGGAAGGGTTACAGGCTCGTTGTCCTGGGGGTTATGGGCGCACTGACCCGCTACTTAACAAGTCGTTTTATCCCAATGGTCTAATGGTTGGGATTCTGACAAGAATCATGTTTGAGGGGAATCAAGTCAGTTTTTTCAGTTGACTCGATTAGTGTGGAGAAGGGAGGGCAGAACGTTGAGGACGAATGCGTAGGTTCAATATGTTTATAGAGTTCGCCTCCGGGCTAAAAGAATAGGAAGTGCATGTGTAAAGTGCCAAAAGCCCCCTAATGGTTGAGGAGGTTGAAAAGGTTGAGGAGGTCTTCTGTTTGAGTCGACCAGTAAGGTGCTCTTGAGGTGCTTCAAGTGCAAAGGTGCCCCACGGGATGACAAGGGCCCATCCGCGTCACGATCCGCGAAAGGCCCACAGGCACATTATTAACCGTTCCCTGTTGTTTCCTCTTCCTGCTTGTGTGACCATTGTGTTGCATGCTATGCTCGCACATATGCAGGCACTGCCAAGGGACAAGGTCTTGAGCTTCATCATCAAAATGAACATCCTCGCGGCCTTCTTGAAGCTCGATGGACCAGACAGCGACGAGGGCAGGGGAGAGTTTGATATGAAGATTGAGCTGCCTAAGAAGTTCTCATATGGGAAAGTGTAGGCAGGTGTGGGGCAGGTCTACAACCAACTGTTGTCTCTGTCACCCTCAACATTCTGATAGGACACCTCAGTGACATTTACAAGTATCAAAATGGCGTGCTAGCAAAGTTTAGCTTAAGGAACAACCGTATCAGAAGTGAACATCAGATTTAACCGGAACAAGGTTATTTATTAGAATATACCATATATGTAAATGTTCAATAATCTCTTTTTCTTTCCCAGTCTGTACAATGCAGCCTGGTTGCTGCATGATTTGCGAGCACCTGAATTTAAGAACATGCTGACCTAAAACCCATTACTTACTAGCACACCTTGTAGTTCATGTAGTCCTTAGAAACTAGCATAAATCGGCAAGTGAGGATAACTTTACAACCTATCTACAACGGTGTTCACTTCAGGATATAATACCAGCTAGGACAATACAGTGACGCAACTACGGTACTAAAACAACAGGTACATGCAGGAGATACATAATCTTATCTCACCATCACCAACACAAGTTTTAACAGGATCACCATGCAAATGAGGATAAGTGCAGCGGAGAGAAGAGAAGAAAGTGAGGAGGAAAAGGGAGGGGGGGGAGAACTGGCCGAGAGGGGAGAGTGGGGGGAAGGGTAGGGGGGAAGAGGCGAGCTTGGGAGGCAAAAGGGGGGAAACGGCGCAAGGGTGCCAAAGGGGGGAGAGGGGGAAGGGGGGCGTGTGTGGGAAGTTGAGAGAAAACGAAGAGAGGGGAAGGTGGAAAGGAGTGGGAGTGGAGAAAGGGAAGGCACGGGGGCAGGGGGATTGGAGCTGTTGTGGCAAACAGCACTGCCTCAGCTCAGCCTTGAACCAACCAACTCTTCTTCCCTCGCTCCATCCCTTCTGTTGGCCCGTCCGTCCGTGAATGTTGGTCGGTACCGTACCAAACAGTACCGTTCCGTACCGTTGCTCAATCCGTGCGAGACTTGTGAGAGGAGCTCGGCCTTATATGCATCCATCAATCGTCTTAGTCCTTCCATCCATCCAGCCAGCCAGACATCCGTTAAAACGCCGTGAGCGACACCGTCGTTACACCGTGGTTACACCGTTGGTACACCGTTGTTTCACCGTCAGTGCAGCCGTTGGTGGCATCTGTAACAGCAGTGAGCGCAACAACGGAACAGGTCGCCCTGCAGTGCGGTCAGTAAAAGAGACAACTTGCTCCCTCACTCTGTCCCTTGCTCATCCCACCCCTTACTCAAATCACTCCCTCTCTCTCTCTCTCTCTCTCTCTCTCTCTCTCTCTCTCTCTCTCTCTCTCTCTCTCTCTCTCTCTCTCTCTCTCCATCTCACTGCCCCTGACCAGTCTTCCTCTCTGTCAGGCTAACCTCGAGGCTCAAGGTACATACCATGACAGTACGAGGGATACACATGACATACCATGACATGCAGGAGAGGCAAGCAGCCAGACACGGTCAGATAACAAGCAGACGCGGGCTGCTGAACAAGAAGAGATCAAAGCGTGACCAAGAAGCCAGCCCTCAACCGTAAGAAGCATATAGAAAACGCAACGACCACTGGGTTGGGTAGGCACGATAACAGGCAACGCATGAAGCGCACTGGGCATGCTGCAAGCTGCAAGCTGCAACTCAATCCATTGCAAGAAGGCGGCATGCCATGGCCCCTTACACAGAGACAGCGCTACTCTACTCCACACTTGCACATATTGGGCAAAGGGTATGAAACCCACGAAGCGACACCATACCATTTAAAAGAGCACCATGCTAACAACCAGCATGTCACTTTCATTTGTCGGCGATCGACTCGTACTCTCACCTCATCAATGCGGCCGGGTACCGGGACCGGAGGTGCTTTTTGAGTCGACTAAAAAAGACAGCAAGCAAACCAGCACCACACTGACACTCACCCCATCAATACGGCCGATACCGCGAGCGTCCCCCCCCATCTCCATTCCGCCCCTCGCCTCCCCCCCTCTCGTAATCCCTCTCCCTCCCCTCGTCCTTTATTCCATACCCACCCCCATACCCACCCCCATACCCGCCCCCATATCCCCCACCTCCCCCTCCCCCTCCCCCACCACCACCATACCCACCCCCATATCCCCCCCCATACCCCCCACCACCCTCCCCCTCCCCCTCCGCCTCCCCCTCCTCTCCGCCCATCCCCGCCCCTTCCTCCCGCGAGCAGGGGCGGGCGCGGCTGCGCCATGCGGATCTCGTGAAGGGGAGTACCCTTGATCATGCGCTGGCTGCGCGCGCACGCGCTGTCCGCCGCCGCGAACGAGTTGAACCGCACGTAGCAGAAACCACGCCGAGTGCCAGAGCCTCTGTCTTTGGGGAAATAAACGTCCTCTACCGTGCCGTACCTGTGGGGGGGAAGTGGGGACAGGCAGGGGAGGAGAGAGGGGGAATGGGGGGATAGGGAGAGAGTGCAGCGACGGAGTTGAAGAGCACATAGCAGAAACCACGACGAGAGCCTGAGGCTTTGTCCTTGGGGAAATAAACGTCCTCCACCGTGCCGTACCTGTGAGATGCGGGAGCGAACAGGGGGGGGGGCGGAGTGGGGGAGGGGGGGAGGGTGGGGAGAGTGCAGCAAAAGCGTTAGAGAGAGGCGCGTAGCTGAAGCCATTTGGCGCGGCGGAGGCTCTGTCCTTGGGAAAAGGGAGGGGAAGGAAGAAACAAGGCGCCGATGTCTTGAGAAGTCTCAAAACTCGAAGCAAGGCCATGATATCGTATGATGGACGAGACGATCAAACAAACAAACAAACAAACAAACAAACGTGGACAAACGGTCCGCAAAACCCTTACTGTTCAAAATGCTCCTTCACGTCCTGCTCGCTGATCTCCTCCGCCACTCCCCCCACAAAGATCCGAAACTCGTCCTCAAATCCTCCCCCTCCGCCTCCGCCTCCGCCTCCGCCTCCTCCCCCGCCTCCGCTGCGCCCATACCCCTCCATAGCATTCGACAGTATATACCCGCCTCCAAATCCCGAACTTAGTCCGGCACCATAGCCGCCAGACGTGACTAGAGGAGTCACGGAGTAGTAATCCAAGCCTGCCGAACCTATAGCGGCTCGGGGTGCTGCTGCGGCTGCCATGGCTAGGGAAGACGGTGGGTAGCCGGAGGCTCGGTGGGAGGGTCGGTCGTCGTTGTAGGCTCGGCGGCGAGATGGCTGCTCCGGTCCTCGAGGTTCGGCTTTGGTTATGGGAATGGTCACGCCGCAGATCTCGTAAGAGTCGTTTTCCACCTGAGGAAGGAGGAGCGGGGGGGCGGGAATGAGCATTAACGACTAGCTGTTTCTCATATCTAGGCATGAGCAGCCGCAGATCTCGTAAGAGTCGTTTTCCACCTGAAGGAGGGTACGCGAACGAGAACTATCGACTTTTTACCTTGGATACTACTGCTGTTAGTATATGCAGTCGTTTCTAAATTAAAGGAGGACGATCAAAACGCTGGTACGATGTTCAATAGTTTGACGACCACCATTTCAATCGTTTGTGAATAAACGAGGAGATAGAGAACGAGGAGATAGAGAACGAGGAGATAGAGAACGAGGAGATAGAGAACGAGGAGTAACGGAAGATACCACACCTCGTCAGATTCCATCATTAAGGATAAATCCACATCACAACTAATCGTGGCTTTGACAGAAATGCGCGTACCGCGGCTTTGACGGCTTCCTCTTCTTCGAACGAGATGAACGCGATGCCCTTCAAAGTGCCGGTGAACGGATCGCGCGGCACGTACACGTCGATCACGGTCCCGAACTTCTCGAAGAAGCTTCGCAGAACATCCTCTTTATGCTCCTCCGATATCCCCGCTCGCAGAAACACGCGATAGCGATGTGACGGCATGGCGGGCCCTGAATGAAAGCAATTGCTGTTGGTGACTGCAAACCCTTAAAGCGACGGGCAACTTTTGGCAGTGTTGGGTTCAGAAGTTTTTTTTTTTGAACCAGGCTTGCCAGCGCGAAAGTGCTGGCTGGCGAAAACCAGGATTTCGTGCGGACACTTTCCATCCGCAGTAACAGTTCGCCAGGGTTCTGGGTTTTGGGTGGCAAATGTGCACCGTCGCTTTAACTGACGAGCACAGTTGGCATATGGCCCACGACTAGATGAGTAGTTGATGCTGGTTGGGAAGCTGACCTCACGATTGATTCGACGGCTGAGATTACCGACGGAAATAATGAAATGTGGAACAGCAATGTACTGCTTACAATCTCAACTGTTGTTTCACCATTCAACATGTCTAGCAGTCCTTATTCATGTACAGCCAGACCTCCCTCCCATTCCTCCCACATGATTGATGAACGTGGTTTCAACAAGAAACAGCACGATGCATGAGATCATTTCTTCCATTTCGAGTTGAAGTCCGGAACTTGAAAATGGGGTCCGGCCGATTGATGGCAATTTGGGGTTTCATGTGCTGCTGCTGTATAATGTAAGCAAATTTTATTTCCTTTTGGGGGATGTAAAACACATACCTATATTAATATAATCTCTTCTACACATGCTAGTACTATAGCTCTATGGTCCAAAGTATCCCTCTTGTGGAATCACATGGTTCCTAGACTGCTCCCATGCCACGTGTGCACCCTAGTCTGTGGGTGCGTATAGGACTAGATGTCCCTCGTTATTCCTTCCTCTTTCACATTCCTGTGCCTGTCTGTGGCCTCAGCTCACAGGAATCGCCACCTTGAGCCCGTTGAAGCAGTCTGACCCTACCCTGCTCCCAAAATACAGAGTCTTGCCTTGCTCAGCCCTCCTCACTAAATACACATCCATGCCAACTTTTCTAGGAGGACCCAAGGGATCTGCACTGTAGAAATCGCATGAATCGAAACTAGCTTGATCCGGGAATTGCTGCACATCTCGCTCAGCGTCCATCCACCTGAAAACTGAGAGTCGGGAGAGTGCAAGGGGCAGGGGTGCGAAATGGGTTATCCTTGTGAACGGCTGCGGCATGGGTTTAGTGATGGGTAGCTATTAGAGGAGCGTGTTGCAAGAGACAGGTACGGAGATGGGTGCTTCGGGAAGAGTTGCATGACACAAGGCATGGAAATGGGAAACAGTGGGAGGGAGGCTTGGAAGAGACATGTGTAGTAGGGGCGGGTAAGTGAAATTGAAAAATATCATGCAGCATTCCCTGCTATTGTGACAGAGACTGACGCATTCTGCACAGCCATTCCGAAAGTTCCACAGGCCTCACTCACGTCCATACTCGTCTGCCTGACTCGTGCAAGCAGATGGACACAATCATCGTGTACGCACTAGAAAGTGATTAGCTAATAGCGAGTCGTTGGGGCACTCACGAAGGAACGTGCCAGGCCTCATGACAGGAGGAGTCCACTTTTCAACGCCTAGGCGCCATGGGTTTAGACTGGGGCGCCCCTTTTCCAGCCCCACCGGCACGACCGTCTGTGGGGCGGGGGATGTTGAGAGTGGGGCGCACGGTGGGATGGATAGGGAAGTTTCAGCAGTGCAAGATGCACGTCACCATTGAAATGAAAACGAAACGAAAAAAAAGGCTATTGCCTGAGCATTGTGAAGAGATTAACGGGAGCGAGACAACCGTTTACAGTCCTACTACCATAGCAGGTAAAAGCAACGTCGTCAGGATTGTCATTAAGTCCGATCTGCCCACAAGAGTTCGGTCTTTCATTGTGAGCCTGATATGCGAGCATGCGCACTGTCATGACTGTGCGCATCAGGCCGTGGTATGCCGTCCTGCCAATACACAAGCCGTGGTACGCCATCAGGTACTCTTTTCAGCTTCACAGTTTGAGGCGTTCCGGAATTGGTAGGCGGGTTGTAAGTTTCTCAGTTAGTAGGGAGTCTTTTACCTTGGCGTCGACTGCACCTGCGATTGGGCGATCATGGGAGGAAGGAGGGATGAAAGGCAGTCCACTGATGTGCATTGAGGAAACTGAAGGCGAGAAAGCAGTCAAGTTGCTGAATTTGCTCAATTGGTTTGCTGAATTTACTGCGAGAGCGAGACATTAGCGAAGTTAAGGTGGGCAGTGCGCCGAATCACGGTCCACGAGACATGGGCTTTGCGTGAGCTTGACACGCGATGGTGGAAGACATACTCGAGAAGAGCGCGAGAAGGGCCACGCACGCCGCGATCGCCGCTGAACACCGACTACTCCGCATCTTAAGAGCTTGTGTTTTGCTTTCAACTTCCTGTTTGCTATTTTTTTTTAGAGCGAGCGAGAGGACGATCGAACAAGCCACTGCTGCGCGCGGGAACTAGGCGAAACTGTACTTAGATACTGCTAGCAACAGTAAGTAAAACTTCCTTATAAGGTGTATCAGACGCGAGTCAGTGGTGTGTGAGGTAGCCGCATCAGGAATGCAGTGAAAGTGAAATGAGGAGCCTCAAAAGTTTCTGGGGTGAGAAGAATAAGGATCTGAGTCCCCTGCCAACGGTAGCCTGTGCCGCTGATTGAAAAGTGATAACTCGCGGGCGAGGCAAAAACCGGCATAATCGCAGAAAGTTTGCTTTGAGTGGGCTAAAGCACGTCTCGTGAGGGTCGTTAAAGACCTGAAAAGGGGCTTGCGGCGGATGGGACGGGACGGCCCCAGGCCCTGCGTCGCGATCATCGGGGGAACGTCACGAAATAGTTCGCGTAAACTGCTGAACTGAACTCGGACGACTTCTTTGTCTAGATCTGTGCAGAATCCCGAGCAGCGATTTAATTTTGCTCTTCTGCGCGCCCACGTGGCACGTCTCACTCAAATCGGCGCGACCAGAAATACAGAAACTGTCGGAGGCAAGGTGGAAGCACCGTATCAGCCAGTTATTCAAGTGATGTAGGTTGACGAGTGTCATCTCATCACGTGGACGAGAATCCAGCCACAACAGGTGTGCCTTGGGATGAGATGGGATGAGAGGGAGGGAACAATGAGAGGGATGGGATGGGATGAGATGGGATGATATGGGTTTTTATGCGATGCAAAATGGTTGAATGGGTTCATGTGGGATGTGATGGTCTGGTAACGGAATTGGGGTGGAAGCATTGGAGAGTTCAACGTTACCGCGTCGCCTTCGACATCTCTTTGCAAAAATGCGTTTCGAGCGGCTCGCCTTCTTGGTCTCGCGCCTGCCTCTCGCGCCAACCAGGTTACCGCCTGGTTAGTCGGCCGTTGCAAGTGTTGGATTGGTTCGCTGGTAAGTTGTGATGGGGCTTGGAATTGTCGGCGGCTAGATTCACTATTTACCGTTTGTCGCGCCTGCAAATAGCTGCAGAAACTGTCGGCCACGTCGTCGCGGCACCCCACAAGCAACTGGGCACTAGGGACCATTGCGTGTAGTGTACGCTTTTATCATTCTACCACAAACAGTGAGTTCGTGATACAGTAGTATTGAGCAATTATTGTGCTATTCAGTATTTCACAACATGTTGGTTCTTGACATATAGAATCATTGACATCCGATCCTTGCTAACTAGCTTGAAAGCATATACGGTAGCAAAGCCATTATTGGCTCCTTGACCAAGTCACAAACATTATTGATGGAAACATCCGTCCTAGTAAGACCTAAGCACTCTTTTAGCCTCCCGAATACCAGACAGATACCCTCCATGGACACTGGCTCTATACGCTCCATTGGTATGCTCCCCCGCAAACAGGAAATTCTGCTCCGGTTCCGCCAGGATGTTGAAATCTCCGGTAACGTCGCCATCCCCTTTCATTCCTAGCCTTCCATAACTATACGCACCTCGTGCATACGGGTCCAAATTCCACCGCTGTAACCACACCGCGTGCACCTTTGCAGTCTTATACTTTGGAAACATGGCTTTTATCTTGTTAGCCGCATCCCGAATGCATTGCTCTTCGCTCATCTGCGCCATTCGGTTCGCATATGAACCAACCGCAACACCCTCCAGAGCCGTCATACCCCATGCACGTTTCAGATTCACCCAGTCAACCCACCGCCCGCGGTTTCCCGGAAGCTGCGCATCCTCGATAAAATACTCGTCCGCCCAGGTCGGCCAGAACGTAGTATTGTAGAAGAAAAACACCTTGTTGACATTCCCGAACCCGACGCGCCTTATAGCGCCTTGCTTTCGCGTGGAGAGCGCGGGAGAGAAGGTCACAACCCCGGCCTTGAGAACACCGAGGGGGAGAGTGATGATGGCAGCGTCACCGGAGTAGGAGCGGGTGGCGCCCGTGGTGGTGTCCTTGCCCGTGATCTGCACTCCTCCTGAGGACAGACGGGTGATGGCTGTGACTTCAAAGTTGAGCACCAGCTTTGCTCCTGCGTTTGTGGCTTCCTGCAGGGGGTGTAGGGAAGGGAAATGAGGAGAAGAGAGGGATGGGGTGGAAAGCGAACATCCATGGGGGCTCTAAGGGCAGGTGACAAGGGTGGGTGGCGCCGGTGGTGGTGTCCTTGCCGGTGATCTGCATTGCTCCGGAGGTCAGGCGCGTGATGGCCGTGACTTTGAAATGCAGCACCAGCTGTGCTCCGGCGTTGGTGGCTTCCTGAAGGGGGAGGTGGGGCGGGAAGGGAGGAGAAACGAACCGAGGTTTGAGGCACCCAGAAGTTGAGCACCAGCTGTGCTCTTGAGTTGGTGGGCACGGAGGAAGGGAGAGATGGGGCGCGAAGGTAGGAGCACCACCAGCTGAGGATGGTGCAGAAAGAGGAGTTTCGAGGCACCTCACAAGCTGAACACCAGTTGTGCGATGGTGACCACCATCCGCAATCTCACGCAAACACCCCTTCTTGGACATTCATGAGCATCTAAGGATGTGATTGTAGCCGTTGGTAGTCACTAGATTAAATCAGGGATTTACCCATGCACACTCCTATATACAACCCAACACACACACTACCCCGCACACCTTCATAAGAATCTTGGGGATTCTATGACAGCCGTTGGCAACCACCAGATTAGATCAGAGCCATCAGCCCATGCTTCATCCCACTCACACACTCCCCCACGCACCTGCATGAGCAGCTTGGGGATGCTATCGTAGCCGTTGGTCACCACCAGATCAGGGGGGTCAAACCCTAGCAGAGATCTGCAGCCTTCCACGCACACATTCGGACCCAAACTCACAGTCCCACACACAACCTCCCACACACCTGCATGAGCAGCTTGGGGAAGTTATCGTAGCCGTTGGTGACCACCAGATCCAATCAGGTCCAAAAACCCATGCACAATCCCAGGCACACACTCCCCCGCACACCTGCATGAGCAGCTTGGGGATGTTATCGTAGCCGTTGGTGACCACCAGATCGGGCGGGTCAAACGCCTCGTCCTGGTAGTACCAGGCGGACACCGTTGACAGCTCCCCCGAATACTCAAACTCGAAATCCACCGCCACGCGCGACTGCAAGATGTTCCGGGAAGGAATATGTGGTTTGGAAGATGTTCCGGGAAGGAATATGTGGTTTGGAAGATGTTCAGGGAAGGAATATGTGGTTTGGAAGATGTTCAGGGAAGGAATATGTGGTTTGGAAGATGTTCAGGGAAGGAATATGTGGTTTGGAAGTGGGTTGGGGGCCTTAGAACCAAAGAGAAGCTTGGCCTCTCCATCCTGGTAGTACCACGCAGTCTGCGTTGACAGCTCGCCCGAGTACTCACACTCGAAGTCCACCGCCACACGGGACTACAGGGTGGGGGAGGGGGTACACCGTTGACACCGTTGACAGTTCGCCCGAGTACACAAACTCACGCTCCTGCGCCACCTGGGAAGTGGTTTATCAAGGCGTTGTTCAGTATAAAGTGGAATGCTTATTGCTACCTGCCCACCGTCATGAACTTTAGGGGGTCATATTGTGACAGACAGTACGTAAGGATGGCTGACTGGGTGATGTTCAAAAAGAGCAGTTGATTCATTAGTCCGTGCGGGACGAAGGAAATCAGGCAGGCACTAGCAACGAAACCTGAAGCTGCGCCAGAGTCACGTCATGGTGCCTGAAAGTTCAGTCACTGCCTGTGTGTAAAATTACACACCTGGATATACGGGTTCAGGAAGTTCCCCGCGGCTCGGAACGCCTTCTCCATCGAAATGTCGTTGTCCTGATTGTTCGCGATCTGCTTGGCGCGCTTCAACGCCCAGTCGTACTTAGCCGATGCGACTTTTAGCTGAAAGGCAGTGTACGCGCTCCCACCCGCACGGTACTGAATCTCCTCGCCGTTTTGCTCGCCGATCTTGAGCTTGAATCGGCGCGCAATGGCCGTGATGGGGTTGCCTGTCGCTGATTGGATCCACTGCGCGCCCATCTCGCCGCGAATCACGCCGCCGCTGCCGACGCCCGCAGCCGGCGCGGGCTCCGTGCGGCTCCACATCCGCCCCCCCACGCGGTTGCGCGCCTCGAGCACCGTGACCTGCAGTGGAAGAGGGGGAAAGGGGGGGATAGAGCGACGGGTTCACTAGCGCTTTCGTAACGCGGCGCACGGCTTCTGTCACAGTGCGACTGATGTGTATTAGTCAAGGCCCCCCCCCCCCCCCCCCCCCCCCCCCCCCCCCCCCTCCCCCCTCCCCCCCCCGGTTCACGTGGTTGCGGGTTTAGCGCGGCTTTAACGCGACGACGTCGACATCCATCGCAAGCATTTCTCGCGAAAAAGAGCGGAGCGCCTTGAAGCGCGCTTCTTGCTGCAAGCGGCACTCGCGGCGACCGCATCTGCGTCGATGATCGACGCCGAACCGGGCGAAACGTTCGACAATTGAAAGTTCGGAGTGGGAATGTTCACTTCGAAGATTCACAAGGCCGACGGACGGGTCGCTCACCCGGCGGAAGCTTCACTTCGGATACAAAAACGCGGCTGCCCGTGACGGCGGAGTTTCGAGCGGGAGAACTTCGAAGCCGCATACATAGCCATTTGGAGCGCAAACAAAGTCAAAGTTGAAGATGAAAAGGCGCCCTTGACGCACCTTGAAGCACTCGCCGTTGGTGACGGCGATGTGTCGTGCCGCGGAGACCCCCGAGATGCCCGCGCCGACGACCAGCACGTTCCGCACCTTGGTGCACGCCGCCTCCGCAATCCGAAGCTGCGGGATGAACAGCGCCGTGGCGATCAGTAGCAGCTGCAGCATCAGCTGTAACCGGCCTGCCGCCGCATTTTGAGCAGGAAATCTGCCCATAACATCGGGTCGCGAAAGCACCACGATTGAAAATGAGAGGTATGTCACTGATTAACCTTGATAAGCGCGAACGGGACGTCGAGGATTGACGACTCAGAAACTGTTGATGAGAAACACGGGGGAGAGATGTTATATACCATCCATAGCTGACTGGTCGAGGCAGATAACAAGGGTGGGAGCGCCGTGATCGGCGGGGGGTTGGATGAGGGTGGCGATCAGGGAAGGACATTCATGCCAGCAACAATAATTGTGGCGAAGAATCTCGAAGGGTTGTGGCGAAGGAGCTGACGAAACGTTCTCGCGAAAGCTTCTGGGGAAGGAATATGGGAGGAAATGTGGCGAAGGATTGTAGCGAAGAATCTGAGTTCGTGTCCGTAGGAATTTGGGGTGTCAAGCACTGTAGCTTCAGTGTCAAATCGAAGCGCAGCACAAAATCATGCGACGCAACCTTATTGGTTTGGCACTAATTTGAGTACACAGGCGATTTCTTGCACGACCTTGCAGTCGCAAAGGATTTTTCATCCGTTGATTGGGCAGGTGTGGGTCGTCAAAATTCTCGATCCGACCAGTTTGGTTGGCTGGATGGAGCTACGCGAATCGCAGAGAAGGATATCCGACGAATTGGACTGGCTGGCAATTTTCATGTCGTTGACACTCTGGCAACAATGTTGGCAAGTGTCAAAACCACAAGTTGACACTCACATGCTTGACATGTCATCCCTACGGATACGACCTGAGGAGGGCCAGTTGGGAAGATTTGTTCGTGGCGATAGATTGTGACGACATCGTGTTGGACACAACTTAGAAACTCATGTAAGTCAAACCAGGCTGTCCTGGTTTTAGATTTGGCATTCAAAGCGATGCCAGCAGCGTTGGCATTGGCTGGCAGCCACCCTCGCCGCATTTGGTGCAAACCCGACCAGCCCATACAGTTTCGTAACCACCCTCGCGAAAGAAATATGGGGAGAAATGTATTCGAGCAAACTCTAGCTGGTGTTAAATGTGTTGAAGTTAGTAGCTGGCATGTGTGAGCCTCCAGCCTCACATTCTCAAGTGCCTGTAAATATGAAGCCATGGCTCTTCGTGAAGGTTGTGTCGTCTCGACACACTCTGAAGTTCTTAAGAGTTGTAATCAACTAGCTACTAATCACTCCGCACTTCTGACCACACTTGTGGAACAAAAACACTCCCACAGAAAGATAACCACCCTAACGAGGATAGTATCAGTCAGAGGAGCCTGTGGTGATGACAGGCCGTGAAGCATCCAGGCCTACAAACAGCACCAAGGCACTTCGTCGTAGGTGGGCGATCCACATGTTTTTCGTGGCAAGATTGGGCCTACTACTGAAACGGAAATGACATTAAGGTGTATTTGCATATATTAGAATTCAGGCTACTGCATACTAAATACGGTAGGTGTGCTTATTCATAATCACATGCTGATACGCATCGCAATTAATACCAATTACCATCATCCTTTTTAGGTAACCAACCCATGGCCATGCTTAGAGGAAACTGCCACTTGGCATTGCCTGCAGAAACAAACGAGAACACAAAAGTAGTGAGAACATGATGTCAGAACAAATAATGTGGTTGCCCGAATCCCAATGCACGTTGTAAAAGCATGTTCCCATATTGCATCCGACTCCACAGCCGCAATTCGTCCCACATACCCGTGACATTGAGTTTCCAGGACCAGAAGAACCATCCTGCCTGCGCATGCCCCAGCGCCTGCATCTGAGCTAGAGTGAACTGCTTCTGCTGCTCCTCCGTGGCGCCCTTACTCGCCATCGCCACCCCAAACTCGCCCACCAGGATAGGCCGCCCTATCTGCACCGTGGGAGGGAGGGGAGAGTGGGGTTGGAAGGGGGGGGCAAAATCGAGAGCTGAGAAAATGAAAGCTGACAGGAGGGTGGGCGTGAGGTATGGAAAGGGACGATGAAGAGGCGGACGGGAGCATGAGTCGCATGCCCCAGCGCCTGCATCTGAGCTAGAGTGAAATCCTTCTGCTGCTCCTCTGTGGCACCCAGACTTGCCATCGCCACTCCAAACTCGCCCACCAGGATAGGCCGCCCTGTCTGCAGGGTGAGGGGGGGACGGAGAGTGGGCTTATTTTTGAGTCGACTCAAAAAATCTGCAGGGTGAGGAGGGGACGGAGAGTGGGGTTGCAGGGGTAGGGAGAAAAGGAGAGATGATGGGCGGGTGGGTGGACCAATGGATCCCCACGTAGGAGGCATGGCGTAGCGTGGCAGCAGCACAAAACCTAACTACACAACGTTTTGCTAAACACAGCTGCTGCCACGCTACGCCATGCCTCCTACGTGGGGATCCAGTGGGGTTGCAGGGGTAGGGAGGAAAGGAGAGATCACGGGCGGGTGACTTTTGAGAATTCTCAAAAGTCACTCAAAAGAGAATTCTCAAAAGTCACTCAAAAGAGAATTCTCAAAAGTCACTCCAATGTAGGGAGGAAAGGAGAGATGATGGGCGGGTGGGTGGGATGAGGAGGCGGGAGCATGACTAGCATATCACAGCCTGCATCTGAGGCCATTTTTGAGAATTCTTTGCTAAAGAATTCTTTTAGACTGCTGCTCGCCTAATCATATGGCTGTGGGATGAGGAGGCGGGAGCATGACTAGCATATCAGAGGCTCCATCTGAGCGAGGGTGAACTGCTTCTGCTGCTCCTCCGTGGGTCCCAGACTCGCCATCGCCACTCCATACTCGCCCACCAGAATGGGTCGGCCTATTTGCAGGGTTGAGGTGGGGGGAGGAGGGGCAAGGGGGAGGGGGGGTGGAAGGGGAGGGAGGGATGGAGTGGGGGAGGAGAGGGGAATTTGGCGGCGTGGGGGGAAGGAGGGGGACAGCGGTGAGCGAGGCAAGGGTGAGTTGGGAGCCTGATTACTTTGGGTCTATCCATCGGAGCACATTTGCGTAGACCTTAGTTGCGGAAGACGCTCGACGCGTCTTGCGTCTAGCGTCTAGACGCTAGACGCAAGACGCACTTTTAGACGCAAGACGCTTGGTCGAATTTTTTTCGGGCAGCCCAAAAAAAGAAAAAATCACGCGCGCGAAATTGAAATTCGCCATTTCGACGCGAAATTCAATTTCGCGCCATCAGAACCCCTTCCCACCCATTTCGACCACAAAAGCCAGCCCCCCAAGCAAATTTGAATCCCCCCCAACCAAAATTGAACACAAACCACACTTCACCGCTTGGTATCTAGAAAACCCAACCTCTATGGCTAACCACCAAGAGGTTGGGGAGCACAAATCTCTCATTTGTGCTCCCCTACCTTCATTTCTTCCAAATCTCTTTCGAAAACCCTTAGGGTTTAGCTACTTCCACCGCACAACCATGTCTTCTAGTAGCCATTGTGACATAGGTGCATGTCCCCCACCCTCCCCATGCCCCATAGAACTTTTTTTGGTCTGCCCGAACATTTTTTTTAGGCCTGCCCGGGTTTTCGTCTAATACTGCGTCTAATCTACACTGTCTAGCGTCTAGCGTCTTAGACGCTGCGTCTAGACGGACGCGTCTAAGACGCTAGACGCGTCTTCCGCAACTAAGGCGTACACTCACTCGTCACAATCACCAGAACCAACAGACCCAGTGCACGCTCTGTTCCCCTTGTTCAGAGGACCTCGGTTATCCACACCATCACAGCACCTCCGCACTCAGCACAAAACAACCACCAGCACCACACCCAGCATATCCACCACACTCACACTCTGCGCCAAATCAATCACCATCACAACCTCACCATACCCAGCACAACCACACCTTACCGGACACAACCAGCACTGCCACACTCACGCTCTGTGCGCTGTCCAGAAGCGTCGGCCTGTTGCTCCGCTCCTCCCCTATCTCCAACTCCACCAGCTGAGGAAGCTTCCTGGTAGCCATCGGGATGCCCGCCAGCATATTATACAGGTGCGTTTCATACAGCACATTGGGGTGCCACGTGTCAAGCATGTGAAACGCCACGTCCCACATGCTCTTCCCCACACGCCCCTCGATCGACACGAAGCAGCACGCGCACCGCTCCCTTATAAGGTCATGCGCTTTCCTGTAGTACTCCCGCAGCTCATCCCCGTCTACACCCAATACTCCATAGTACGACGGGGCGACAGGCTCATGCAGCAGCCCCACGCCAAACAGGCTCGGATTCCCTCCGAACCTGTCACCAATCCAACGGACGAAATCGAGCGTGTGGTCAACATTCAATCCGGACCATCGGATCAACCCGTCTCTCGAAAACGCTGCTCCGTTCTGCGACCCAGGAGCAACATGCACACTCAGCCAGACCCTCAGGCCATACTTAGCCGCCATCTCAAACGCCCAGTCTAAATGCGCCAGAGCACCAGGCGGGTAGGGAAACTCGGGCGTTCCTGGAGTAGCAGTGGGAGTGCTGCTACTATCATTGCTGCTGCTGCTGTTGCCGCTGCTGTTGCTGCCGGTATGAGCAGGGGAGGAGAAGGCGAAGGAAGGGTCTTCCTGGGCGATCCAGTAGGGGATGGGGATACACACGGTGTTCACCCCCCTCGCCTTCATGTCCTGCCAGTCCAGCTCTGTGATGAGCTTCGAATGCACCGAGTCAAAGAGGGTTGAAGCTTGATCTGGGCCTGCTGTGTATGCTGCTTGCCAGTCGCCATGCACTGTGCTCACCTGGAGGGGGGAAGAGAAAAGGAGAAGGAAGTGGGGTCACAAGGGAGGAAGGAGGTATCAGTAAGAATGGGAGAGCTACACCCCCCTCGCCTTCATGTCCTGCCTACCAGTCCAGCTCCGTGACCAGCTTCGAGTGCACCGAGTCAAAGAGGGTCGATGCCTGCTCCGTGACCAGCTCCGGCCGTCCCACCAGGTCCATCAAGAACACAGCCGGCCCTGACCAGAGCGCCTCTCAGCCCATCTTAACCCCTCCCTACCCATGTCTGCCCCTCTCCACCTCTCAGCCTCCCACCAGGTCCATGAAGAACACAGCCGGCCCCGACCAAAGCATCTCTCTGCCTCTCTTTGCCTCTATTTGCCCCTCTCTACCCATCTGCTTTTGAGTCCACTCAAAAGCATCTCTCTGCCTCTCTTTGCCTCTATTTTCCCCTCTCTACCCATCTCTGTCCCTCTCTGTACCTCCCTGTCCCTCACGGCCCCTTTCTACCCCTTTCTACCCCTTTTTACCCCTCTGAGCCCCTCACCAGGTCCATGAAGAACACAGCTGGCCCCGACCAGAGCGTTTCATTGGTGGCATTGGAGCTGTAGTCGGCTGTTAAGGTGCCGTCCTCGTGCGCCTGGTCAAGCAGGAGAGGACGAGAGGGATGGGAGGAGAAAGGAGACATTGCCCATGAATGAGTGGGATTCCTCAGTGGCATTGGCGCTGTAGTCGGCTGTTAGGGTGCCGTCTTCGTGAACATGGGAGGTGAGAGAGGGGAGACAGGAGGAGACAAGAGGCAGGAATGAGGACTTGAAGTTCCCTCAGTGACGCTGGCTGTTATGTTGGCTGTTATCGTACCGCCCTCGTGAGGCTGGGGGGAGGAGGGCGAGAGAGGAGGAGGGCGAGAGAGGAGGAGGGGGATGGAAGGAGAAACGAGGCAGGAATCCCCTAGGCACACGAGGGCGTTGGGTTTCCTTTGCGGAATCTGCACTGTAGTTGGCCGTTATGGTGCCGTCCTCGTGAGCCTAGGGGATGAGAGGCAGAGAGGGCAGTGTGAAGGCGGTGCTGCTGCTGCTGCTGCTGCTGCTGCTGCTGGTGGTGGTGGTGGTGGTGGTGGTGGTGGTGGTGGTGGTGGTGGTGGTGGTGGTGGTGGTGGTGGTGGTGGTGGTGGTGGTGGTGGTGGTGGTGGTGGTGGTGGTGGTGGTGGTGGTGGTGGTGGTGGGAGACTCAAAACACGCAGTGTGAAGGCGGTGCTGCTGCTGGTGCTGGTGCTGGGAGAAGAGGGCAAGAGCGGATGACACCACACACGCACCTGCAGCAGCTGGCCGTTGGGTGCTTGGATTATGACTCTAAACGAGTCGTCTATGGGCGTGGCTCTGGTGAGCTGCGCCCCCAGTAGCAGCAGCAGCAGCTGCTGCTGCAACCCACTATACATGTAGAGGTCACGCACACACACACATACGTGATTGAAGAAGTGTTTTGAGACGTCTCAAAACACTTCTTCAATTACATGTAGGTCACGCACACACACAAACGCACCTGCAGCAGCTGGCCGTTGGGTGCCTGAATCATGACACGGAGCGAGTCGTTCATGGGAATGTCCCTGGTGAGCTGCGCCCCCACCAACAGCAGCCCACAACACCTGTAACCAACCGTACCTGCAGCAGCTGCCCGTTGGGAGCCTGGATCATGACTCTGAGAGAGTCGTTCATGGGAATGTCTCTCGTCAGCTGTGCCCCCAGCAGCAGCAGTGTGAAGGAGTTGTTGCTGCCCTGTGCCTCGTTGTCCCTGGTCCACACTGTAGTAGCGCCTGTATACACGCCCCAGTACTGCCCCATCTGCCCCACCACCTGTGATGCGTGTGCGTGGGGAGAGTGGCAGCAAGAATGGGCGTGGATGTGTGCATGAGAAATGAACATCAGTGAATGTGAGTTGACACGGTCGTGGCACAGGCTCATACGCCCCAGTACTGCCCCATCTGCCCCACCATCTGCAGTCATGTGTGAGTTGGGGTGGGGTGGGGGGAGCACAAATGGAGGGGAAATTAGAGACAGGAGAAAGTACTGTTGCTGCCCTGTGCCTCGTTGTCCCTGGTCCACACTGTAGTAGCGCCTGTGTACACGCCCCATTACTGCCCCATCTGCCCCACCACCTGAAGTGGATGGGTGGGAAGAGTGCACGAATGAAGGGGCAAGAGAGAGTGGGAAGGCGGTGCTGCTGCCCTGAGGCTCATTGTCCCTCGTCCACACTGTGGTTGCGCTGGTATACACGCCCCAGTACTGCCCCATCTGCCCCACCACCTGCAGTCATGCGCGTGGGTGGGTGGAGGGGAGAAGGGGAGCAAGAGTTGACAGAAATGAGCGAAAGCACATAGTGCTGGCGCCCTGAGGCTCATTGTCTTTATTAGTCCACACTGTGGTTGCGCTGGTATACACGCCCCAGTACTGCCCCATCTGCCCCACCACCTGCAGTCATGCGCGTGGGTGGGTGGAGGGGAGAAGGGGAGCAAGAGTTGACAGAAATGAGCGAAAGCACATAGTGCTGGCGCCCTGAGGCTCATTGTCTTTATTAGTCCACACTGTGGTTGCGCTGGTATACACGCCCCAGTACTGCCCCATCTGCCCCACCACCTGAAGTGGATGGGTGTCCGTGCAGGGAGGAAGGGAGCAAGAACCGAGAAAAATTGAGCCAAAAGCAAAACTTCTGCTGCCCTGCGACTCGTTGTCCCTGGTCCACAAGGTGGTGGCGCCGCAGTACTGCCCCATCTGCCCACCACCTGTGATGGTGTGTGTGTGTGTGGAGTGGTGGGAGCAGAATGGTAGGAGAAGGGATTGCTGCTGCTGCATGAGGGATGAGTGAACATTGGTGGATGGGAGCTTGCATGGTGGTGGTAGAGCTGGCATACACGCCCCAGTAGTGTGGTGAGGTGAGTAGTGTGTGATGAGGCGATTTTTGAGTCGACTCAAAAGTGCTGGCATACACGCCCCAGTAGTGTGGTGAAGTGAGTAGTGTGGCCCACCTGCCCCACCGCTAGTGATGGTGTGGTGGGTGTGTGACCCACCCACCTGACCGCAACAGAGAACTCGCCTTTTTTTAACAGAGAGCCCATTCCAAGGTATAAATGATCCCCACCTGTAGGCAACAGAGATCCCACCTGAAGGCAACAAACATTCCACCTGAAGGCAACAAAGATCCCACCTGAAGGCAACAGAGCGCCCACCTGAAGGCAACAGACGGCACACCTGAAAGCAACAGAGAGCCCACCCACCCACCTGGCGGACGTTCTCTGCAGCGCCTGGCACGGTGAGTAGCTGGAAGTATTGTAACATGGTTACCGCCGCCGCGTTACACTCCAGCTGGCGACACGAGGGAGGGGTGTTCGTGTGGGGATGGGCCGGGGGTTGGGGAGAGATAGAATGGCAGAATAAAATAATGACACATGGTAAGAGGATGAGGAGGGATGAGGAGGGAAGAGGGATGGGGAAAGGGGGATGAGGGATTTGTGAAAGGAGGACAGATGATTGGTGGAGGATCGGATTATCAGACGTGCTGATACCAAATGAGCACGGTATGGGGGATACGGTACGGGGGATACGGTACGGGGAATGTCATGAAACAGAGACAGAAGGGAAACGAATGAATCAGAATGTCTGCGCTGATAGCAGCAAGGCGGTGCGAAACGAGTCGTGCTTTGAGTCGACTCAAAACACGACTGATAACAGCAGCATGGCGGTGGTGCGAAACCCTACAGTGGTCCCTTCGTTTTGTTTGTGAGGCGTGGCGTCTCAAAAGTCGGCTACATACCCTCGGCACCAGCTTTTTAGGCACCTCAGAAGTCGCCTTTGAATGGAGAACGTACCTTAGCATCTGCACCCATGCTGACTGCACTGATGTACATGTCTGTGGTGGTGGACTGGAATGTGACCTGTGGGGAGGAGGGCACACAGGGAGAATCATGGGCAACCGAATGGGAGTGAGTGGAAGGGTGCGAATGAATGAGCTGGCAGATGGGTTCTCCGCCCCTGTGCTGACTGCACTGACGTACATGTCTGTGGTGGTGGACTGGAATGTCACCTGCAGGCGGGCGGGGGGACATGGAATGGGTGTGAGTGAATGAACACACAGATAGGTTCTCTGTGCCTGTGCTGACTGCACTGCTGTACATGTCTGTGTGAACCTATCTGTGTGCACAACACACTGATGTGCATGTCTGTGGTGGTGGACTGGAATGTCACCTGGGAGGTGGGCGCGGGGACATGGAATGGGAGGGAGTGAAAGGGTGCGAATGAACAGACAGTTGGGTTCTCTGCCTGTGCTGACTGCACTGCTGTACATGTCTGTGGGTGTTGACTGGAATGTAACCTGCGGGGAGGAGAACACACAGAGGGGATGACGAGGCACGGAATGAGGGTGGGTTTAGGGTGCGAATGAACAGATAGGGGTCTCTCTGCCCCTGTGCTAATTATGCTGATGTGGCCTTTTGAGGCGCCTTGAAGCTGCCTTTTTTAGTCGACTCAATAACCCAGCCCACGCTACTAGTTACAGTGATTCGAGGCATCTCAAAGCCCACTCACTGCACCTTCATGCCATCACAGCGACTCATCACAGCGACCCATCACATCTGTCATCACAGCTATTCACCTCACCCGATTTACATGGCTCTGCCTGCAGCACCGCTTACTCCAACAAAATATTTTGAGTCGACTCAAAACTAGACCCGATTTCCATGGCCCTGCCTGCAGCACCGCTTATGAAGAAGTGTTTTCAGACGTCTCAAAACCCTGCCTGCAGCACCGCTTATGAAGAAGTGTTTTCAGACGTCTCAAAACCCTGCCTGCAGCTCCGCTTACTCCAACAAAAGATTGAAGCGTCTCAGAAGAAAAATTACTCACCCGAGTGCCATCCCCCCATGCCGTATGCTCAAACGCCTTCGGGTTCATCCACTCCTTGCCCACCAGCCAGCGACGGTGACTTTTGAGTCGACTCAAACACTCAACACTCACTCACCTCACAGCGACTACAACCTACCACTACTCACTACTCACTCACCTGGGTGCCATCCCCCCACACAGTGTACAGTTTTTGAGGCACCTCACACATCGTAAGCTCACTCACCCGTGTGCCATCCCCCCACGCCATGTACTGAAACGTTTTCGGGTTCATCCACTCCTCGCCGACCAGCCAGCCGCCCAGATTCACGCCGCGGATGGCAGGCACCGTCATCACCTCGCGCACATCCAGCCACTCGTCGCCGCCCGCTCCCGCTGCCGGGTCCCCCGTGGTTACCATGTCAGTAAACTCAGGAGCCACCTCCCCCATGGACAGGTAATACCCGTCCGCACTCGCCAGGGCAATTAACCCTAGATAATCACTTCCACTTGTGCTGCTGGTGTTACCGCTTCTGCCTGTGCTGCTGCTGCTGCTATTGCTGCTGTCAGTGCTGCTACCATTGACACCAGTGCCAGCAGCAGCATCAATTGAGAAGGTGTTGTCTCTACGGGAGTTGGGGATGGGGATGATGGTGAAGGTGGCGAGGGGATCGGTGGCGTCGGCAGTGGTGGTGAGAATGCCTCTCGGGTACGACGCGTTGGGTGGGGAGGGAGGGGCTTTGCACAGAAACGTGCTGCTGGGGGTCTGCAGCTTGATCTGGTGGTGGGGGGGGGGGAAGGGGGGAGAAAAGGAAGGGGTTGAGTCACCAGCAGCACAAGTAGCAACAGCAGCAGCAGTACCAGCACTAGCAGCAGCATCAGCAGAGAAGGTGGTGTCTCGGCGGGAGTTGGGGATGGGGATGATGGTGAAGGTGGCGAGGGGATCGGTGGCATCGGCAGTGGTGGTGAGAATGCCTCTCGGGTACGACGCGTTGGGTGGGGAGGGAGGGGCTTTGCACAGAAACGTGCTGCTGGGGGTCTGCAGCTTGATCTGGAGAGCAGAAATGGGAGAAAAGGAGAGAGGATGGGAAAGGAGAGAGGATGGGTAAGGAGAGAAGAGTCAAGGAGTGAGTGACAGCAACACCAGTACCAGCAGTACCAGCAGTACCAGCAGTACCAGCAACAGCATCAGTGGTGGGAGTGCTGTGCTGCCTCTGATGGTGAAGGTGGCGAGCGGGTCGGTGGCGTCGGCAGTGGTGGCGAGAATGCCCCTTCCGTTGGGGGGGAAGGGAGGGGCGTTGGGTGCCTCTTACCGTGGTATCACTGACACAAATGACAGTGAGCGCCTGGGAGACTTCTGGCTGGGAGAAGTCGCTGCTGGTCGCCACACCGCCACTCCACGATGGCCTCTCCCTCATCCCCCAATCCCCCCATAGTTCTCTCTCTCCCACACACACCCAAACGCCCAAACAACACTCACAGTGGTGGCGCTGACGCAGATAACAGTGAGCGCCTGAGCCACGTCCGGCTGGTCAGAGTCGCTGCTGGTCGCCACACTGCCACTCCACGATGCTCTCTCCCTCATCCCGTCCTCCCATGCCCCTCTGTCCCCCATACAGACACATGCACACGCCCAGACTCACCGTGGTGGCGCTAACTCGAATGACAGTGAGAGCCTGAGACACGTCCGGCTGGTCAAAGTCGCTGCTGGTCGCCACACTGCCACTCCACGTCTTCCCGTCCGCTGCCCGCCACCAGAAGCCGCTGTTCTGATGCCGCACGTGGATCTGGGGGGAAGGAGAGGGGGGGCGGTCGGACGAGGTGGGGTCAGCGGGGGGGAGGGAGGAGGCCTGTGTTTGGTCGATTCATGTGCAGCTCGCCACCAGAAGCCGGTGCCCTGGTGGCGCATGTCATGTGGATTGGGTTGTGTTGTGCTTTGAGTCGACTCAAAACACGGCCCTGGTGCCGCACGTGGATTGGGTTGTGTTTTGAGTCGACTCAAAACACGGCCCTGGTGCCGCACGTGGATTGGGTTGTGTTTTGAGTCGACTCAAAACACGGCACTCAAAACACGGCCCTGGTGTCGTACGTGGATCTGAGGGGGAGGAGAAGTGTGACGGGGAGGTGGGCAGTGGGAGGAAGGGGAGCAAGGAGAGTGTGAGAGGAGAGGTGGTCATTTGGTCCACCCAACACGATCCAGCCAGCCAACCGAGACATGAACCACAAGGTAATGTGCCCTTGTGCGACACAAGGTAATGAACCACAAGGTAATGTGCCCTTGTGCGACACAAGGTAATGAACCACAAGGTAATGTGCCCTTGTGCGACACAAGGTAATGAACCACAAGGTAATGTGACCTTGTGCGACACAAGGTAATGAACCACAAGGTAATGTGCCCTTGTGCGACACAAGGTAATGAACCACAAGGTAATGTGCCCTTGTGCGACACAAGGTAATGAACCACAAGGTAATGTGCCCTTGTGCGACACAAGGTAATGAACCACAAGGTAATGTGCCCTTGTGCGACACAAGGTAATGAACCACAAGGTAATGTGCCCTTGTGCGACACAAGGTAATGAACCACAAGGTAATGTGCCCTTGTGCGACACAAGGTAATGAACCACAAGGTAATGTGCCCTTGTGCGACACAAGGTAATGTGCCCTTGTGCGACACAAGGTAATGTGCCCTTGTGCGACACAAGGTAATGTGCCCTTGTGCGACACAAGGTAATGTGCCCTTGTGCGACACAAGGTAATGTGCCCTTGTGCGACACAAGGTAATGTGCCCTTGTGCGACACAAGGTAATGTGCCCTTGTGCGACACAAGGTAATGTGCCCTTGTGCGACACAAGGTAATGAACCACAAGGTAATGTGCCCTTGTGCGACACAAGGTAATGTGCCCTTGTGCGACACAAGGTAATGTGCCCTTGTGCGACACAAGGTGATGTGCCCTTGTGCGACACAAGGTAATGTGCCCTTGTGCGACACAAGGTAATGTGCCCTTGTGCGACACAAGGTAATGTGCCCTTGTGCGACACAAGGTAATGTGCCCTTGTGCGACACAAGGTAATGTGCCCTTGTGCGACACAAGGTAATGTGCCCTTGTGCGACACAAGGTAATGTGCCCTTGTGCGACACAAGGTAATGTGCCCTTGTGCGACACAAGGTAATGTGCCCTTGTGTAACCACAAGGTACCCTCGTATCCCTTTCGTCCACTAACCCTCCATTTACCCGTTCGTCTCTCTCCTCGATTACCCTCTCCTATCTGTCGTCCACGCACCCTCTTCTCTCTCTCCCCCATTTACTTCTTCTCTCTCCTCCACACTTCACTTGCCCTCGTACTGTCCTCCTCGATTTGCCCTCTTCCCTTAATCACCCACTCACCCTCTTTCCTTTCCCCTCCTTTCCCATTCACATCTTCCCTCCCTTTTTATTCACCCTCGTCTCTCCTTTCCAGCTGAAACTCCTTTCTTATTCCCCAATTCCCTCTCTCCCGCTCTTTTCTCTCTCTCCCATTCCCGTTCTTCCCTCTCTCCCCCATTCCCCCTCTCCCCTCACTCCCCCCCCACCTTAGCGCCGTGCGCCAGCTGGCTGCTGAGCCACGATGACGTCATCTTGGGCATCCCGTCCGGGATTACCGGGGCTGCATTGGAGCAGCACTGCCCCTCGCACACAGGTCCGGGCATGTCGAACGTTGCCCCCCCATCCCCCACATTCCCCCCGTTCCCCCCGCCTGCGGCAGACGGGGGAGTGGGGGACGCGGGGGTCGTTAGTGGGGTTCCGCTTGAAGCCCCCCCAGGGGATGGGGAGGAGGGCTGGGCGGAAGGAGCGGAAGGGGAGGCGGAAGGCGGAGCGGCTGGGGAAGCGGAAGGGGGAGCGGAAGGGGAGGAGGAAGCGGGAGCGGAAGGGGAGGAGGAAGCGGGAGCGGAAGCAGGGGCTAAGGGCGCGGAGGATGCGGGAGCGGAGGCGGAGGGATCCGCGGTATCGGAGAGCGGAGGTTCTGAGGCCGGTGCCGGCGCTTGCAGCAGCGCGCGCCGGCCGCGAAACACGGCACGAGTCACGCCGTTAGAAGACACCTGAAACGCAGAATCATCCGCTAGTACACCTCCTGCATCTGGTAACCCTAGTTCTCCTTCCCATCCCCCGTTATAGGAATCTACCAGATGTTGCGAGACGTGAGAGGCGGCTGTAGTGACGGTGAGAAGGAGAGGTAGGAGAAAGGCGATTTGGAAGCGACGGGTCGCGGACGGAATGGCTGGCGGTGACGACATGGTGGAATATGTCGCCGGGAATGGAAGAAACGTAATTTCGAACGTAATTAGTAAAAATAGTAATAATGAAAGAAAGGAGTATATGTTCCTGAAGTTGGTCTGATGAGGAGTAATGCCCTATGTCGACTAAGGACAAGGGAACAGTGTCAGGAAGTGGAGGGAAGAAGTTAAAGAGAACCGCATTGGAGATGCAATGCGCGAAAAGTCAACTGATGAATAACTTTGGAAACGGTACACTGGCAGTGTCGCTTGTATCAGTCAGGTCATGCCTAAGCGAACGAGCTAATGGTTGTAAAAACGTAAGGAATGATGAAATGCGGAGATTGTGTGGCTTTTTCCTCTTCTTCTCCGGAAAAGAGAGAAGTAGGTACGAATCTCGAAGCGACAGTAACAACGCCGACTGTTCCAGACAGCTGTTCTATTCTATCTAGTCGTAAAAATGCGGAAATGGTTGGTTGCTGGCATTCTAGTTCGGGATACTTCAACATCCTAGCTTCACGTCAAATATCGAACAAAAGTCGCAATCTCGATACACTTGGCGAAGCAGCACAAGCACACCAGCATTTCCGCTGCTACCGACCGCCATTTCTGGTTATAACGAGGCGGCAAGATTGCGATGGAAAGGATGCACCTACATTTCTTTCCACCCTCAACCTCGGTACAATCACAATTTACGAAGAATATACACCTCGTTATCAATGCCCTGGTTTGGCTCTCTAAATTTCTCAAAGCGGGATAGTTCCTTGAACGATGCTAAATATAATTCGCATTTACATATTTGGCCAGGAGTTATTTTTGGGTTTGTTTAAATACGAATTATAATGTAGTTTGTGCTATTAATGTGCAACAGATTTAGGCTCCCATGCATCATCTTAATTAATTTACACCCCTTTACATTACCTATCTGCACATCCCTTTTGAACATGGTTTTGTTCACATTGTTGGCTGACACAACAGCGGAGATTCGGAAAGGTTATTGATGCATCAACGGTCAAACATCTGGAGGAAACCGAGCCAAGCCAAGGCGCTTCGGCCAATTCGAGCCGCCCCACAGCCCCCATCAAACATCAAAATTGGAAGCCATGAAACGTGATTGGCATTTCATTGTTGCAAGTTGGTACCCGCGAAATTATCTCTACATATTACCCCGCCACTCGTTGAGTTTTGGTCCAGTACAAAACACAGCGACCACCCATGCCTTCGTCCCTCACGGTTCAGCGGCAGCAGTGAATCTTACGCTTAGACCATCCAAGCGCCTTCTTCCCCTCTCGTTTTCCCTTCCCTTTTGCTAGAAAGCGACTGAGACAAAGAACTCGGTGTGGAGCTTACTATCTTGAACGACGAGCCTCGTTTATGGTGCGGGAATCAAGCAGAAGCTATCACGAATCGCCTCCGTACGGCGCTGGGACCAAACCAAAAGACGTTTCATAATACACACGCAATCTTCGCGATGAACTTCCTCGGGAAAGGCAGCGAAGGAGCAGCTTCGGGAAAGCTCTTCGCTTCTTCAGTCCTGCTACTGCTACTTGTCACGGCCGGTAACAAGCTAGATGTAGGAGGCAGTGCAACCGCCACTTCGTTATGATTGACTGACCAGCAACCTTTTAGAGACTGTCAAGAATCAGCTTCTAATCTGTTACCTCCTTAGCTCTTCCCTCCTCAGTTGCTTGGCCCCCGCTCCCCGTCCCCTAAATCTTCGCAAGTTTCTTTCAATTAGCTACCCTCCTGTCTGTCCCTTTGTTTACTGCTTCCTCTTTCGAGATACCCTCCTGTGTGTCATTCTCCTAGTCTCTCGTCCCTTCCTTTCCCTCCCTCTCGTTCATGTTGCCCTCTTAATCCCTCATTTCTTCCACTCACATCTCCCTCTCCTCCCATCCTCACATGAAACTCGCCTCCGCGCGTCGCCGAACCATCGTTGGATCATTGCTGAACCATCATCGCCCTCCAAATCGTCTACTCGCCGCGCTTCTCGTTCTCTCCGGGTCATCAGGCGTCACAGAAGCAGTGGTAAGAAAATTCGGAGAAACTTCTTTAAGGCGCTGGCATCGGAAATTTCTCAGGATTCTCACTTAATCTCCGCCAGCTGGGGCTGCGGCGGTCCTTACTTGTATGCAATCTGAGTCGCATTTGAGTGCTTCTCAGGAGCTCCTTCGAGTTTCTGCCAGCTGGGCTGCAGTCCTTGTCTGGAACTTCTTACCCGCGTGCGTTCGCCTTCGCTCGAATTTGGTTTCCTATTCTTCGCAAATGTTCGCATTTGTTTCACCACCTGTGAATATCCTGTGAGAAGCTACTCATTACTCATGGTCTGTAACTAGCAGCTCATTCCTCCGCACTTCCTAACCCATCCAAATCTCCATCACCACCTCTACCCCATCTCGCCTCGCTCATGTCACCTCCCCTCATCTCCTCTCGTCTCCTCTACTCTCCCTGTCTCTCCTCTCCTGGAATCCCCCAGCCTCGGGTCGTTGTGGTAGGCCTGGAGTCAGGTCGGTCGAACGTGAACCCCAGTTGACTTCTGAGTCAACTCAAAAGTCAAATTCTACTACTCTCCCCCCCTCTCTTCTCTCCTGGAATTCCCCAGCCCCGAGTGGTGGTGGTAGGCCTGGAGTCGGGTCAGTCGTCCGTGAACCCGAGTTGACTTCTGAGTCAACTCAAAAGTCAAATTCTCCTACTCTCCCCCCCCGTCTCTCCTTCCCGAATCCCCCAGCCTCGAGTGGTGGTGGTAGGCCTGGAGTCGGGTCGGTCGAACGTGAACCCGTGGAGCAAGGGGCTGCTCGACTTGAAGATGCCCGCCGTGCGACCCGGAGATTTTCTTTGTGAGTCAATGGGAGCCAATGGATTGGCTCGCCTGTGAATTCGAGAAGTGATTATTGGAGGCTCTGTCTGTGAGATAGTCGAAGTCAACCATGAGTCAACGGGAGTCAACGACGACTTGATGGAAGATAGTGTTGAGTGAAAGGGAGTCAACGATGAGTCAATGGAAGTCAAGCATGAGCCATTGGGGGTCAATGAGAAGTGAAGGAGAGTCAGCGACGAGTCTCTGTTCTCATTCATCCCTCCACTTCTCCATGGGCTCGCAGTGCTCAGCTCATCATTCAAATATGGAATAATGCAGTACCTCTTCTGAGCCTCAACGATGTGAGGCCATACCCAACCAGGCCTGCTGCATGAGACTGCCCCCTCTCAACCGCTGCTTCGCCTTATGCCATCACAAAAACCCCTCTTCCACATCCCCTCTCCCCCTCCTTCAAAAATCCCCCACTCTTGCGGTTTTCCAACCCCTTTCCCCCAACCCCTCCAGCACTCGTACTCCCCCGTTTTCCTCTTTTATCTCCCCCGCTTACCCCCTCACCCTCTCCCTGACTTCCCCCCCACCCTTCCATGTCCCCCACTCTCTTCTCCCCTCGCTCTCCAAAACCCCCTCTTTCAGTGTTCCGCTGGTTCGGCCAGATGCGAGACGTGCAGCAGTTCCCGAACAAGCAGGCGTTTGACAGCTGCGATTTCTCCCCCCCGCTTCACCCCACCCATTCCATCACTCCTAGTCCCCCCTTTTCCTCTTTCATCTCCCCTGCTTCCCCCCCACCCTCTCCCTGACTTCCCCCTCTCCCCCCACCCTTCCATGTCCCCCACTCTCTTCTCCCCTCACTCTCTCTCCAAAACCCCCTCTTTCCAGTGTTCCGCTGGTTCGGCCAGATGCGAGACGTGCAGCAGTTCCCGAACAAGCAGGCATTTGACAGCTGTGATTTCTCGAGAGCAGACCCGGTGGGGCCGAGGCGGTTCTTTGGTTTGGATGTGTACTGGGTTCAAAAATCAGAGCGCGGGAAAATCCTATATTTTGGGAGCAGCGTCCAGAAGGAGTGTGCAAAAGGGTTGAAAGCTCAAGTGAGGGTGCGCTGATGTTGCTGCACTTACAACTAGCCAACGAGCAAGTACAGGAGCATAATAAGAGACTAATAGTCTCCCAATACATACCGACTTATTTTTATGTTATGTAGCATGCTATTCTAGAACTGCGTAATATGCAATGCATCTCCAATTTTTTGTATCGCGGTTCTATGATTATATAATGCAGATGTCTTGCGGAGACCGAGTCCTTGTAAAGTGAACAGCGCCAGGTTTTTTACACAGCATCTGAACAAAATGAGATGAAGCGGTTTGCAGTGAGGGGGAGTGGTATAGTGCGGTGAAAGCTCGGTGCTATACCACTCCCGTGGGAACGGAGTCAGCAGGGGAATTTCAAATTTCACGAGACATCTACTTCAGACACCCTTATCTCGCCGCTCCGCGTCGACTTCAATGGGAGCTGCTGCAAGCCGCGTTCGCCAGGCAAGTCCCTAAATTCTCAATCAAATCACGCACTTTTAGAGTCACGCGCTAATGGAAGCATGCGCCTGCTGCGTCACGCATTTATACGCAGTTATGTGGATAGCTTATAAGAGCGCGTCGCCTGAACCTGAGCTGCTCGAGTTTCCAGAAAGTAGAAACATGCCGTCTCTAGTATCCTCCTCTATGCGCCTAATGAGGCGACGCGAGGCGATTCAAGGCGAGTCGAGGCGATTCGCTGACCTTCGCCTCCATCTTGTCGCTTTTGAGATTCGCCCCACTCCTCTTCTCCCTGCTCCCTTCCCCTTCCACCACCCCTCCCTCCTTCCCCCTCCCCCGGTCAACGCTTCCTCTCTACCTCCCCATCCGTTACCCCACTTTACTCGCCCTCCCGCCAACCCTGGTTTCCCATTCCCCTCTTCCCGCTGCCCCCCGTCACCCCCCTTTCCCTCCTCCCCTCCCCCCCCCCCCCCCAACCCCCCTTCCCCCTCCTCCTTCCCCCTCCCCGGGCCCCCCCTGCCTCCTCCGCGCTTCCCACGTCACGTGCTTCAGGCCGGCGGGGCTGACGTCATCACGGTGGTGTCGGCGAGGGAAGGGGCGGAGGAGGAGGAGGACGAGTCTTTGCAACGACTGAGAGCGCTGCGACAGGTGGTGTGGGGAGGGGGGAAGGAGGGGATGGTGGAAAATGGTGAGGGATGGTGGGTGGTGGTGGGCGGTGCTGGAGGTGGTGGGGATGGTGGGGGTGGTGGGGATAGTATAGTGTGGTAGAGGGGTAGTGTCACCGAATATAATGGCAGTGTGAGCAGTGGCAGCAGCAGGAAGGCAAGGGGATAAAGGCGACTATAGAGGTGGGACGGGAAGAGAGGAGTAAAAAAGGATACACTAGATGTGGATAGGGAAGAGTGAAGGGGAGGGCGCAAGCAGTGCGAGGCGTGGGAGTGGTAGTGCTGGAGAAGGAGAAGGGAGAACAGACCGTGGACCACCAGACCCGCACGGCAGGACTGAAGAGCAGCCGTCCTCAGCTGAGAGTCCTGTGACTCGCGCCCGAGCAGCTCGAGCACGATCACAGGAGGGGGCAGGTAGTGGCTGAGTACGAAGAAGGGAACAGGGCAACAGGAGTGGGGACAGCACAAAGTGGGGAAAGGCCAGAATAAGAAGGAAGGGAAGAAGGTGAGGACAGAAGACAGGGAAGAGGCAAGGGCAAGAGATGAGTGAGGAAGGAGAGGGGAGTAACTCCGACAGTAGAGTGGTGACTGCACAAGGGGGGGATACTTGTAGGGGTGGCAGGGAAGAACTGGGAGGGTGGGTGGGGAGGGGTGGGGAGGGGTGGGGGGTGGTGGAAAAGAAAGGTGCGAAAGGTGATAGGGATGCAGTTAGTTGAGTCGACCCGAAAGTCGAGTTGCAAGTGTTGTGGGAGTAGTGGGGAAGGATGGAAGGCCTTGAGACGTCCTAAAGTGAATCGGTTTGAGTGAGTATTGTTGAAACTTGAAGCGCTGGGGTGGGGTTGAAAGCGGTGCTATTGGGGGAAGGTTGGAGAGAAAGGAAGAATGCTCGCAGAGAGTGTGGGCACTTAGATGGGTATTGGGGTGTGGGAAGGGAGTCAGCAGGGGAATGGGAAGGGTCGTAAAGAGGAAAGGGAGTGAGAGTTGAAGTACATCACCCCTACTCAGAGTGTTCCATTACTGCAGCAGCTTATGCCTTGGCGGTTTTAAACCTGTGCAAAGGGGAAGTTATGAAGATCTTCTGAATTCGCAAAGTGCAGTAGGTTGAAGGTTCAAGTGCAGTAGGTTGAAGGTTCAAGTGCAGTAGGTTGAAGGTTCAAGTGCAGTAGGTTGAAGGTTCAAGTGCAGTAGGTTGAAGGTTCAAGGTGAAGTTCAAGTGCAGTAGGTTGAAGGTTCAAGTGCAGTAGGTTGAAGGTTCAAGTGCAGTAGGTTGAAGGTTCAAGTGCAGTAGGTTGAAGGTTCAAGTGCCGTAGGTTGAAGGTTCAAGTGCAGTAGGTTGAAGGTTCAAGTGCAGTAGGTTGAAGGTTCAAGTGCAGTAGGTTGAAGGTTCAAGTGCAGTAGGTTGAAGGTTCAAGTGCAGTAGGTTGAAGGTTCAAGTGCAGTAGGTTGAAGGTTCAAGTGCAGTAGGTTGAAGGTTCAAGTGCAGTAGGTTGAAGGTTCAAGTGCAGTAGGTTGAAGGTTCAAGTGCAGTAGGTTGAAGGTTCAAATTCCCCCTTCTCCCCCTTCTCCCCCTTCTCCCCCTTCTCCCCCTTCTCCCCCTTCTCCCCCTCCTCCCCCTTCTCCCCCTTCTCCCCCTCTCAACCCCCCTTGTTGGTGCAGAGTCATCCGCTGCTGCAGCAGCTCACCCCTTTGCTCTTCCAGGCAGCCCACACCAACACCCACCTCCCTGCCGCTGCCGCCACTGCTGCCGCTGCTGCTGCTAATACCACTGGTGGTGCTGCCGCCACTGCTGCTGCTGCCGCTGCTGCTGCTAATACCACTGGTGGTGCTGCCGCCACTGCAAACTCCGCATCCCCTGCTTCAACTGCTACTGCTGCTACAACTGCTACAGCCGCTACAACTGCTACAGCCGCTACAGCTGCTACAGCTTCTGGGAGAGCTGCTGCTGGTGATGCTGAGGCACGTGCTGTTGCCGCCACCACTACCACTGCCAGCAGGCATGGTGTGCAGGAGGGACCACTTGGTTCAGCCACAGCCCCCAGTGGAGAAGAGCAGATGGCAGCACACTCGCAGAGAATAGGTGAGACATGCGATTGCTGGCTACATGGTTACATGGCTTTATATGGTTCCGTTCCCCCCTTCACTTCCCGTACCCACCTCCGCTCCGTCCTCATCCACACCTGATTTCCATGCACCCAAGGCATTGTGTGCGCTTCCCTCAGAACCCGCCCCTCCCCGCCCCTCTTCCTTCCCTGTCCCTTCCCCCTGCCCACTCCTGCCATCCACCTCCCTCGTCATCCACACCCGGGTCGCAATCAGCCGTGGCAGTATGTGTGTTTTCCGCAATCAGCCGTGGCAGTATGTGTGTTTTCCTCAATCAGCCGTGGCAGTATGTGTGTTTTCCTCAATCAGCCGTGGCAGTATGTGTGTTTTCCGCAATCAGCCGTGGCAGTATGTGTGTTTTCCTCAATCAGCCGTGGCAGTATGTGTGTTTTCCTCAATCAGCCGTGGCAGTATGTGTGTTTTCCTCAATCAGCCGTGGCAGTATGTGTGTTTTCCTCAATCAGCCGTGGCAGTATGTGTGTTTTCCTCAATCAGCCGTGGCAGTATGTGTGTTTTCCTCAATCAGCCGTGGCAGTATGTGTGTTTTCCTCAATCAGCCGTGGCAGTATGTGTGTTTTCCTCAATCAGCCGTGGCAGTATGTGTGTTTTCCTCAATCAGCCGTGGCAGTATGTGTGTTTTCCTCAATCAGCCGTGGCAGTATGTGTGTTTTCCTCAATCAGCCGTGGCAGTATGTGTGTTTTCCTCAATCAGCCGTGGCAGTATGTGTGTTTTCCTCAATCAGCCGTGGCAGTATGTGTGTTTTCCTCAATCAGCCGTGGCAGTATGTGTGTTTTCCTCAATCAGCCGTGGCAGTATGTGTGTTTTCCTCAATCAGCCGTGGCAGTATGTGTGTTTTCCTCAATCAGCCGTGGCAGTATGTGTGTTTTCCTCAATCAGCCGTGGCAGTATGTGTGTTTTCCTCAATCAGCCGTGGCAGTATGTGTGTTTTCCTCAATCAGCCGTGGCAGTATGTGTGTTTTCCTCAATCAGCCGTGGCAGTATGTGTGTTTTCCTCAATCAGCCGTGGCAGTATGTGTGTTTTCCTCAATCAGCCGTGGCAGTATGTGTGTTTTCCTCAATCAGCCGTGGCAGTATGTGTGTTTTCCTCAATCAGCCGTGGCAGTATGTGTGTTTTCCTCAATCAGCCGTGGCAGTATGTGTGTTTTCCTCAATCAGCCGTGGCAGTATGTGTGTTTTCCTCAATCAGCCGTGGCAGTATGTGTGTTTTCCTCAATCAGCCGTGGCAGTATGTGTGTTTTCCTCAATCAGCCGTGGCAGTATGTGTGTTTTCCTCAATCAGCCGTGGCAGTATGTGTGTTTTCCTCAATCAGCCGTGGCAGTATGTGTGTTTTCCTCAATCAGCCGTGGCAGTATGTGTGTTTTCCTCAATCAGCCGTGGCAGTATGTGTGTTTTCCTCAATCAGCCGTGGCAGTATGTGTGTTTTCCTCAATCAGCCGTGGCAGTATGTGTGTTTTCCTCAATCAGCCGTGGCAGTATGTGTGTTTTCCTCAATCAGCCGTGGCAGTATGTGTGTTTTCCTCAATCAGCCGTGGCAGTATGTGTGTTTTCCTCAATCAGCCGTGGCAGTATGTGTGTTTTCCTCAATCAGCCGTGGCAGTATGTGTGTTTTCCTCAATCAGCCGTGGCAGTATGTGTGTTTTCCTCAATCAGCCGTGGCAGTATGTGTGTTTTCCTCAATCAGCCGTGGCAGTATGTGTGTTTTCCTCAATCAGCCGTGGCAGTATGTGTGTTTTCCTCAATCAGCCGTGGCAGTATGTGTGTTTTCCTCAATCAGCCGTGGCAGTATGTGTGTTTTCCTCAAACTCCCCCTCCCCCCTCTCCCTCTTCCTTCCCTGCCCTTCCCCCTGCCCATTCCCGCCACCCACCTCCCTCCTTATCCACGTCCGACCCCCAAGCAGCCGTGGCAGTGCGTGATTTGAAAGCTCAAGGCGCCACATCAGCCGCTGTGCTGGCGGGGTACGAGCAGTGGCACGCTGACGTGGCGGGGAGGGTGTGTGGTAACCAGCAGGAGCTGATGAGTCGCATGGAGGCAGTGGAAGCACTGGCAGGGAAGGTGTACAAGCGCATGAACTGGACCAGCAGCGTTGTGAAGAGTAATCTGCAACACTTACGGGCAGGTAACTGTGATACGTGAAGCACTGGCGGGGAAGGTGTACAGGCAAATGAATTGGACGAGCAGCGCCGTGAGAGCAGGTAGGTGCAGCTGTATGGGGGTACCTGGGAGAGCTGACGAGTCGCATGGAGGCAGTGGGAATGAATGTGTGCAAGTGTATGAACCGGACCAGCAGCAGCGTTTTGAAGGGCAGTGAGAGGTGTTACAAGCACTCGTCTCTGCTCCCTTCCTCATACCCAGCCTGTGTTCTGCCCGACCACTTTCTTTCTTCCTCGTTCTCATAAGCTCTTGGTCTAACGATCGTTTAAAGCCAGGATCTCAAGTAGTTCAACTGTTTTGCAGTTGGTGAATTGAGCTAGGCTATGATTGGTTAGCGAGGTAGAGAAGTTGACGAGGGCTGAAACGAGGGATGCGAAGCAAACACAATTCGCAGGGTGCTTCCGAACCACCTAGGCACGGAAATTTGGTTGGGTGCCGAAGCTAAACTACCAGCAATGTGTTTCAGCGCCCGAAAAATCTCATGTACCAGCAATTTGTTTTGCAGTTGCTTGACGGGCAAAACGGGAATCTGTCGCACACTGAACCTCCAAACCAACCACTCGATTTCGCCTACACAAACAGGGTGACTTGGGCTTCAATTGTTTTGCAATTGAAGCCAATTTCTCTTACTTGAGATCCTGGCTTTAAATGCAACCGAAAGACATCTGATACAGCTTTGAAGGGATGTGATGTGAAATGCGCTTTCATTGGATGCGTCCTTCCCCCCTCCTCCTTGTCCCTGATTGGTGCAGCTCCCAGTCTAAGGATGGAGATGGAGCTCCTTCGGAATCAGCTAAGTGCCGTGACACGCAGTTATGAGGGGCTCTGTGAGGAGCTAGAAGCTGCGGGGCTGGAGTTTGACTATGAAATGGAAGAGATTCGCAGAATTGATGGGGATGCGGCTGCTGAAGGTGGTGCTGAAGTGACAGAGTCTAGTCAAGAAGCTTCCGGCCATTGTGAAGATTCACCGAATAGTGGTGGTGATTGTCATTATATAGAAGCGGGATTTAGCAGCCATAAAGGCCAAGACAGTCAGACACCTGATTCAAGCGGAAACAAAAATTTGGGATCCAAAAATACTTCTGGACAACAACTGTAAATAGCACCAGTTGATGGTTGATCCTACCGGTGTATGTGCTTGTTAAAGAAAATCAGTGTTATCTGCCATATGCCTGTGAAGATATCTGTAGACCATGCTATTCAAACGGAGTGGCTTCCAGGGGTACATGACAACGCGGGAAACCTTGAAGTTCCGAGAATTTGAATTCGAGCTCTCCGTCTGACCAATTGCAATTCACCGAATGCGGGAAATCCCGCAGCTTGCAGCCTCCCGTTGAGCCTCCCAGTTTCCGTCTCCTTGCCCTGCTGCCTCATCTGCTCTACTCGGCATTCTCCGAGCTCATTTTGTGAGCATCCTCCATCTCCACCACGTATAGTAGTCCTTCCCGCCATCCCCTCGCCACCCCTTCGCCGCCACGCCTCGCCTTTCCGCATCGAACCGTCAGATCCTGCTTGGCGAAGTCTTCATTTTTTTTAGTCACGCGAAGCTGAAGTTTGACTTGGTCGGCCGCAATTCGCGGGAAGCTCTTCTTGGATGATCGAATTGACACACCCATCTAGTAGACAAGCTACCTCCAGGCCGAGATATTAGTAAACTGGTGGCTGATCCCGCCGGAATGTGCGCGGATATGTTACCGTCCATTCTAGACATACTGTACTACACGCATTCTTGTCCTGTAGCACAGCAACACCCCACCGTCCGGCACACCCTCACACTCGCACGTGGCTTTCACAGCGAATGCGAAGGAGGGGTCCTGGATTCAGCGTTTCAAAGCGAAGCCACGGCGCGTGCACTAGCAGTACCACTAGCAGTAACAGCACCATTGGGCTGTAGAGGTGATGAAACTCCAGTGCGCCGCGCGCGCGGCTGTGCCGCCAAACTTTCGGCCTCACTCTTTCTCTCTCTTTGTGCGAGCGGCAACTCAAACCCTGCAAGAATATCACATAGTTATAAACATGCGCATCCGCATGAGTCATTCATATCATAGTTAGTAGTACCGACTAAGAATTCTCAACTTCATCAGCACTCCGTTTCATCATCGTTACCATTCCTCCGGGAACCATTTTTCCAGAAAGGAAACGCCGTTTCACCCATTGGTGGTTGACACCGCGCACTAGTCCACCACTTGCACACACACGCCGGCAGTTGAAGTAAAATTGGCAGATATCAGGCTCTAGATAACGCTATTGACCCTGGCCACCTGGAGAGTAGGTGAAGCCGCGTATTTGCACCGCACGGCGTCATTGCTGAACTGTAGCCTTTGAAACCGCGTCTACAAGTCTCGCTCAGGGTGTTGCTCAGGGAGTCGCTCAGGGTGTCGCTCACATCATGGCGTCTGCACGGACGGCTGGGATGACCCCTCTGCTTCTGCTGCTTCTTGCAGCAACCTTCACCAGTAAGCACCTGGCTATCGCTGTTGTTTATAGTGAAACTTAGGTCTTTCACCAATTACTGCGTACCACTCCATTTCGCTTGGAAGTAGCCAGGCTTCGGTCGCAAACAGATGACCTTGGTTCCTTGGTGTGCAAACTGAAAAATGCGTTCATTTGAGGGACTTTTCCCACACACTTTAAGCGCTGACAGCTACAGAAATGGTGATACACTCTTATAAATGGTTTCCCTTGTGTTGTTTGTGTTGTGCGCAGGTGTTGCGTACGCCCAGGTAAATTCTCCTCGCTCCCGATCCCCCATGTGTTGTGCACATCTCATGACGTTATTGACTCGGCTTACTATATTTGCAAATACACCTTTTGCCCAGTGACACTTTTCGCAAACTGATTATGTGAACTGATTTGAACGAAATGATTGCGCTTCTGCCACTTTCTAGGGACTTTTCAAGTAATTATATCTGCTTTCAATTCCCATAAACCATGCTTGCGTATGCTATTCGAGCGGCCCTTGCCCTGTGCACTTCTCATGATAGTTTTTCCTCAATACATCCCTCTCACGCCATTCCTTCCTCTCCCACCCCCTCTTTTCTCCCTCACAGCCCCTGCCAGTGATGGTTGGGTTCCTGCAGGGCAACCCGGTGAGCCACTGGAGCGGGGGAGTCAACTTGTGGAAGCCCCCTGCTGTGAAGCCAGGGGACATTCTTGGTGAGTGAGGAATGGCTGAGTGGTAAGCGAGTGGGTGGGGTTTGTGAGACGAAGGGGAGGCTGGTCCAAGTGAATTGGGGTTCACTGGAGTGGGGTGTGAATCCGTGGAAGCCCCCTGTGGTCAAGCCAAGGGAATTCTCGATGAGTGAGGACAGGTTGAACTGGAGAGAGTGAGTTGGGATGAGCACACAAAATCAGCCCACCCTCCTCCCCACCTCATATGGCTCACTCCTCGTACCCTCATCCTTCACTCTTTCTCAGGTTCTGAAACATTTCAGGACTTGTTTCACCATTATAAATATCGACCGCTCCCCCTGCCCTCTCCCATCCCCCTCTTCCCCCTTCCAGTCTTCCAATGGTTCGCAGAAACACACGATGTGCAGCGCTTCAAGAGCATCTTGGCCTTCAATGCCTACTCCTTCCTCAGCGCCGTGCCACTCACCTCCGCCTCGCAGTTCGGCATGCGGCGCTTCCAAGTCAAGCCCGCCCATGCCGGCAAGACGCTCTTCTTTGGGAGCAGCGTGGGCAAGGACTGCCAGCGAGGCGTCAAGATCGCCATTCCTGTCAGCTAGGGGTAGCTCTCACAGCTCTTGCATGCGCCTCTTCCAAGTCAAGCCCGAATATGCTGGCAAGTCACTCTTCTTTTGGCAGCAGTGTAGGCAAGGACTGCCAACGAGGTGTAAATGCTAGGTATTCCTGTCAACTAGAGACATCATTCCATGACCATCGAAATTCACGTCTTTGCTTACAAGTGATTTATAAGAATCTCTTTGCATTGTATACACCCTTGTGGAGGGACCAGAGTCTTGGCTTGATACCCAATTTTTGGAGGCAGACGGATTTTTTTATGAAGTGCTCCGTTCTTGGCGAAGTAGTATCTACTAGAGTGATACAAAAATTATTCATACCGTAATCACCCGGACATACCACCCGCCGAAATTGTAGACCCCCCGGGTGGCTTGTGCGGGGTGGGTGTTATAGTTGACCCCGTTTGTACTATACCCCCCCTTTTGGGGTGATTCTTTATAAGACCCGGGGGGAGGGTGTTATGTCAGGCAAAAGTTCTCATTAGAGGTAGATTTCATAGATCTAGGGGTGCAATCTACTACCTACTAAGATTACCGCCATCAAGAACCAAGAGTTTCACATAAACATCAAGATCATCTACCGCCCAGAGATCATGAATTGCAATACGGTGCTATCTACTCATCATCGTCCCCTGCATGCCATTCTTCAACCTCTTCTCCGTCAAAGCGGCCGGGACGCCACCAGTCATCATCATCGCTGCACTCCCCCGCCTCCTCGCCGTCTGCAGGCCCAACCCCCTCCTCGTCTTCCGCCTCCGCCTCCGCCTCTGCGGCGTCATCCTCCTCTTCCACCTGTAGCTCCTCGGCCGGCATGGGGACTTCAGCGTAGAAGGGGTTGACGACAGTCTCGTCGTCAACCATCTCGTTGACGTCGTCCAGCACCTCCACCTCACCCTTGTCCCGCATGTGGGCAAGGATGAGGTGGTCTTCGGTGCCGTCGATGCTGGTGGAGATCCCGCATGTGACGAACGCCTTCTTCACGAGCTCTTCTGGAACAGCTTCCCAGGATTCGTCGATCCAGCGGAGAACCGTCTCCGCAGGCGGCTTTTGCAGATTGCCTGTGGTAAGGGAAGAAGTTTACATTCACGATTGAGGACTTGCAAACCGAGCCATAGTTGGGACATATGCATGCACAATAGCCAGCCTCGCGGAAATGCAAGTTGAGGCATCAACTCACTTGCACACGTTGTCAGGTTGATGCCGTCTTCTTCGAACCACGTGCTATAACGGTGACTCACACCGCATTTAAACGCGCGGTTGATCGATACATCCAACGGCTGCACAAGCGGTGTGCACCCCCCTGGAATGACCGCCCTCGACAGTCTGAACATGCGCATCGTCTGACCAACAGCTTCGGTCAAGTGGCCACGGTATGAGTCCAGCACCACCAAGGCCTCCCTTCGGCGTCCGGTAGTCTCTCGCAGAGGCTTCATAAACGACACAAGCACCTGCGTGATCCAGTCCTGCACAAGAGACTCATCCATCCATCCCTTCTCTTGTGCACGGACCACCACACCTGTCGAAAACAACGCGAGCGTCAGAGTCCCGCGGGTTTGATAGAGAAGCAGACAATAGCACGGGTTGAGGCGTGGTTTGGTTCACTTACCGGCAGGAATGGCCACTTTCGGAACGGTCTTCCACTTGAACACAACGTAGGGGGGAAGCTTCAGCCCTCCCGCCTGTCAGAATGTTATCTTATGCTCTAGCCTGTAGTGGGGTGCTCTATAGCGAGTACAACCCTTCTAGGGTTTCCTATTTGTATCCCCATTCTTGCTAGTGCAACTCCCTTCTTCTCTCTTCTTTCTTCTAAACTTTATCATGCTATCAGAGCAGGTCGATCCTCTTGGATCGATCCTGTGGGTGGACTTTCCACCTCCTCGCTTCCGCTGCAACTACCTTTCACTACTCGCTGAGCCGCACGCCCCCTGGCGTGCGGCACTTTTTCTTCCCGCCGTGCGCCCCGAGGCGCGCGGCGGTTTTCTGCCCGCCGTGCGCCCCGAGGCGCGCGGCGGTTCTCTGCCCGCTGTGCGCCCCGAGGCGCGCGGCGGGCTTATGCCCCGTCGTTCGCCGCGTCGCCCTCTGGTGGCGTCGCGACGGGCGACGGGGACCCGTCGCGACGGGCGACGGGGACCCGTCGCGGCGCACCGCCCCCGGCCCCGGCCCCGTCCCCGCCTGCGGCCCCGGCCCCGACGCCCCGCGTGCGCCCCGGCCCCGGCCCCGGCCCCGCCTGCGGCCCCGGCCCCGGCCCCGCCTCCCCCCCCCCCCCCCCCCCCCCCCCCCCCCCCCTCCCCCTCCTTCGGGAATCCCCTTTTCCCGTCGCCCGTCGCGGCTCCTTCGGGGGCCGCGGCGAGTATGGGGGTGGCGGGTGTGTGGTATCCCCTGCTCCTCCTCCTCCTCCGTCTCCCACTGCTGCAGCTGCCGCTGAGGGGGGTGGGTGTGTGGGAGCCGATGGAGTGGTGCTAGGGGGTGGTTGTGTGGGAGACTGGGGTTTAGGGTTTAAGGGGGGTGCGTGGGAGTGGAGCTAGCGGTGTAGCAGCGGGTGTGTGTCGGGGGGGGTGAGACCGTTTGGGGAAGCTGCATGGAGGTTGCCGTCGTGTCGCCAGCAGCACCTGTATTCCGGGGACTTCGTCCGGTAGCCCAGTCGTAGCCAGCTGTGCCAGCCGCCCGTGGGTCCGTTGCTCGTCTGCCGCTACTTTAGCCGCGGGGCCTGTTACTCCTGTAGTCCGGGCGCTTAGTCCGGTAGCCGCTGTGCCAGTCTGCCTCCTGTTGCCCGTGTGTCTGCAGCTTCAGCCGTCGCCTCCTATCTCCTCTCCTCTCACTCTCTCTCCTCCTCCTCACTTGCCCGTTGTGACTACCACTAGCTTTGCTCATAATTGTTAACTCTAAACTATTGCTTCTTGAACTTGTGCTCAGAATGTGTGGTGACATTGTGATCCACCCTGAGCTTGTCCTGCTTTGCTTGCTCTGCTGATTACACCCCACTTTGGCTATGGGGGTGTGTCAGAATGTTATCTTATGCTCTAGCCTGTAGTGGGGTGCTCTATAGCGAGTACAACCCTTCTAGGGTTTCCTATTTGTATCCCCATTCTTGCTAGTGCAACTCCCTTCTTCTCTCTTCTTTCTTCTAAACTTTATCACCGCCGTTACTGCCAGCATAACAGTAACGCGTTCCTTCTGGTAGCCCGCAGACCGCACGTGTACCGTCCGCGCTCCCTTCATTTCGATTGTACGTTCCGCCGGCATCTCTAGGAAAAGCGGAGTCTGATCGGCGTTCACGATCAGATCGAGTGGGTAGTCATGCAGAGTGCGCATCTGGCGCACAAACTCCCAAAACGACTCGACTTTCTCCTTGCGATCTGCATTCAGAACCACGGTGCACATTAGAACATGTTCGAAGACGAACCATGACTGCACTTCAACGCGAAGACTTACCCACTGCCAACTTCTGCCCCATCTTAGTCTTCACCCTCCTTGCCAAGTGCCACCGCGCGCGGAAACGAGCCGACCAGCAGAACGACGCGCGCCAATTGACCCCAGGCATCCGATGCTTCATATACTTCGCGCTCCACTTCTGGAGCATGTTGACAGAAACGGAGAGCCCCTTTGCCCGGTGGCTCAGGAACTGGCGGTAGACCGCCCGTTCCATAAACGGGTACTTCGCCTTGCGTCCTGCCCCCATGAGGCGACGGCGGCATCCGGAAGCGACCTCCAGTCGTTCCCTCATCTTTTTCCAGTTACGAATCTGGCAGGGTTGCACCTTTGCGAGCTTGGCAAGAGCTCGATTCGACAGGTCCGGCTGAAATTCTTGCATCTTCAGCCAGTGAAGCTTCTCTTTCGCGGTGTACGAGTGACGAACGCGTTTCGTCATACGATGCCGCGGGGAAGGAGGCTCTGCATCCGCGTTGCGCTTCACTTGTCCCTGCGGGCGATTACGTTGCGGAAAAGTGGGGACAGCCACTCGGGGAAGAGGAGGCCGAGGACGGTCTGCGTTACCGCTCGGTTCATCCTCGGTAGAGCCACTGGCTGCAGGAGACGACTGAGGCATGTCGGGGCGAGGAGTCGGGCGTGCGCGTGCAGCAGCGGGAGACGGAGTGTAAACAGGCCGGTGCCGTCTAACTACCGTACTGCTGGAATCTGGAGAGGTTGCCATCTAAACCTACTGCAGGTTGGTGTCGCTGGCCATAGCTAAACTGCGTTTAAACTAACGAAGTAGCGACAGGGAAAGAAGCGCACTTACAGCCTGCCGAGCACAACACAGATTCGAGCAATGGAGCCGCTGCATAAACGAAAGATGAGAGTCGTTTGAGGGAGAGGGACGTGACCAAAACGGGCACGACGTGACCGAAACAATGACAACGCAGCACAGTGAAGAATTCCAGCCTCGGAGGGCCCATGCAACCTCGTCGCGCGATGCTAGCACTATTTTCACCCAATCAGGGCCAGAGGTGGCCCATTGGGACTTGCCATGTGGCAGGTTATAGTGGGGGGTTGCATTATCGTCGCATACTCGGGTTCGCATACGCGCGAACACCATTTTCCCAGTCAAGTAAGGACCCTGTTTTTCTTTCCAATCAATTCTGCTTAAAAAAACATGTGCTATATATATGAACCCGGGTGTTATGTAGCTTTTGCCATTGAGAAGACCCCCCCCATTTTTTCACTGTATTTAAAGTAAGACCCTAGGGTGTTATATCCGGGTGATTACGGTATTTTGGAACACGTTTTTGAATTATATTCTCACCAAATGCGATTTGTTATGAATGAACTTGCAGAGTGCGCAGAATAACGAATAACGAGAATGGTTGAATACTGAATGAGTATACAAGGAAAGTATACAAGGGAGTGCAGCAGGCAGGAGGGCAGCCGAGGGTGCCCGGGGCACCCCAGGGAGTGCAGCAGGCAGGAGGGCAACCGAGGGTGCCCGAGGCACCCCAGGGAGTGCAGCAGGCAGGGGGGCAGCCGGGGGTGCCCGGAGCACCCCAGGGAGTGCAGCAGGCAGGAGGGCAGCCAAGGGTGCCCGGGGCACCCCAGGGAGTGCAGCAGACAGGGGGGCAGCCGAGGTTGCCCCGGGCACCCCAGGGAGTGCAGCAGGCAGGGGGGCAGCCGGGGGTGCCCGGAGCACCCCAGGGAATGTAGCAGGCAGGAGGGCAGCCGAGGGTGCTCGGGGCACCCCAGGGAGTGCAGCAGGCAGGAGGGCAGCCGAGGATGCCCGGGGCACCCCAGGGAGTGCAGCAGGCAGGTGGGGAGCCGGGGGTGCCCGGAGCACCCCAGGGAGTGCAGCAGGCAGGAGGGCAGCCGGGGGTGCCCGGGGCATCCCAGGGAGTGCAGCAGGCAGGAGGGCAGCCGAGGGTGCCCCGGGCACCCCAGGGAGTGCAGCAGGCAGGAGGGCAGCCGAGGGTGCCCGGGGGACCCCAGGGAGTGCAGCAGGTAGGAGGGCAGCCGAGGATGCCCGGAGCACCCCAGGGAGAGCAGCAGCTAGGGGGGCAGCCGGGGGTGACCCGAGCACCCCAATGCGAGCAGCAGGCAGGGGAGCAGCCGGGGGTGACCGGAGCACCCCAGGGAGTGCAGCAGGCAGGAGGGCAGCCGATGGTGCCCGGGGAACCCCAGGGAGTGCAGCAGGCAGGAGGGCAGCCGAGGGTGCCCGGAGCACCCCAGGGAGAGCAGCAGGCAGGGGGGCAGCCGGGGGTGACCGGGGCACCCCAGGGAGCGCAGCAGCCATGGGGGCAGCCGAGGGTGCCCTGGGCACCCCAAGGAGCGCAGCAAGCAGGGGGGCGATCGATGGACGACCAGGAGCAACAGTTGGAGGAGTGGTGTCGACTTTTGGAGTTTGATACCCCCATGGCGACTGCGGAGGAGTCAGAGGCGGACGAAGAAGCTCCCATGCCGCCTTCCCCATGCCCCCGCTTTCCGTGTGACACGTGTTTCCACACTTTCGCTACGCGAGGGGCCGCTGCGAACCACATGAGGGTATGCCGGGCGGCTGAGGCGGAGAGGCGTGCACAGGCTCTCGGCTCGATTCTATCTCTGGTGGAGACCGACACGCAGGAGCGATCGACGCCGCGGGAATTTGGGGACGAGGCGTGGGCTGGGGTTACGTCATGGGAATGGGAAACTTTTTTCAGTGTGGAGGTGGTTGGAGGGAGGACAGTGCGCCGGATCCCACAGCGGGCCAGGTCGGGGGTCTTAGACGCGCTCTGTTGCATCCTTAAGCGCTTGAAGAGCCAGCCTGGAGATGAAGCCGCTACCCTCCTACTCTTGGCGTTTCCGCGCCTCATCCTAGCCGTGCCTCCCAAGCCAGGCATAGGTCAGAAGGCGCTGATCACAGAGCGGTTGGGTGCGTTCTGGGAGGGGAGGTGGAGGGAGCTGTCCGACTCTGCCATGGTGGCGGCGCGGCCAGCAGTTCGCCCACTTTCCTACACTTGCTCTGACCAGGACCCGGATGCCATCCGCCTGTCACGGTGCCGATCTCGGTGCAAAGTGGGGGAGTGGAGCCGAGGATTGGCCTGCCTTACAGCAGGGGAGTTGGCTCGACCGTCTGAGGCCATGGTGCAGTCGCTGCGAGAGAAGCACCCGGCTAGCGCTGGCGAGGTACCACTGTGGGTCCGCGATTTCACCATCGATACTGCTCAGCGGCCTTCACTCACGACCGACATCCTGGCCAGAGCTATCCATACAGCCGCTCGAGCTTCAGCAGCAGGGCCATCGGGGTGGGTCACAGAGCATCTGCGCGACACCTTCCTCACTGAACCTTCCTGCCTTTCCCACCTGTTGGAAGTGTTCAACCAATGGGTGGCGGGACAGGTCCCCGAGCGGGCTCGGCCGTGGCTCGCCGCATCCAACCTAGTCGGGCTTTCCAAGCCTAACGGCGACGTCCGGCCGGTGGCGATCGGGGAGGTGCTTCCTCGTATCCTTGCTCGAGCTCTCTGCATCTCGCTCCGCCCTGCGATGGTTTCCTACTTCCTGCCGTGCAACCAGCTGGGAGCGGGCACCAGGGTCGGGGCGGAGATTCTCACTCATTCTTTTCGGTTAGCGCTGGCCACTCACCCCAACTGGTGTGCGCTACAGATAGACGTCGCAAACGCCTTCAATTCGTTTCACCGTCATGTCATGTTCGATGGGCTGCGGGAGTCGCCTTTCTCAGGGATGATCCCATTCTTGCGTGTTTTTTATGGGACACCTAGCGACCTGTACCTCCGAGCAGGCCCTTTCGTACAGAGCCTCGAGTCAGCACGGGGATCGAGGCAGGGGGCCCCGCTCGGCCCTTTTCTTTTCGCGTTCACGCAGCAGCAGGTGATGGAGCCGGTAACTAGGGAGTTCAAGGACCTGCTTTTCCTCAGCTATGCAGACGATACCTATATTTTGGGGCCAGCGGCTAGGATTCTGGAGGCTTTTGGGGTGCTGCGGGAGCGGTTGGAGTGGGTGGGGCTGGAGGTGCAGGCACACAAGTGCCGGTTTTGGGAGCGCGAGGGCAAGGAGGTGGAGCGGGCACTGCCATTGGGGATGCAGCGGGTGGATGAGGGTCTTACTGTGGTGGGCGTGCCTATTGGGGAGGAGGTTTGGGAGGTGGTCCGGCTACGGGAGCGGCTTCGACAGTTGCAGGCGCCACTGCCATGGCTCCAATTGCTCGACCACCCTCAGATGGCTTCACACCTCCTCGCCATTGCAGTTTCAGCGCGGCCGATGTACCTCGCCCGGACTATGCCGCCGCGTCCGGAGGTGGTTGAGGCTTTTAGGGATTGGGACAGCTGTTTAGAGGATTGCTTTGAGCAGCTTTTCCCACCTGGCACTTGGGAGCAGGACCCCAACCGGTCTAGGCACGCACGCATGCAGCTGCATCTCCCTGTGCGACTCGGAGGGTTCGGGATCCGGGCGGCGGCCTCTTTGAGCCCACTGTCCTATGTTTGTAGGTGGGCGCAGGCCGCACGTGACATTGCACAGTTAGGGGTGGCGGGTGAGGCGGCGATGTTTGCAGAGTACCTCACCACTTCGACAGGGGCAGAGTTTCTTGACCCGTGGTTTGTCAAGGCTCTTGAGCAGCTGCCAGCGACTATCCGCCACGAGATACCGGGCTTACCTCTGTGTGTAGCGGCCCCTCCTGTTCGGCTTTTCCAGGCGCGGCAGCGGCAGTTAGCTGTAGAGGAGCTCCAGGCACTGCGCCGCTTGGCTCGTGACGATGCTACCTTGGCCCGTTTCACATCCCTTTAGGGCCCGGGGGCGGGTGCATGGGTTTCGGCGGTTCCGGCTCACTCAGATCTCACATTCACTGCGGCTGAGTGGGGCATCGCTGCTGCTATACGGCTTGGCCTCCCAATTCAGCAGCTGCAGGTGGCGGGGAGGTGTGTTTGTGGCACAGCGTATGTTGACCTAGCAGACCCGCACCATGCCCTGAGATGCAAGCACCAGCATGGTCCATCTCGGGTGCATGATGAGGTGAAGTTTGCGGTGGCAAAGATCTCTAAGGCATCGGGGGGGGTGGTGACAATGGAGGATAGTGTGGTGCTGCAGGGGAAGCGGGTTGATGTGGCGGTGCGACGACCAATGGCTGGAGAGGCTCATGCCCTAGAGATCAGCGTCGCGGACCCGCTATCGCTGTCTCCATCACTGCTGGGACAGTGCGGGCGTCAAATAGGTGTGGCGGCAAGGGAGTGGGAGCGTCGCAAAACGAGTGATTACGCGCCTCTGCTTGCACGCAACTGGGGCGTGCAGTTCACCCCTTTGATAGTTGAGACGTGGGGGTGTCTCGGCGGTCGTTTTCAGCGGTGGCTTCATCAGCAGGGGGATGCGCACGTGGGGCTAGCTGTGTCGCGGGGGGCTTGTCGAGAGGACGATTCTGTGTTTTCGGCTTATCTTTTAGGGTCACTGAAGGCGCTCATCGGGGTGGCGTTACAACGTGCGCAAGCCCGTGTCATCCTGCTTCGAGCGGCGTCTTCCATGGGGGGGATTAACGTAGATTTGGTGGACCGGGAGAGGGACGATGTCGATGTGGAAGGCGGGGCTCTCTGGGTAGAGGCCCCGTACATGGTCGATACGCTGTTGTGATTGAAGGGGGGGGGGGGGGGGGGGGGTGGGGTGTGGGATGGGATGTCTTGATGGGGTGTCTTGACTCGGCGTTTTGATTGGGTATCTTGAGGGGGGGTTTTATGTGTGTTGCATTTGGGTTCTTTTACTCATGTGCATCTTCGTGAGTGGGGCAACGCAAGGGTAGAATTAAGCGGTGTCGAGTTCAGATCATCGTGCAGTCACATTCTGCACAGATGTTACTGTGTAGAAGACTGTTGTGTAAGTGACTAGCACTAAACTTGCGTTGCGGCATGCCCATCTATTGGTGTTTTTGGCACAAAAAAAAAAAAAAAACAAAAAAAAAAAAAAAAAAAAAAAAAAAAAAGTGACGAGACCTAAATAGGGGGAAAGCTAGCTAGGCGGAGAGGTCGGGAATGGATGGCTCAGTGATGTTGCGATTGGGGCGGAGGCCGGTCGGGAGTGGTTCGGTGCGACGAAATAGGCCCAACAAGTGTTGGGCTGAAAAAAGCCCTTAGGATCTTTGCAGGACAGAATTCAAGGGTAGGAAAATGTAATAGCGGAAGCGTTTAAGTAAAAGACTTGTAAACCACCTTGCGCTAGTATGTGAGGGCAAAGTTGATTGATTAAAACAAAAGGATACAAGCTTTTATAAGGATACAAAGAATATGGAGAGATACGGTTAATAACCGTTTTACTGTTGCTGTTGCGGTTCGATACAGTGTCGACTCGGGCAACTGCTCAGTAGCGAGTCAGTTGTTTGTCCTTGCTGTCGCGCTGTATTTGTCAGGTCAAAGGTCGCTGACCTTTGACTTTCGCGTAACCTCCAGCAGTTGTTCAACCTCCGAGGGTTGACTCGCTGATGTTTCGATATGATCTGCTTTGCTTCTGAGTTAGTGTTTCGACACGACAGAGGCGCTAGAACTAATTGTTTCCAACACTCCCCTTCGCTTCTGGAGTGTCGCTGCTGGTGACATGGCTCTGTCCAGTCAGCAGCATGCAATATTCGAACTTCGACTTTCCGAGCTTCTTGGTCAAGTAATCAGCTGCCATCTCGGATGTGGGGCAGTAAGACAGCTCAAGTCTCCCCTTCTCGATCTCGTCCTTTACGAAGAAATATCGCAGGGCGATATGCTTCGTCCTGTTCGCGAATCCATTTTTGTTGGCTATGTGAATTGCCGACTGGTTGTCGCAGAATAGGGAGAAGCTGGGTAACTGGGCCAGCTTCGCTTCCTCCAGAAGTTCGCGAAGGTACAGTCCTTCCTTGGTGGCTGAGCAGAGTGCGATATATTCAGCTTCAGCTGAGGAGAGGGCGATTAATTCCTGTTTGCTCGACTGCCATGAAATAGGTCCGATAGGCTCGAGGCGGTAGATGTAGCCTGTGCGCGAGCACCTGTTGTCAGGATCTCCGGCGTGGTCGGCGTCAACGTAGCCGATTAACTTGGGCGTTGTAGTTCTGTTTTTGTAGTAGATCAGCCCGATCGTTGGAGTACTAACTAGGTAGTGAAGAGCGCGGTCTAGTTCCGTGATGTGTTCAGCTTCGGGCCTTTTGAGGTAAGTGGCGAGTTGACTTGCGGAGTATGATAGGTCCGGGCGGCAGGTAACAGCTGCGAAGAGAAGACATCCCAGCTTTCTCTGGTAGTCGCGTATGCCGGCGGGCTTTAGTGGAACGGGTTCTTCTTTGTTGTTTCCTGCCGTGTAGCGGTATGGCGTAGAGATGGTAGTTGGTGTGAGTGCGAAGCGTTTAGCGATGTTGTCGGCATATTTTGCGGCGTTGAGGTAGATCGCGTTTTCTCCTTCCTGAATATTGAGGCCGAGGTACTGTGTGACAGTAGGTGAGACTGTGAGTGTGAGGTCTTTCTGTAACTCCCCTTCGAACCAGGTAGTGACGTTGTCGGTCGACCCGATGTAGAGCAGATCGTCTACGTAGACGATTAGTAGAATGTAGTCGTCGCCTTTTGTGAGCCGGTACATGCCTTGGTCGTGCGGTAGCTGCCAGAATCCGATACGAGTGAGTCGGGCGTGTAGGTACTGCTGCCACAGTCTCGGGGCCTGTTTGATCCCGTACAGGGATTTTTGCAGCTGACAGACTTGGTTGGGCTCTCCGTGGGAACCGTGTGGGAGTTCGACGTAGATTTCTGCGGCGACAGGTGCGTAGAGAAAAGCGTTGGCGACGTCGATTTGCCGCAGTTTCTTTTTCTTCATAGCGGCGATCGCGAGAAGAATCCGTAATGAAGTGTGTCGGCTGACCGGAGCGAATGTCTCGGTGAAGTCACGTCCATGCTCTTGGTCGAAGCCGCGTACGACCCATCGTGCCTTGAACTTGTCAATGGTACCGTCTGCTTTCGTCTTCACATGGAAGACCCACTTCCCGGTGAGGATTGTCTTGTTTCGTGCCACGCCGATAGGG